GGACCTGCAACCCGAAGCGACTTAAGGAGGATCTTACAAGCGCAGGACCCGCAGGAATTATCAGAAAAAAACACAAAGCTGATCAAGATGAGAACTGCAAAAACGCACGCGGCCCTTGAGCCCGGGCACTTCGTGCTTCCCAAGTGGAAGCGGAGGTTCCCAGGAATCGCAAGTAAGGCCCCGAGGAGCCCAAGCCTGGAACTTCCAAAGGAGACGAGCGCTTCTCGCATGCTGCCTAACTTAACAACAACAACAGCCACTACCACCACCACCAACAACAACAGCAACAACAGCAACAACAACCAAAACAACAGCCTTACAACGACAACTCTCTCTCTCGCTCTCTGTGGCGTTGTTTGAAGGGGCGGGCATGATGACATCCAAAAAACGAGATTTTGCGACAAGCTCTCGTCCTTTTCAAGCGTAAGTTAAAAAACAGCGCATCTGTGCACATCTGCTGCTTTTGTGACATGACAATGGCCTTAAGAACTTTGCCAGTGCAGATTCTTTCCTCCACGGGCCCCTGGACCTCGTGCAGTTCGCGCGTTGGCCTAGGCGAGGGCCTGCCGAGTTGTGAGGAGCTCCACGATGCGTCATGCAACTGTTTGAGGCCCTCCGCGTGTCAGGAAAACGTGGTAGCATTTCACGGTGTTGGCGCAAGCCAGTGTGATGATCAAGCAACGAATGGGCCATGCTCAAGAAGGCACAAGTGTTTCCAATTCAGTGTGAGTCCGACACATTTCAACGCTGGTTTTGATCACTGGGCCTTTGGGCGGGCGATGAAAATCCAAATTGCGCAACCATGACATACACGGCGGATCTTAGCTGGGCCCAAACCAAGATTTTGACTGCGTCACTTGTCGACATCCTGCTGTACTTGGAGTATGGTTGATGAAGGTGCTTACGGGCAGAAAGGCTTCTAAGTATTCTTTACAATCAAACTTGTTCTCATATACTTCCATCAAACTTCGGCTGAAAGCTGAGCTCAAAGTTCAGGGAGTTGGGTTCTCAGAGTTTGGGGTTTCACATGGTTTCAAGTTCTCAGGGTTTTGGGAAATTGGGCCCTCGACGCTTTCAAAAATGATTCCGTTAGCTCTCTCAGAAGAGAGCTTTCGTTAGAATGGTGTTAGAATCTGTTAGAACATGTTAGAACCTGTTCTTGAACATGTTGCAAAAGCCATTCCTTGAACAACTGCAGAGGCGCAAAGCCAAGGCCTTGCGAGGTGTTCAGCCAAAGCGCCCACAGCGACATTCCACACCTCTCAAATTCTCTCCAAAAACCGTTTCGGCCCCACAAACCTCTCAACTCAAAGGTCGACACCGAGAGCCCGCGAGAACATGAACAACCATGAACAAAATATCCATCCTTCGATTGTTGCGTTTGTTTGGTCACTCTCGGTCGCAGGCCAAGCCAACTCTGGAAGCCTCCAGGCTTCAGAATTCACCATGCAATTCCATGCTCGGGCTAAAAGCCTTGCCCTCCAACAAAGCACCCGCCCTCCACACTGAACCTCTCAACTGCAAGTGGCACTGGCTCCGTGCACGTATTGGCATTCGGGTTCTCGATGAAGCTCTGTTAAGCTCTTCAATGTTTTTCTTCTACAATCGCTCCTCGTATCTCTTCGTTTCCTCCCGAATCTTTCCGCTCTCTTGGCCGAGGTGCCACCGCTGTTCCTGGAGGTCCTCCTGCCTGGGAATTTGGACCGCTTGGTACACTGCATAGATAGACTCTGCTGTCTTGGCTTTGTTTACCACCGTATTCAGAAAACTTGAGACGAGGCGGGGCCTTACGAGCGCCGCCGGAGGGCTGCAGGCAAGCTGTGCGTCGCAAAGTCGGGCGGAGACGCCCCAGCCTTTGGCACCTGTTTCGGCCTGCCAGCACACGTCAGCCCACAGCACACATTGACACATGCACTGAATCGCACCCTGCAATATCCATGTCCCTGCACCTGCCAGGTGCTCCAAGCCACAAGCAGTCCTGCAGTAGCACCTGTCAAGCACTGTGGGTTATGCCCCATGCAGTTCAATGCAGTTCCCTGTCAAATCCCATTCTACCCATCATCTTTCCTTGTGATGGGACTTGCGTCACCAAGCGGATGGCGCCAGGGCCCAGCACGCCGCCTTGGTCTGCCGAGGCCACCACCAGGCCTGCGCCTGAGCCATTGAGCGGAGGCACAGGGACAGGTACTATGATTTACAAACCTTGCGATGCTTTGCGAGCTCAGCGGCTTCTGGGTTTGAGGGTCATCTCGAAAAGTTGCAGGACAACCTGTCCGTCCACGGCCCAGGTCACGGCCAGGCCCCCAGCGAAGGCCACTGCGTGCGCCAATCCATTCCCGGCACGGGCAAAACCTTCTGATTGGTTCAGCACTTTTTCCAGCTGCACCTCGCAACCTCCTTCCTTGGCATGGCGTCTGGCAGCGATGTTCAGGCCATCCTGGTAGAGCAGCACCAGGCTGTCAGCTGTGGCGATGGGAACAATGGGTGTCAAAGAAAAGGGTTGCACGCGCTGGCCGAACTGGAAGGAGCAGTCTGCTTGACCGCGGTTGATGCCCGAGACGGCCACAATGAGGAAGGCAACATCGAGAACCGGCATGGGCACTGGCTGGACCGTAAAACACAAGCAAATGATCGAAATGGGTGCCTCGGGGCCTTATGTTGGGGTGGAGCACTTACCTAAGCAGGTGCGGTGCCTCCAATGTACAGTGCCTGACTCAAAGGGCCTGCGACACGCAGTCGAAGAGTGCAAGTGCAAGTCTAAGTGCATTGCAGAGCACATTGCTGAGCACAAGTCCGAACACTTGGCACACGGGCTTTATACTGTTTTCCATCCTCCTTTGAGGCTCCCCTTAGGGGAGCTGTCGCTTGTTGCGAGGAGTCCTTATGCGACAACTCAGCGAAGCGAGTACATTTGCGGGAAGTCGCCAAACTTGGGCGCCCGGCAGGCAAAGAAGCGGTGCCGCAACACCTGGGAAAGCCGGAGGCTGCACAAGACCCTTGGCCGTTTCAGTATGCTCACGCGCGGGCCTGCTGCGCGGAGAAGCGCTCGGGCGCTGGGGCGATCATGTGCCGGATCAAGTCCAAGCCCTACCCAGCCCGCACATAGCAGCGCTTCGACTTCCCAACATTTCCCAACGACATTCGCTCAACGCGTTTTCCTCTGCTTTTCCGCCGTCGCCATTTTCCCCCACCTCTGCTGGTGCGTCGGCCCAGGCTTCCTCGGGCTCGAAGCTCCAAAGGCCCTTTTTCACCTCATCTTGAAGTCTAGAATCTTGAGCATCCATCGCACGTATCTCTTGCATTGAAGGGCCAGGCCTGCTTCAGCACATCAAAGTCGGTTTCCCCGCTGAAGGGCGGGTGGCCGGAGAAGAGGATGAAGAAGACCACGCCCAACGACCAGACGTCCACCTCACAGAACGTCGGGCGAGGTTTGGAAAGAACCCGCTTGAACATGAAGTGAGCCTGGCACAGGAAGCTGACAAATGTGTTTCTTTATTCCAATGTATAAAGTTTAACGCATATGCTGCATTCTGCTGGGAGGAGGCAGCCCTCTGTAAAGTGTGCCATCGCGTTGTGGTCTTCCCGGCGAAGTACTCCCGACAAATCGAAAAGTGTCAGCCCGGAGAGAGAGAGTGCAGGGTCTGCAGGGCCCGCGAGCATTCTGCTTGCTCGCTTCTGAATGCCAGTCAGGTGCCGGGCATGTCAGATCTATTTCACTATTTTGGCTGTCGCTCGCTCCGTACTGTGTAAAAATTGCACCCTTGTTTTGCCCACACTGGTTAGCTTGAGGGTTGGGATGATCGGAGTAAACATCAGGCACGCTTAAGCTTTAGCTTTTGGAATCAACAAAGTCCCCTAACTCTTGCCACGTTTCACATAAATCGACCCGGAGACTTCCGGGAGCCTGCCTTACGGATGCAAGCTTGAGTTTTAAGGCTGCATCTAAAACGGGGAACTCCCAGTATTTGAATTCACGCTCCAAAATTGCAGATTGGAAAAGTTTAAGAGTGAAAAGCTTGCCAATAGAATTCAGGTTCCGGATGTTTTCGGCATGCTTAAATTCCAAACTAAAAGAGGAGCATGTTTAGCATTCTCAAACTTGTGCATTTAAGGTATACAGAAGTGTAAGAATTGGTAACGTTCAAGCTTAAATCATTCTGCAGGAGCTTGGCCTGTCCAGGCCTGTTTGAAACTTAAGGTTGCTGTCAAAATTATGGTCCCTTTTTGGAGCCCTCTCATAATACGGCACCTAATATTTAGGGTACCCCAAAAAGGGACCCTCATTTTGACAGCCACCCATTTAGGATTCAAACATGCGCCTGAAAAAGGGAAAAAATTGTAAAGCATTGAGAACTGCAAATGGTGACAATGGAAGAATTCAAGCTAGCTTTACAAGGGAAGAGTGGGAAGAGCTTCAAGCATCTTAAGTACCAAAAACGGCCCTCAAATGAGCAGCTATAGGGTGGAAAGGCATTCGACGCGCAAGAGTGGCAGCATCAGCGTCTGCTCATTGGCAGAGTTGTGATTGGCCAAAAGTTCAGCGATTGCTTCCCCACACGAAGGGACTGCCAGTGGCGCAGGGAGGATCGTGGGGAACAAAACTCCTTTCTTGAACTAGCTGTTCGCATTTAACTGTCTAAGTCGGGTTGGATACGCCAGGCTCCGGTGATGTCTGCAACATCTTTCATGGCAAAACGAATAAAACTCAACATGCACGCGTAAACATGCTCCTGCAAAAACGGAATTTAGGTTCTATCGAACTGGTGTTTGTGGGCTCGGGAGGATTTCACCAGAATTCTAATCTTAAACGCAATGTCCTGGATATTCCGCTCAAAATCTCTTTCTTGAAAATTTTCGCTAGTGCGCCTTGTCCGGCTGAGGGTTTCCAGACCGGCAATTCGTGTTTTACTAGCAGCTACGCTTTAAGCTAAGCGTAACATGCAGCGCCACTCTTTGCCTCGCAAAAACACATGGCGATTCGATCACACTCTGAAGCAAGCCCCTTATTGCCTCATAGCAAAAAGAAGAAACAGAAGCCGATTCGAGAACCCCAAATTCGGTGCTACCGAACCGACCAACAACACAACATGGCTCGATAGCACCGAATGTTCTGAAAAAAGGCTTGAACAATGTGCTATCGAACTGCCCCCGCCCCCCCCCCCCCCCCCCCCCGGCCCCTTTTGCTGTAGCGCAAAAAGCACAGGTTAGGACTTCTGAGAACTTGTTGCTCTCGAACGCCACCTTTCGCCTTGTCGCAGACTCAGACATACAAGGCGGCTCGATAAGACGAAGCTTGATGAAGAGGGGTTGTTTTGGAAGACTTGGTGGGATCGACCTGGATCGACCTGCCCTTTCTAGCCTATCGCAAAAATCACCAGGCGGTTCGCTTCGATAACACCAAGTTTCCTGCAGCGCTGGTTTTCAGAAACTGTGGTGCCATCGAACCGCCACTTTTCTGCTGTAGTGCTCCTCGAAAATCGTTCAAGGCACGTTGTATAAGGGTCAACAACAATTGTACTGCAGGTACCCATTGTAGGCTTTGAAGTGGGTTTTTTCAAGGTGCTTGTTAATGGAGGGAGTTTACAGATAGATTCCAACAACTTTGCAAGGTGTGTAAAGTGTGCTTTGGAAATTATCGGCAAGAGTATTCAGCGATGGGCTAAGGGTGTTTGACAGGTTCCGGAAGCGTATTTCGCAAGAAGGGACTACAAAGAACCTTAAAGGCTTAGAAAGTGTTGAACAAATGTTGAATTATTGCGGGTGGCGTTAAGCACACAACCTTTCACTTCTTCTTTGCACAAGACAAGTCGCAAGCACCGTCCTTTGAACAGCTTGAAGGAAGTTCGTCCCTCTTGGTACTCTTGCTATCCCCTTGCTATCCCTTTGTCCATATTGTCCACTCCTGCCTTGGAGATTGTTGTTCCCCTCTCCCCATTCTGAGAGCTCTATCCCATAATGAAGTTGTTCATCTTCCCTCCCCCTTCACTCCCCTTCCTCTTCCGCTGTCCGACTGTCCTCCTCATGTTGCGAGAAAAAAGGAAGTGAAAGGCAAGATTGCAGAAAGATATTCCTGTTGCCTCTCCCTGCCTTCTTCCACTGCCTTCTTTCTCCCCTGCTGCTCTCGTCAGATTTTCTTGTTGAAGAAGTGGAACTTCTTTCTCGGGCGTGGAAGGCTCCAGTCATCCCTCCTCTCACCTTTTGTCTTTCGTTTCGTCACTTGGGAAGGGTGGAAGGAAAAAGAGAGGGGAAGTGACGAGCAGCTTGGGGCACCCTTCATCTCCTACACTCCCATCCTTTTCAAGAGATAAAGCTTTGAGAGGACAAGTGCCGGGGAAGCGAGAGGCGAAAGGCAAGGCCCCTTCTCTCTGTCTTCTCGGTTCCTCTATCCTCCTTGTTCTTTTGTCCCTCTTCCGCTGTTGTGTTGTTATTCTCGCAACACGTGGAAAGGCAGGATGGGTCTTTCTCTCGCCCTTTCATCTTAAACGCCTCATTCAGGAGAAAGGAGAAAGGGAAAGGCGGAGAAACAAACGACTGAAATCATGCCCGAGTCCCTTTCCAGAAAGATCGGCAAGGGGGGAGGGGTGAGGCTGTCCCTTCTTGCCCTTGACTTTTATCCTGTCCTTGCGCCAAAAAGAAGAGGAAGAAAGGATTGAGCTCTCCTCCGTTCTTGCCTGTTTCTTTCGTCAGAAATGCGTGGGAGCGGAACGAAGAGGGAACAGGAAGGGATAGGAGAGTGAAGCGAAAGACAGAAGGACAGTGCTGGAGGGGTGGGAACGAACAGTATTTTACAACCTGGAAGATGGAGGAACGAACAGAACAGGGGAGGACAAAGAAAACATAGGGTGGGGAACACAAGACAGATAAGAAGCGAGAAGGAGGATGACGGGATAGAGCGGGAAAGAAGATCTCACATTGCGAGCGCCCAAGGCAACCACTAACACTCATTGTCCACTCGCCCCACCTGCCTAAGTGGCACAAACTTATCGATTTCCGCTGCCAAACTATTGCAAGTGTGCGAGCTTCTGCACGCGCACTGAGACCTTGGCCTTCCCTCTCGACTCTCCCTTCCCCCACTGCTTCTGTTCTAATCTTTTTCTTCTATGACGAGATAGACAAAACCAGGAAGAATGGAGAGCAAGACATAATAAGGTGCCGATCTCTTCCACTTTCCTCTTTCCTGCCTCCCTTGCCACCATCGTCCCAGAAGATCTCGAGTATGCCCCTCCCTTTCCTTTTCATCTGCCATCTGCCAAAGCAAGCATTCTGCAAATGAGAAGATTGCATTCGTAGTTGCAACGCTGTTGTAGAGTGTCGAGCTGAATGCTCGGAGATGCTTGAGTGCAGCATTTTGGTGCTGATGCTAACGACTGGGTCCAGGTTGTTTTTTTGTGTTTTTTCTGGTTGTTTTTCGTGTTTGTCATGGTTTAGGGTAGGGTTTAGGGTTTAGGGTTTTTTTTTAGGGTTTAGGGTTTAGGGTTTAGGGTTTAGGGTTTTTTTTCACTCCTGCACAGCTGGGGCGAGTTTAGGGTTTAGGGTTTAGGGTCTTAGGGCTTAGGGCTTAGGGCTTAGGGCTTAGGGTTTAGGGTTTAGGGTTTAAAGGTTTGGGGCTTTATTCTCATCTAAAACCGTAAAAAACACTAAAAAAAAACAATATAAATACGGAAAAAGAACCATCAGCCCTAACGACTGGCTCCGTCACGAGAAGCATCAAGGCAAATGATTGCGAAGGCCCTGAAGGGTCCACTGTTAAGGGTACCCGGCGGAATCGCTCTGTGCTGATATGTGCAGGCTGGCCATCAAATACAGTGCAAAGGACCCACCTAATCCTACACTTGTACCAGTGACGGTCGGGAGTGGTCTCTCCTCTGCAATATTGGCAAGGTTTCTCAGTCCCGTTTGCAATTGCTGGCAGTGAGCCCTTGCTTAATCTTGCCTTTTCGGTGTAGGGCTCCATCTTGCGGGTGAGGATCTCCTTGCCCAAGCACGTGCAAAACAGACGCCCACCTGAGCCTCCGATGTACAACTTCAGCCAGCTCGAATATCCCTGCTACACGGATCTACACGGTATCCCACATGTATTTGCCTCTCGTGACATGGGGTCCTTGGCCACGTACGTGGGCGTGCAGATCTTTGTGACCAAGGCCTGCCCCCGAACCCAGGAATGTTGTCAAAGGGATCCACGTAAGGTCAGATGCCAAGTTGCCCCCAAACCCTTTTGAATGCAGCAGTCCCAAGTTTGCAGCTTCTCCCAAGCAGCTCTTGGAACGATCCGACAGCAAGTACAATGAAACATGTATGGAACAGCTTCGCGTAAATTTGGGGCACGTGGAGCAGCTTCTGGCCTGGCCGCTGGAGTAATCCTGTGCCAGAAGCGTGGATTGAGTACATGGCTGCGTACGTCTTCATCACCCTTTTTACTAATTTACCGTCCTTGGCCGTAGTGAAGTCCACTAGCCGGAGTGTGGCCTGGTTTCAACATGACTAGTCACATGGTTACGGGAACACGCTTCTAATCTAGCCGTGGAAATTTCTCCCAAAACTAAGATCATCTCAGAATTCTTTCACATGGGACTCACTTACACGATCAAATTGCCTGTGATGCCGGGCCAAGGCTACTTTCATGTGGAGCATGCCTACCCCCACAAAGAAGATGCTCTCGCTTAACTATAAGTTGTGGAGTAGCGGAAGGATCCGACTCCCCATGTGCTGAAAAAAACAGCATAAAGAGCCCCCTTCGGAGCCGCTACTGTTGCAGTGTCGCTAGGGCATGCTAGCGAAGTGCCTCATCCTGCTATGCAACAAACAAGATGTGAAAAAAAACTTACAAGATTGTATTACACAAGCTACTGCTAAGCGCTTCGGACTCTGGGCTGCATTTCAGTTGGTTGAACCCAAGAATGCAAGCAAGCCGGGTCGGAGCCCTGAAAGCCACGTGTGGCAAAAAAGATCCAAAGTCACTTTTGATGGTGAGTTCCTCTTGACGGCGCAGTATACCTACACCAACAACCCCATGCGGTGACATCTTCCTGTCTCGAGGGCCGGGGGTGGGCCTCCAAGATTCTCCCGGGCTTTGATTGGTTCGGTATCATGGCATAAGAATCGCACTCATGGACATGCAGGGAAATGGCACTGTATCCACTGTCCCGAACCACTCTCGTACCACACCTCTTCCACAGGAGCATCCAACTCCACGAGCAGGAAGTTCTCCAACTGGATGTCCTGGCAAAATCGGCAGCTGACACACCTACTTACCAATGAGCTTGAGGCGTGCCCGGTGGCTGATTTTGTGCGCGTGGAGGCAGCCGACCTAAGGCGGTGAGTGCGTTGTACAACAATACCCAAACCGCTCCCTTGGGCGTCGCACAGCTTCGGCCATCTGCCGGAGCAGCCGCGGAGCCCTCGTGCAAACCGCGCAAGGATGGGCACTCCAACGGCTGAAGCTAAGCGGCTAAGTCTATCGTCTACGTCGTCTACGTTCGAGCTGAGCTGGGCAGAGCCTGCAAGTTTGACCACCATCCTGAGCAGATGCCACAAAACCGCCAAAGCAACATCAAAACGCTCTCCAGTGTTTGTTGAAAGTCTTGTCTTCAACGTACCCCCAGACACTGCCCTGGGTCTGCCTGCTAGTGTCGCAACAAGGGCCTTCCTGCCATGTGAGTCTCTCAAAATCCTGTCATGTGCGGCTCCCTTGCTACCAGACCTTGGCGGGCGTGTCGTTTTCCTGCCCTGACACCTGCACCCGAACCTGTCATCTGCGACCACCTGGTCCGGCCTCCCCTACTTACACATTGGGGAGTCACGGGTGACATGTACCCTTGCCCGTTTGGGTTATTCCAGGGATGGGGACATGTTCGCTTCTCTCGCCTTCACGGGTTCGCTTCGCCTGCGACTTCTTGAAAAGTTTCCTCGAATCCACGGTAAATCAACTCCTTGCCGAGGTGAAGGGTATGTATTGTGCGTGGGACATGTTGGACGTTGTCAAGGTTTGCCCTTCACATCTATGTAGCTATCCTGTTGCCCAAGTTCGCAAGAGCTCTTTGCTGAAGATTGGCCAGCTGGTTTTCCAGCGTCGCTACAGGGGCCTCTGGCAACACAAGGGTGGTTGAGGCGCTAAAGTCGATGAGTTTGCACAGAGAGGTCTTCTCCTCCCCCATGCGTTCGCATGTGTTTGTGAAGATCCGCGAACAGTGCGTTGAGCGCAAGGCCATGGCCAGGGCATCGTAGAGTCGGCCACCCAGGCACAGATCCAGCACCATGAAGACCTCATGTTCAGCTCTTGTCAACTCTTCAACAGTTGTTCCTAGTGCTGTTCAATTATACATGTCGAACATGAAAAAAAAGGCAAAGGGAGCCTGTGTCTCGCTCTCAAACGTCTCGAAGAGACGGCAAACGTTTGGGTGCCTTTCATGGTCAAAGGAGTCAAGAGGCTCCAGCTTCAACAGCCCCGGTGTCCTGAGCTTGCGCATAATCTCGATCTCATCCCACATGCCACCCTGCAGCAATCGACAGCATCAAGAAAACAGGCCACCACAGGCCGAGCGAATCCGCCCGAATCCTAATAAAATACCGATGAATGCCCCGCCTCGTCCGACTTTGCCTCGATCTTGATCGCGACCGAGACGCTGGACCTAGGTCACCAGGATTCAACAGGAGTGACCTGATCTGATCTGAAGATCCCGCTAACGCATAGGATGCCAGTGAGCATACGATGCCCCTACAGCATCCCTACAGCATCCCTACAGCCACTCCAGGGCCGGAGCTCCAGATGCCAGCCGCCCCAAACTGTGCTAGTGTCCTCGTAGCGTCGCCGAAACGTCAGACAGCTTCAGCGCATTTACCTTTCGCAGAAGCCCGGACCCCATCACCGAGGTGCTCCAGGATCTCGTAGACCTGGGGAGAAAGAGCGAACATCAACCTTCAAATAATCTCCTCGCTCCATTCACTGGGCTCCCCAACTCCCATCGGGTGGCCACGGGTGTGCCTTGACCAGAAAAAATGGACACTTTTCGTCGTGCTTTCTTGAAAGTGTGGTAAGTCTCCGGCCGACAGAGCTCGCCCGGCATCCAAGTACTGGAAATCGCGCCTCGGTCCACGAAGCAAGGACAGATGAAAGATGATAAGCCGCATGAGCGCAGCATGTAACTGCGCGGAAATTGTTAGCCGCTACCGGCACACGCACTTATGTGGAAGATGCCGTCTGACGAGATTGATTCTCACTCTTCCACGTATTGACGCCAGTTTGTCAAGAAGCCCCAACGGTTTCTGAGGGGTACCTCCAAGAAGCTTCGAGTACTGATGTGCTGAGCACGGCTTGGTGCGTGGGGTTGGAAGCTCGATGAGAAAGCAAGATAAACAAGCTGATAGCTGGTGCCATTCCGGATATACTGTGTACTATGTATACGCAGATATGTGCACAATGTGTGCGTAGGCCTTACATCCGGACTTCTCCAGACCTGGGCAAGCATTGTGCTGGGCCAAAAACACCGAACTTCTGCGCAACGCCTATACCTTTGGGCGTTGCGCAAAACGTGCCAAATATTCTACAATACTCTTTAGATTTTTGATCTCTTGAAAGTCGAGTTTCGGCTGTCTTGAGCCGGTGTGGAGTTGCACTCCGTGAGACACTTCGGGAGTTTCACACCGACATGTTGCGGACTATGTGAGCTTCAAAGTGTGAGTCTTTAATGCGCACTGCCGCACACTGCACATCCCAAGCTTCGGGACGGAAGGCAGAGCGGCTTTGGCTTGGAGCGGACTCATCCTCGACTGCGAACACTTCCCAACATATTCCAAACACTTTGTAGCTTTCCCATACAGTGATACACCAATATGATACGCCCGACATGCGTTCGACACGCTTCGGTTTGCTCCTCCTCGGGGAGCTCATCCGCCTCCCAGCGAAGCAGACGCGGAATCAAGGCAAATGTGAAAAATGATGTGCAGACGGAGAGTTTCTTTAATGGCAAACCACAGCAAACCCAAGCTCTGTCCTGCGGATCCTCTTGCACCTCAAGGAATGGAGCCAGGAATGGATACCAGAGATGGGGAGCGTCTGGTGCCCGTTTGAGGCCACGGCTGAGGACTGGAGTATTGCCTCGATCCGCTCCAATCGCTCCGCCAGCATGGTGCCTCGAACCCGCGTGAATTCAGTAATTCAGCCCTAACAGAAATCATGCCAAAACAACACTCTGCCATCGAGAGCTGAATTGCCTCGGCCTTCTTATTTGAGGGTACATTTTGGGCAGACTTCAGCGAACAGAAGGTGCAGAAGGGTGCAGAGAAAGGCACTTGGTGCACTTGGCGCCGCGCCCACGAAACGGCCCTTGCGGTTGGAGACAGATTGCAGCAAGGAAGCCCCGGGCTTGATCCAGCCTTTGAAGTTCCCTCAGAATGCACAGGGTCTGCAGATCAATGCAGATCACCATGCAGTGCAGCACTGTGCAGTGCGGCACTATAGAAGCTGTAGCACAGCTGTTGTTTGATGTTTGTGGCCAAGGCGGCAGCCCTCGCCCTCATAGGGCTTCGCCACCTCTGCGCCGAACTCCACCAGCAGTTCTGACAGGATCCGTTCATTCTGCGGAAGAAGCTTCAATATCTTCAATGAGCTCAAGACTTGTTGACTTGTGGACTTGTTGACACTTCTGCGGCCTGCTAGCTCTGCATTGTTGTCCCCCACGGCCACCACCAGAGGCCGCGGCAACGCCGGCTTGCCTTCTGCGGGAACAGAACCGAAAGCAAACATGCTCAAACCCACTTCAGCCGCTGGCTGTGGGGATCCAATGGCTCCTGAAGAGCTTCTGAAAGACTTGTTTGCAACTGTTGGCACGTAAGAGGGCCAAATAATGTCAACAACAACACCGCTGAAACAGATATGAAACTCAGATAACGAAGCTGGGGATCCTCCAGGCATGTGAGGTCCTCCAAGCTTTGCCTTGGCATCGGCAGGCAGGCTGCGAGATGCACTTAAGTATCGGCTACAAGTTACAATTGGGTCCTGGCAGCACCTGGCGCACTTCCTCTACTTTCACCTTGCCGAGGCTCGAAGTCTAGGTCTAAGCGGGGGGCTGAGCAGGCACGTGACTGGATGTGACTTGCGACGTCTGCCTTCCGCCGGGTCATCGCTTCCTTGAGAGGGTGGGGCTGCGGCAGCTTCGCCTATTCGGAATGCGAGGTCTCCTGACATCACTCCCCCTGTCCTCCCACAAAGCATCCCTGCCTCTTCGCGTGCGGGGCCTGCTTGCATTCACCCCGCGGCGATTCGCAAACTTTCGATTTGCTTGGACGAACCACGACGAGCCTCTTTCCGATGGGGACGCGGAGACCAAGGCTGCTTCCTCAGAGAGAAATCAAACCGGCACCCTTTCTCAAAAAAGGCGCATTCGCAATGTTCGATTTGGATTCTCCGCCTTTAAAGCCATCAACGTGTCACGGTAACACTGTCTCAAAAGCTGGTGGTCCCTGCCCCTCCCTCCCCACCCTCCCCCCCAACCTCCTCGGGCTCATCGAAGGGCTCCTTCGGAAAAGCTTCCGGAGTGCTCTGAGTGATTTCCTTCTTTGTGTGTTTATCCTCCAGACCTCAAGTCGCCCTTTAAGCAGTCTCAGCAGTGACTCAGTGTCTCAGCATGTCTCAGCCCTAAAGAAGTCCTCCTTTGTCATCTGGATCACAAAAGCGCTTTGGCGTCGGACCCGCGCGTCAGTGTTGGAGAACCTTCATATATATTATAGATATATATATATATAAAAAGAACAAGCCCCGTGCCCCCATTGTGGGGGGCTGTGTCGCTCACGGGGCCTCCGGAGCTGGGCGCTGCTGGTGATCTGGTCAGGCGAGAAATCATCGTCGAGTTCGCTGCGGTCCACATCCTCTCGATGACACAAATGACACAAATGACACACATGACACAAGTGCTGACCCTTGCATTTGTCAACATTTGTCATCACAGGCCCCACCAAACTCTCTACTCATCTCTATTCACTTCCTCATCATACTCGAAGGCAGACGTTCGGAGGCTCTTCATCCTTGCGAGGTCAACGAACAAAGACCGCTGGGGGCCGCTGGGGGCCGCTGGCGCCGATTGCAACCGCTTCATACTGCTTCGCCCATTGCTTGGCCCTTTGCTGGCTGAAAGATGCGCGGGAACAGAGTTCGATGACGGGTTTCCGAATCTCATCTGCCTCCACGCAACGCTGTGGCGCCCATATACTCCTATGCAACCGCGCATGCTTATTTGTCCAAGCCTTGGACATCTTGGCGTCGAGCTTCTCCCACAACAGCAGCTGTTCCGCCTGCTGAGCCGAGAGATGCTGAGAGAAAGAATCTGCGATGAGCTTGTTTTGGCTGGGCATGGCTGGCCATGCATGGCTGGCCATGCATGGCTGGCCTTGCGATACAGATAGCTCAGATAGTCTCGAAGGTGGTCGGCCTCCACACCAAGAGAATGGAGAGTTTAGCAAAGTGCAGCAGCGCAGCCCACAGCATGTCGCGAAGATCATTCGCAGCTTGCCGTTCTGTCGCGCACACGCCGCGGATCACATTTCGCTTGAAAGTGTGACCACTTGATGGCCACAACGTCTTTTCCTGCTTTGTCATGGAAACCGCGTGGATACCGCTGTAAAGCCATGCATCAAGCCCAAAGACACGCATTCCTGCATTCCGACTTGAACTGTACCCCGAAACGATATTCGAATGCGAATCAAGTTTCAAGTCTTGCAAGTTATCCACAATGCTCCCCTGCTCCCCGCGCAGTATTGAATACGTAAGCTGAGTTGCGCTGTACTCTGAGGGATTCTCTGCAGCCAAGCTTCCGGTTCCGGGTGTGTTTTCTTCCAACTGCCCGGTACCCAGTGTTGCATTTCCACAGAAGCCTTGTTTCGCTTCTGGGAGGGGGGGGGGGCATCTCCCTGCAAGACAATGCCAAGCAAACATCACTCCCCAAAATTTCAAAAGCTGGCAGGAACGACATGGCCATCTCGCGAGGGGGCTCAAAGGTTCAAAGCGATGCAAACATGTTCTGTCACTGTCCAAAGCTCGGAAACACTTTGACAAAACGAAACGATGCATCTCCTCGCCACAGACTAAGGAACTTCCGGGAGTGCGAGGCTTTGTTTGGGGTGGAGGGAGCCAGCTCAATGGCACAAATCAATGACTCGAAACAAACATGCCCTATCCGAACGTAAGCGGGCCTGTGGGGGGGCGGGGGGTGCGCACTCCATTCGAAGGCCCATTGGCAGCCATACAGCGATGCGATGCAAAAATGTACCCGTCCCACTACCAGGAGGCTTGGCGAGCAGGGACACGCAATGGCAAAGGTGCAATGACTGGAAGTGAACGTGGTCTCGCTCACTCTTTCGTTCACGATATCTCGGTTTCGCTTGTTTTGTTCCCTTTGTTTCTTTACTTTGCTGTTGTCTTTTTCGCGAAATGGGTTTCGTGACTTATTGTCGTGAACCCGCGCTTTAACTATACGAGGAAGCCGAGAACAACGAACTCGCAGTGTCTATGTCAGTCTATGTCTTCGCAGACTCCTGTGTCTGTGTCTGAGCTAGTTTTTATCCTGCTGCTTTCTCCTGCGGGTTATGTAAGGGGTTTTGGCGCTACTTGCCGCAGAATGCTGCCAACCTTTCTAGGCCTCCACATCCGCCAGAGCCTTCCGCGTAGAGAGCCTCAATATACGACAGCGGCATGATGGCATGGCTTGACTCCTCCCAAATTCGTGTTCCTGTGCGCTGCCCCAAATTGCGCCTCTGGATCGAAATCATCCTGACAGGAGACGGTTTTGTGGAAGAACATTGTGCTACGCAACTGGAAGTGGTCAGAGTGCTCTCTCGATTCTGCCTGGAAACGGTTCTTCGAAGGTCCTTGCTCCTCCAAGGAAGATCTGCATGGTCAGCTCTGCAGGACTGTGAGAGACATTGAAAGCCAGCGCAAGGCTTTCCGTGCACCTTGTACGGGTCTCTTCCTGAGCTACGTACTCACAAGTCGACTCATAGTGCTTCCAACTTCCAACCGTCTTTGTCGGTCTCCGAGCTCTGCCGTCGGGTCGCCTTGACGTCCTGGACCTTGACTTCTGCTTTCTTGGGCCTTCAAGGAGAAGGTGAGGAGAGTGTGAGGGCGTGGAAAGCTCAGTTAGCGCAAAAGCCATGTGTTTGTCCACAAGAGTCCACGAGCCTAGCATTCTCCGGCCGCGGCCTGCAGCGGCTCAGAGCACGACTGCAGGATTTAGTAACAATTTCGTACCTGTTGTCATCTGTTGTCTGAGCGTTGCTGTCTTGAGTGCTGGGCGCGGCCGGTGGCTGCGGCCTCACATGGCTGCTGATAGCTACTGCGGCTCGCGCCGCTCTAGCCTTGCACTTTGCCTTGCCTTTTTAAACTGTGGAGGTCCAGCGGGAGGAACTCCTGCAGGAGGGGGGGGGGGGGGGGCAAGATAAGCAGAAGTCGTTCAGCCTTCTGGAGGATGCGCAGACTTGCCTGCTTTGTCTTCTGCAGATTTCTGCAGCCTTTGGATAATCATTCGGGTCCTGCTCGCCCGAATCCTTCGGTACACACTGCTCGCCCTGCAGCTTCTTCTCGCTCTCCTCGCCTTGTTTCGTCTGATCAGGAAACTGACTGCCCAGCAACATTGGGCGTTGGTGCATGTTGGCTAAGTTGGTGCATGTTGGTGCTACTTTCTCACCACTTGATCTGAGCTCCGCACTCTCATGGCTCTCCAGCCCGACTCTGTCGCTGCGACAACTCTCGCTACCCCCGTCCTCCGTTTGCAGCCTTGGGGATGGAGCAGGTGCGATCACATACACAGTCACTACACCCACACGCTGAGGGCCAAGCGGCGGCAAATTCCTGAACCACGCAAGCCAGTCTCACTCCCTCAACGTTCCATGACAACCTTGACATCCGTAACATGCTGAAGTCAGTACCACGGTAATGCCGGTAATGCATTGGCATATTTCTCAACGTTTCTCTCATCCCCATCCCTGTCCTGGGCTTGGGTGGCGTGATCTCGTTGTCATCTTCAGCGCGATAGCGCAAGACCATGGCCTCATTTTGCAGGAACGAGCAGCTCCTCTCCCAACACTCCTTAACTACTCCTTACGTCCGCATGTCGTCCACTGAGCAAGCCATGCAAGCCCGGCCTGCCATGCCCGCAGATGATCCACGACGCTGCCAGGCGCTACAGGAAGCGCTGGAAATCTGCTGAGAAAGTTTGCAGCAGTTACCAGCCAAACTCCCTCTCTCCTTCGGCCGGGCCCATCCTGTCCCTGCCTGCCCTGCCTGCCTTGTAAGTTCTTGCGACACTTGCGCTGCCGGCACACCGGTTGCAATACTGGTGTGAGTGGGATCCTGATTCCGCATGCCCGAGATCGAGGAGACATCGTGCGAGAAAAGATCTCCAAGCCTACTCGCACAGGAAGGCATGCATATTCCCGACATCTCTCACGGACATCTGACAGTGACAGGAACCCCTTCATGCCCCTTCCCTCCCTTCCCCCCTAGCTTCGCACTCATGGAGCAGCTCCATGAGGTCAAATCTTGCAAGAGACATTCTGTGAAACTCTGGAACTTACTGAAACACAAATTGCCTTCTAGGTGAGACAGTGGTGACACTCAAAGCCCCCGAGGGTCGCCATGTCCCTGGGCCATCTCAAACTGCTCGAAAAGCATCTGGTCCTTCCAGTCCTTCCCAAATGCTGCGACTCTGTAGCTTTGATAGCTGTGCTTAGGGCCCTGCACAGATTGTACAGGCTGTCCCCAATGCGGGACAACAGCGCTCACGCTCTTCAGCATTGGCAAAAACCCTGCTTTGTGGTTCTGCTGGAACTGCTTTCGACAATAAACGCTTCGGGCCTGCCGTCTTCTGACTTGTGGGGCATCCCCGTCCGAGTCTGCATCAACGCGATCGGGGCCGCGCAGCTTGGGAAGAGAGACAGCGGATTCAGCGCAGTCAGTGCTCTTCCGGGGTCGGTTGGGATGGCTAGGATGGCTGGCTTGGCGAGGTTCACTCCGTGCCCGGACTGCCCGAGCCTGCTTCAATTGAGGCGGTTCGGAAATCCTTTCTGGCCGCTGCTTGGCTACAAGGGCTCCGCTGGAGTTTTGGGGAGCGTCTGGTGCTTTCCAAGCGGTCCAGTGCCTGCCTCCCAGAGCCGTTGCTTGCTTGGCCCAGGAGCTCAGCAACTCTTGTGCATTCCCATTACTAGTCTGTTGGACGCTCGAGCGGGGCCGGGTCAGCAAACGCCAGCGTTGTTCCACGGCCTGACGCCGGTGGCCGTCCTGCTCCAAGACAAAAAAATCTTGGGCACAAAGTGTGCCGCGGTCCCAGGGGTCCACCAATGCCTGCACCTCTGACAAAGGCACAGGGCAACCGAGCGACTTCAAGTTCTTTGCCAGAACCTCCACCGCCACAGATCCACAGCAGCGGCCGCCTGCCGCCAAAAAGGCCTCCATCACCGCACCTTCGGATCTGTCGGATCTTTCGGATCTTCCGCAGCCCTTTGCGCCCTCGGTGTCAGCGAAGCGGCTCTGGCACCAGGCCGCCACTGCTGCCAGGCGTGCAGCAGCAGCGGCATCCACCGCCTGTTGCGGGGTGTTGCAGATTGTTGCAGGCTGGGGATGGCTGGGGCATCAGAGATTGCTCCACGGATATCGTGAAATCACGATGCATCTTGCAACGCACACACACACATATATCAAAAGCACAAAGACGGAAGGCAATCGATGTTTGGGGCCCCCTAGAGTTCTGCCACGTGGCAAGTTCTGGGAAGGCATGGCGTCAGGCTCAGGTAGTATATAACAATATCATGCTACCTGAGTGGCCGCAACAGCTGGGCATTCCATACTCCCAAGAAGCCTACGCAATGTGCACAAGGGCAGAGCAAACTACTTTGAGAGGTATATCCATGCAATTTGACGTGGAAATCCACTCCGGCTGGCACCGTGATGTTAGAGACCCAAACGATGCACAGCAAGCAGGGTTCCTGCGACTCAGCAGGAAAAGTCTGACTTCCTGGTGGCTCCATGGTCGAGTCTTGGAGGCCGGCGAGGTTTTCGGAAGAAGGGCGCTGAGGCGACTAATCGCTGTTTTGGAGCTACACATAGCTACACATCATGCTGTTCCGTGCAGTTTTCTGACCGTGGCAACTTCCTCACTAACTCAGTCTTGCTCACTGCCCTTTCACGCCAATCAATCGCCCTGCGACGCCTTCCAAGTTTTCCGGCTGAAAATAAGAGCCGGGAAGCCTAAGTTGACGCGGACCACTCGGCAACGCCCTCGGGCCCTTGGGGCACTTCAGCTCCCACTGAGCGCCAGCAAAGCAAGCCAACAGCCCAGGAGGCGCGTTTCCACTTCGGGATCTTCCCAACCGCCTACAAACGATCTGCGTCAACCTCCGTCGTGCGCTCAATCCTGGACGAGCGACATCCACAGGGAATGGGGGAGAGGGACGCTCACATGCAGGGCTTGCCTTCGCATGAGGGCGCATAGACGCTGGGGGCTCTGGGCTTGCAACGACTTAGATGGGGGGGGGGGGGGCATTTAGTCAGCGCCTTCTTCATGTTGCGCGGTGCGTGCAGGGGTGAGCTGCAAGGGGCTCTGGTTGAAGTGAAAGAGGGCAGGGCCTGGCTTGCAGCTGAGTAACCTGCTGAGCCACTGGCTGCATCATGAGCGTTGGGTGCAGGCAGGGTTTGTGCACACGGTCAGGGAGAAGCAGGGAGCCATACTACTTATGCGTTGTGATCTCTTTGGTGAGAGTTATAGATTGTGGTACGTTGTGGGTGCTTCACCCAGTTCACCAGCAGGAGCACCCAACGCAAAGCATCAACGACTGCAGCATCTGGATACAGAAAAGGTTTCAGGCTGTGGGATCCGTCAGGAGGTGTCACAGCCCTCCAGTAACCCTCTTTCTAGCAGGACGGTGGGGGCAACGCAGAGTGTACACGACAATGTGGCAAGGGGCAAGCAAGGAGACAACTGGAACTGGTCGGAACGCAAAGATTCGGCCCCTCTTCCTCGGGCCGAAATATGTAGCCCGTGAGGGTTTCAGAATGAGGCTTGAGGCAATCTCCAACTTGCAGATGATTGCAGCTGCCCTGGTCCACCTTTCTGACTCCAAGGAGGTAGTCGTCGTCGTAGTCGTAGTTGTCGTGGTAGTCGTAGCGTGGTAGTCGTAGCGTAGTAGTCGTAGTGTGGTAGTCGTAGTGTCGTAGTCGTAGTCGTAGTCGTAGTCGTAGTCGTAGAAGTAGTCGAAGTAGTCGCAATAGAAGTAGTAGTAGAAGTAGAAGTAGTAGAAGTAGTAGCAGTAGTAGAAGTAGTAGAAGTAGTAGAAGTAGTAGCAGTAGTAGAAGTAGTAGAAGTAGTAGAAGTAGTAGAAGTAGTAGAAGTAGTAGAAGTAGTAGAAGTAGTAGAAGTAGTAGAAGTAGTAGAAGTAGTAGAAGTAGAAGTAGAAGTAGTAGTAGTAGTAGTAGTAGTAGTAGTAGTAGTAGTAGTAGTGGGTAGTGGGTAGTGGGTAGTGGGTAGTGGGTAGTGGGTAGTGGGTAGTGGGTAGTAGTAGTGTTCGTAGTACTTCGTAGTGGTAGTGGTCGTAGTGGTAGTAGTCGTAGTGGTAGTGGTAGTGGTAGTGGTAGTGGTAGTGGTAGTGGTAGTGGCAGTGGTATTCACATCGTCGCGGTGGTGGTAGTGGTCGTGTGGTAGTAGTGCTGGCAATAGCAGCAGTAGCAGTAGTAGCAGTGGTAGCAGTCGTAGCCGTCGTAGCAGTAGTAGCAAACGTCGTCGTCGTCGCTGTCATCCTCGAGCTCATGCATGTAGCATGTAGGGGGCAGGGTTCGGGAGTCTTATGTGCCAGCAGTGCAGTCATGCATCCGCACATTGGACATCCTTGGGTGCAAATGGCCACAGCTCCTACAAAAAACGTTCTACTGAAACATACTTGTATCAGAACATATCCGCATAAAGCAGAACACCCCTCCAGATGCCCCGCATCAGCATCATGAAAAACACTATCTCGAGATGAAGATACTGCATGAACGCCTAGTGAAAATGGGCGTGGGTTCTGGTCAGGAAAGCCATAGTACGCTTCGACCTGGTGCACCTCGCGATCTGTGATCCTATGCTTAGGAGCAGAGTGGCTTACTCTAATAATCATCAGCAATGGATGAATTGAAAGCATGCGCGCTTGCCCTTGAGAAGCCACAGAGGCTTATCAAGTTACATGAGATCACGTCACGGAATCCAACCGGACAGCAATGGACCGTGCACATGTCGCGTTGCATCAGGTGAACACGGTATGGCACATCGAAGAAGAGCGTGTTCTAACGCATGACAAAGAATGCACACCCCACGTGTCCTCCCAGAAGCACCTAAAGCTTAAACTTTAAACACGTGAGCGAGCAATGGGCACAAGAATACTTCAGCAACACAGCTGAGCCATCACCTTCAATGCAACTTCAGATCCTGCTGTGGCTGAGCCCCCCAGTGAACTCCAGAGCTCTGCAACGTCTGTCTTGTAGCCAAGCGCTGGCAGCTGCCGGCAGAAATCTGTGAACGACACGCCACGACCGTCAACATCAATGTGCCGTAGCCACGCCTGGGTGGGTCGAAACACACTTTTTTGCAACCATTTGCAAACAGAGCCCTTCTGAACAAAATGGGCCCGACTCTGCTCTCATCTTTCGCTTCGCGGGGCTCCTGCGCGGCGCTGGGCGCTATGGATTCCAGGAAGCGCCGAAAGTGCCCCAGGTGCCCCAATGAATCCGATGGTTCCGCTGGCCCAGAGGCACCGCCGCACGACACAGGTGACGGCGATGTTGCCATCTATTTTGGGGGGATTCTTCTTCCTCTACCTGCTGCTCATGAACGATCATGTATCATGTCTCATGCTCTTCACAGAAGAACCTTCTGTCATATTTGTCATGTTTGCCATGCCTGCCCGACTATCCTGCCCGACTATCAAGAAACAAGACTGCGCAGGATATCGGTGGGCATGTTTCGCCGCTGCAATATTGCGAACTCACCTACAACACCTCGAGCTGTCCTCACTAAGAACTTTGATTAAACTTGGCGAATTTTGCGCTAACGACTGTCCATGCGGCTGCCGACAAATACCCGCTCGACGTCGAAATTGCTGAACGTCGTCACACGGCGTCGTCCTTCCACACCCGGCCCATCACTTACCAGGCCCAATTCCCGAAACCTCACGATAGGGCTCGCCAGACAAACCTTCAGCGTCCGTCAGCCTTACCGCAAATTCCAAAGCGACATTTGGTCTACAGTTTGTCTTGGCTGTCTCCCGCCCAGTTTACAGACCCGCAAGCGAACGTCGTGCAGAATCTAAAGAGGAGAAACAGCACATCGTTCGCTACACCCGTAGAAGCGCAGCACGTTTTTCAAAGGGCTTGGGTGAGACGCTGGAATTCACGGTGACTGGAAGTGAACCCAGTGGGGTGACACAGAAGCAGTTGGTACCTACTGAAGCTCCCGCTCTGCCAGTTTTTGCAGAGACTGCCGTGAGTGGACCTTGGCAGGATGTGAGTATTAGTTTTTGGCCCCCTCGCCGTTCGTCCCGTTGCAGCACTGCTCGAAAAGACGGACGCAAACAAAGAACTTACCAACACTTCCATTGACTGCTTTAGGAAATCGAACCTTTCCATGTCTGATCACACGTTATGACCCTTCGCAACAGATGATACAGAAACAAAAGTACGATTGCAACGACAGTAGCAGGTTGGAAAACTAAGACCTCCAACAGATGACGGTGGTAAAGAGCTCGGGTGATTTGTTTACTCTCTATCTTAAGCTGCTTTCGCTGGCTTCCAGTGCTTGATGACTGTTGATGACTTTTTGTAGTCGAGCGTCGCCCTTCAGTTGGCCGTCCTGAAAAGATCGGAAGAGCAACGTTGAACACCGGATGCGCTCTAAGAAGGAGCGAACTCTGCACATCTCTGGTCTGCACCCTGCCCACAGCTAGCGAACTCGAGCTTAGGCTTCCTGTCCTGCCAAGCTCTGTCTGTCAGCTGCTTGGCCGCCTGGGCCTCGCTTTGAAAAGTCCACACTGACATTGAAGTGCGTCCACTGCTCAATTCAGATTCGCCGTGCCTCGGCCGACACTGGTGCCGCATCCTGAGCTAAGGGAAGCTTCTGAAAGAACATTTCATGGCACCCGCCAGACCAGCCGCACTGCAGGGCCACAAGTTCAATGACAAACTGCTGCAATTGTGGCGTTGAGGGTACAAAACCGGAGGCTTCACAATCGAACAGCTCATAATGCCTAAGCCAATAACACTACCTCGCCTGGATCGCCACTCCTATCCACTTGCAACACGCAACCACGCGACCCAGCAGTTAGGCCAAGGGATGAGATACTAGCGCCGTGTGGTTGGTGAGGGTACAGGGGGAGCTGGCGTACAAAATCTGCCCATTGGCAACTGTATCGGCGGTGCTCTTTGAACTCGCTTACTCGCTGGAAGAGGTTGAGAGTGCCAGCTCTCATTGGGAGGCTCAGCATGGCTCAGCTACTCCTCAAGGGGGCGGCAATGGGTTTTGAGGAAACAGGCTTGGGGTGACCTGGGTGCGTTTTGACACTGCTGATGTCAGCTCTTTCGATCCCGGCCTCGAAGCCATTAATGTGGACCCTGTTAGGTAGGGGCCGTGAATTGAGTCGGCGTTTAAACTCACATAACCTCATCCCTTTGAAAACCGTAAACCTCGGGAATGTTTAAAGACGGCCAAGATCAGCTTCGACTGTTCAAGGGGGCGGGGAGGGTTTCTACTTATTGCTCAACAGAAATCAAGAAGCCAACCTAGCACCAGACAAGCTAATGGACAAGTGAGCGCCCGTTGACCCGACCGCATTCCACAAACTGCAGCAAGTCTTGTACCACGTGCGGCAAGATCTTGCCGTCATCGGCTGCCCTATAACGCAGCAAGAATCAGCAGGATCTGCACTTCTACTACTGAACGTGTGTTCGAAAGAAAAACAATCTAGCAGAGATTGAACCATCCATTCGCTAACTTCTGCTGCAATGCAGCATGTACTGCACTCTTGGTCTTTTGTCAGGCGTGGTTCTGATGCAAGTAATGTTCTTGCGCCATGATCATCCTATTGTACTTTTCTTGGGACCCGACCCAGGCTGGCCGCAGAAGCTCGCTCTTCTCGCTCGGCGCTTTCTCGCTGTTGCCTGCGCCTGCGAAGCCCGCCTGCGAGCCGGCCTCTCCAATTTGCTCCGCAAATCGCCGCAAATCTCCGCAACAACCGTCTTTTACACACTTTTATGCATGTGCTAGGAAGCAGGAGGCGCGGCGGCGCATGTCGGCACGCGTCGGCGCATGTCGGCGCCTCATCACCCTCATCGGCTTGAAACTCTTTCAAGAGCGACTCCTCGGAATCGTACAAGGCGGCAGATGCGACGAAACAGTTCCAAAAGCCTGGCGCCCCTGAGATCCTTGAAGCTCTGCTGCTCGCGCTGCAGCTTTTTGGCCCGGTCCGTGATGGCCAGCAAACACTCCCGGAACTCGAGGTCATGGATGTACCTTGCTCACTCCAAGAGCAAAACGATTTTGCAAAGTGCGTCATCGCAAGTGTGGGCAGATGATGGCACGACTCGGCACGATGGCGCAAGGGCACTCGTCGTAGTCAAGTGCTTCCGCAAAGTTGATGAGCTCCCCGGCGGCCTGCTCCTCCTGGTCCTGCACATCATTGCGAAACAAGGCTGCCTCAATCTTCCTCACCTCAGCTCACAGCACATCTGGCCCATCCCAGCGTGCCGGCGCATGGCAGCTTAACACAGCTTACCTCTCGTTCGCCCTCAGTCAAGGCCCACAACGGCTTCAGCTTTGCCTGCAAGCTTTCTTGCTATGGCAAATCCTGCTGAATATTGCTCAATGTACTTCATGTACCGTGCTGGCTATGTTTCTGTAGCCTTCGGGTTCAAGGCCGATGTGAGTTCCTCCGCACGCGCATCACCTGCCAAGCTCCCGCAGCTTGCATTCCTGTTCCCTTCCTGTGCCTCGCACTTGGTACCGCACCAAGCTTTAGCAGACGGATGGCTTCACGTTGCTTTTGGAAGACCTTGCCAGCTGCATGTTTGCGACTTCCAACGGCATCATCGTCAATCGCTAGTGGCATGGTACTTGGACTTAAGGGAAGAGCAAGAGATTCTCGGGAGATTCGGGGAGGGGGGGGGGGGTTTCTTCGGCGCCTCTTTGAGGCGCTGCTGTTTGAGCTCACGATCCCGTTCGGATCGCTCCGCAAAGGCTGCATCCTTCAGGGCTCTGGGGGGATGACACCGGTAAAAAACAAAATACCCAAGAGCACTACCCCAAAAAGCATCCCTCAAAGCGGCGATTCCCTGGAACTTGCGCCTGCGCCACCTGCTGCTGCAGCTCCTGCCGCAAACCAGAGATTGAAAAGAAAGGCAGGCAAACAGAGGCGATTCCTTCACCCAACGACAGTGCCGCCGCAGCGCGGCACTGGGCCCCCTGCTCTTCACCTGACAAAATTCGGAAAACTCAACCCCAACGTAAAACTCCGATTGCTAATTATTGGCTTGGGCCTCTCCAGGCACGGCCTCAGGCCGCTTTCGGTGGAGGCCAAGCGGCTCCCCAACCTTGTCCAAAGACAAACAAGACCAGTAAGTGACTAGTAGTCTACCGCAGGTGAAGTGGTGAGGTTCGGCCGCTCTTGCTGTTCTTGTTCTGTTCTTTTCTGCAGCCTCCGCGCGCGTCTGCGTGCTCGTAACGAGGGGTCCGACATCAGAACGGCTTTTGCGGGATGACCGGCATTGTGTGTATGCCTGGCCCCTTCGGCGCACACCCCTCTCCTATACAACCCAACAAATCTCATTCATCTCACTCCTCACCAACTGCGAATGCCAGCGGTGAACGGACCCGGCGTAGTCAGGAAAATGCACAGGCCTTAATCAGAAAAATGCGGGGGCCGAGTCAGAAAAACCCAACGCCTCAATTTCCGCAGACACTCGCCGAGAAAAAACAGAGTGTGTGTCTAACATTCGCGTCCAAGGCACTAAACAGAACCAAAAAGGTGCCAATCCGAAAAACGATATGGCGCCAGTTGGAGGCTTCGAACGTCCGAACGCAACTGCAGTCGGAGGAGAAGAAATCTTTGGTCAATCGAAGAAGCCCTGCACACCAAGATGCACACTGCAGAAGATCCAGCTACACTGAGACCGATGGGAAGTAGCCATGCGTTAACACAAAGTGATAGTTCTGCACGACGAGCGTGAGATCCCCCAATCGAGTGTGTCCGAAAGCCCCAATCCGAACACACACAAAGCGCCAATCCGACAATGTTGTTTTTTCGCTAAATCTTTTCATGGCAAAACCTCGATGTTCTTGATATTTTGGCCCTTTTTCGGGGGGGCCTGAACCCCTGACCCCCTCATATGTTTTGAAGCAAGCTTGTCTTTCGATGCTGATGTCATTCGCTTTCTTTTTGTCTTTACAAAACTCGTTTTGTCGCTAATTATTTATTTCTGCTGTTGTGTCTTTCTGGGTCGCTGTGTGTTTCTATTTATTTCTTTCTTCTCTATTTCTTGCATTCCTTTTTCTCTTCCTGTTTTCTTCTTTCCGTCGTTCTTTTCTTCTGTCCCTTCTTGCTTCCCTTCAATTCCAAGGAAGATTTTTCAAAATGGAGAAAACATAAATAGGGACGTCCGAACCCCCCCCCAAAAAAAAAAAAAAAAAAAAGTGCCAATCCGAAAAATGAAAGCGTCAGTGCGGCTTACAAGGTTTTGCCAATGAGGCGGTTGTTTCTCTGAATGCGCCTGTTTTCGGACTGGGGCGTCGCCGTTTTCTAGAGCGCACCTTTTTTTGAATCAGCCGTGCCGTTTTACTGTAAAGGTTTTCGTACTGACGCCGGTGCTTTCTGACTGACACTGCTGCCCGAAACCAACGCCAAGAAAGTCCGTTTATGGAAGCTCCACCCCTGTTCCATGATTCCTCTTGAAGAACTATGTGGTGCGGCTGGGCTCCCCCCCTCACCCGTCCCCGTTGAACTCCAACACCACACAGACAGCACTGCTATTTACTCTGCACTGTGGCACTGCTCCGCCCGAGGTGCTTCCTTCTGTCAAGAGGCATCTCTGCATTCTCAGAACGCTTGGGGTTTGCTCGAGCCCCGAGCTTTCGGAGAGCAGGTTTTGGATTCGCTTTCACAGAATCACACCATCGGGGGAGATGACTTGCTTAAGCTTATCCCACAGAGCTCTCTGGCTGCTGCATTGGTTGGCATCTCGCGGCATCGCTCGAAGAAGCGACTGCAGGAATGACTGCGGAGACGAGAATGCTAATCTTTTGATAACACTCACAGCAGAGGGATTTCCGTCGCCGTTTTCGAGCCTTGTTTGGAGCTGTCTTCAAGTTGTCAACTCTTTGGGGGCAGGTCGCGCCCAATTGAATCAACCGTCTTTCGGGCTTTCCATTCGGTCATTGGCCGGGCCGATGACTTCTTCTTCCATGTTACCCCGGAGCTCCGATGGCAAGGCGTTGCATATCGTTGCATTGAAAATAGTTTTCGTCTCATCGGGTTCAGTTTGGACCAAAGAAGAGTCGACAACGCACACATGAAGGCGGGGCAGAGTTCAGCCCATATATGGTCTGACGCGTCCAAACCGCCTGCGCACTGAGCCCCCCCCCCCCCGCGTAAACCCAGACCATGACCCTGCGAGCCTCTCTGGTTGTTCTTCTGCCTCATCTTTCTGCCTCCACTCAGGCCGGGGCAGTCGCAGGGATGGCGGAGCGAAAGGGCCTCGATCTGTGCAGCTTATCGTTTACGAGCCGGCGTCGGTTCGTCGATTGCATTCTGGCCTTACCGATGCCTCCGGCTTCAGCGTATCGCCAGCCGTTGGGCGGTTGCAGAGCATCACGCCCTTGTAATTGCCCAGCCTGGAATGGCAAGCTGGCAGTGGCATGGTGCTGCTCTAGGGCGCCTGGTCTTTAGCGCCTATCATCTATAACAGTCCTAACAAACCGAACACTTCTTAGATTCTGGTTCCCCAGTGGACACCTGCTTTCCAGCGACTTCTTGAAGGAACCACTATCTCGGGCCGCCCCACCCCCTGCCCCCAACCTTTAATTCCGGCTCTTATAACCTCTGCTTCGACCTCCGGACCCCGACCCAAGCTTGGCGAGTTTCGGTGAAGCAGCTTGGCTCTGACAGCGGCCCCGCTGCCCCAAAACGGCCCCAAGCTCTTCACCTCCCATACTCCCTTTAAGACCCAGGCTCTGCCATGGGTGGAGGGGCTGCGAAGCTCTCCTCCTGATGCAGGCTGTCCCAGGTCTGAAGCATGTCTCAACTGCGTCCAAGTCCCAACTGGCCTTCTCCATCTCCCTGCAGCGGCTCTGCGCAATCTGCGCCCGCCCGCGACTCTATAGAGCTTCTGAGAGGGGCCGCAGAAAAGCAGACAACCGAATTAAGGTAAACATTGTTACTGCGTGCTGCAAACCACTGCTGTTGCATTGGCAGCGCTGTGAGTCGCCATTTTTTCGTCACTCGAGTTGCAATTGCTCACGCAGCATGTCCTCCACCTGCGAAAGGCTCAGCAGGGATCACCAGTGTGCGCTTCAGTGTGGTCCCCTGGTCACATGTCCATGCTTTTCCTGTCGCTCTCGCTCTCGCTGCTCTCGCTTCCTTCCTTCCTCTGCACGTAGCCCCCGAAGGGGCCGCCCCAAGGGCATGCTCAAGCGATCCAGCTTTTCTTCGTTTCTTTGGTGCTTGGGGCAAACCACGCGCCTAGGTGCGCCCCGGTCTGCTTGGCTCTGTAACTGCACCCTGGGCTGGTATTCAGCCCTGCCGCCTGTGCTAGTCGGCCCTTACGAGCGGTTCCACCCCCAACACCCCCCACAAAACCCACCAAGGTCAGCCCCCACTCAAAGTGCAACTGTCAACCTCTCACTCTCTCTCCATCTTTCGTCATTCTCCATCCCTCTTCCCCCTCCAGAGCTTCTGGGATCCCATGCGGCCCGATTCAGGTCCCCGTCCGCGCGCTGCGCTGCCCGAAGCACAGGGTCCTGCCGGAAACTCCCGTCCAGAGACCGCTCGAGTAGACCGCTTGCTCCACAAATGTGTCTACACTTGCACACTTCTGAAGTTACACCCTTGAACCTCGTCGAATCCCATGCAGCGCAGGGTGGCCGCCAGCTGCTCCTGACGTGCCTGTTCCTGAAGGGGTTCCGCTCGTTCCCTTCTCTATACTGTCAATCGCTTCACTGTCACTGAGCCCTGGACCTCCTCCTCTTCATCCTGCCATCTGATTTTGTCCGACTTTCGCGCACAAGTCACAACGCAACGCAACGTCCGACAACCGCCAAGCATTCGCACGAGTTCACAACCATCGCAACAGATCGCAACTATCGGCGAGCGTGACGAGAGGTGCTTGACGACGCTCTGGGGCCTTGAGATGAAGTGGCAGTGAGAGGACAAAAGAGGCAGAGAAACTCATACAACTATAGTGTGGCAGAGCGGAGATGCAGATGAGTTGGAGGCATACACCCAAGGTGAAACAGGTGGAAAAAACCAGAGAACTAGGGGCTTAGATTCTTAGACTAGGAAACGCAAACTCCGTTGCATCCGCCGCAGCGAGGTTTGAGCGTGTGAGTCTTTCCAATTAAGCGCGTGTACTGCGTGGTGTGCTCAGTGGAAGTCTTAGTGGAGATTCTGTTCAATAAAGGTCAATATGTTCAATTCTCTGAAGGTCCCCGGCGGCAGCGGCGCCGGAGCCCATGGAGCCGGAACTTGGAAGATCTCTGTCGAAGACGTCCTCCACCTCCTGAGACCGAGCCGCCCCCCCCCCCCCTCCAAAAAAAACACACACACACACACACACACACACACGCACACGCACACGCGAGAATTGAATACACATGAACCATTAATCACGAACGATCACGGTTCAAGACTGTTCAAGAGCCTGCCTATGCGAGCTGCACCAACCATCGCAACTCACTCATGCACCTCCCTCACTTATTCACTCGCTCACTCCCGAACTCACCTGACTCACCTCAGTCCACTCACTCACTACAACACCATACAACAACATGCAACACCCACTTCCCAACCTTCCAACCCCTCATCGCCCCCTGCTGATTCATACGGCATCGCTTGCATCACTCCTCTCGGCGCAGGTCGCGTGGGAGATCTCCTGAATCTAGGCCGTCTAGCGGGTCTCGGGCCTCGAGAGATCATGGATGAGGAAAAAAAAACATGGCAGGACGTGGCAAAGCCGGCCTTGGGAAAGGCCCCGTTCCCTAAGAGCCCGGCGGGCGAACTTGAGCTTGAGAACTTTGGTGCTGGAGCGGGCCCCCCGGCTCCCTTAACAGCATCGGTCTTGTCGTCGGTCTTGTAGCCCTGCGCATAGACCTCAAAGAGTGTGAAACTTGCGACTTCATGCTCTCAGGAACTTCGAAGAGACTTGCAAAGAGCATCGGGCCACTCAAGAGTCAGACAAACTGAGCTTTCAGGCTGCAGGCTGCGGCTTCGCCTCCAGGGTGAGGGCGGGGCCCACTTTTTCGTCACTGGGATGCCGGTACAGACACCTCAGCAGACGAGGAACCGTACCAAAAGTACGATAGAAGCCTTGAAACCATGCAAAGGAAAGAGGCCCTCCGGAGCCCGTGCCCATCGGTGCGGCAGCCACGGCCCCACTGGCAATCGATCTTACCATAGCGCTCTTTGATGCTCTGGCACGATGCCTCCCGGGCTTCAACAAGCTTTCTCCACCCATCTCCGCTGCCTTGCCCTTGACCCTTTGCCTCATCGGGATGCTTGTCATGGCACTGCCGGCCAAAGGCACACTTGCCGGCCACAAAGGCGAAGCAAACCTCGGGGGGGGTCGGGGCGGGGGGCTTTACACTTTTGCGGAGTCTGCAGCATGCCCTGCTCTGCCTTGTCGGACTTCTCAACAGGGCGTGCCTGGAAGAAACTGAGTCCCGGTGGAAGGGTTTGTGTTTTTTTGGCCCCCTGAGGGGCGCGCAGACTTGGCAGGCTTCGGAGGGTGCTTGAAGACACAGTCCCTGACGGCACAGGTCAACAAGACGAAGCACAAGGTGGCTGACCAGCTGCCTCCTGGTGCAAGCGGCGCCGTAGCGGCAGTCGGGGACCTGAATCTTGGCCTTCCCTCGGCCCATCACTTGGCCGGGCCGCCGATCAAACCCAAAAAACAGGCTATCTGCCTCCTCTCGCTCTCCTACCTGTCGTTCTGGCGTTGAGCCAACAGGCAGCGATGCTTGCGCCCTAGTTGGCAGAAATGTTGCAAAGGGCTGTTGTAATCGGCCAATTAAGGTTAGTAATAGTAATACTATATTGACAATGCAAAAGGCAGACGTTCCTGAAGCCGGTCCGCTGCTCTTGCCGTGCAAGATTCGCAGCGGACGGGGCGGGGTACGAAGTAGTACGAAGGGACGCTGAGGCAGTGTCCAAAAGCACGGTCGGCTGTCTGAACGGGCTCTCCCTGCCACTGAGCACCATGTATACTATAGCTAGCAAACTAAACCGAAACCAAAAGAGCCTGCAGCTAAAGGGTACTGGTAAGGGGTGAAGAACCAACAATGACAAACTGTACAGGGTAGTTGGTGCAAATCAGGTCCGCTATCAATCTTGAGTTATAGGAAACTCGTAGTTTGCCAGTCGTAAATAGCAACTGACCCTTTTCCAATACCATGCGTTCAAAGCAGATCTTTGCATCGTCGGTGAACGCTTCGGCTCTCAGCTGGGAGGACAAAACGGAGCTGAAAGAGACGTTATCTTAAATGATTCTGTCTCTTGCGGCCTGCAAAATTCTGGCCTTTTGAAGTTCAGACCCAATGTAACAATGTAGTTTTCATTGCCCGTTAACGCTGTATGCATTAGAGCATCCTTTGTGACGAGAAAATTGGCGTTAAATATGCAAAACCGAGAAATTTAATGAAAACAAAATGTTTCACTGCCCAACTCGCTCTCCTCTTTCTCATCCCAGCATGCGAATCGGGGAGTTTCCGATGCAATTGCTCTTGGGCACAGGTCGAATCCGTCGAGTGGAATGTCCAGCATATGCAATGCCTGGCAAGGGCAGTCCCGGAGTATCCCGCAAATGCCACGTACCTCCGCAACCCGAACGGACTCCGGCAGGGCCGGTGGGGAAAAGAAACGTTTCGCGGCTGCTGAGGCCACTCCTCCATTTTGGCTCGGGCCATGCAACATCGGAGGTCGAGATCCCTGAAACAATACGCTGCGCCACACCTGCCCTAGCACAAAGGGAAAAACACCACTTCGAACATCCCCACAACTGCAAACATTTCAAGTTGCAGTGTGGGCAAGGGGGTTGTGTTGTTGTTTTTCCTTGCTGGCGAAGTGCATGCTGCTGGTCCGACGAAACAAGTTTCGGGCGCAGGGTTAGGATTTCAACTCTGCGTGCTCAGATTGCCTGCTTCATTTGCAGTGGAAGAAGACAAGGTATATATAGTATTCAGTTTGGTGTTTATTTGTGGGGTCAAGAAAGATGCTTGTGTGTACCATTCATGTACAGTTGCCCGCTTGTGCCTCCCTGGCCAGTCCTTTTCTCGCCAACATTCCGGTCGAGTTCACCTGAGCCTCTTTCCCTGCCCTGTGTTCAAAGCTGTACTCTCTGCTGTCCTGAGCACTTCTAATATCGTCGCGTCACACGATGTGCGCCCCGTTGCCCCGTTAAATTTAGCAACCTCAACTTGTCGGGCGGGGAACAGGCAACCACGGCCAACATGCTGAAGGGACGACGCTTGTTGAGGCAAGCTTGCGCAGGCCATAGGGCTTCTTTTTAAGGGAGTTTTCATGGGCCTCAAGAACAAAGTTACAGATGCCCTTCTGCGAGATTAGCTTTTTCCAGCATATTTGCCCAGTTCATCCCACTTCGATCTTTTTCTCGGGGCCGTCTCTCGCACATCTCTTCCGGGAACCTTGATGCCCTGAAGCAGCGCGCCCAGCACACATCAGCACCACGACTTCAGCCGAGCCTTGGAGACAATCTGGCAAAGCAAAGATGCAGTCCCATGTGTTGGAGCAAGACTCGCTGCGACTCGCTGCGGCCTTGTAAAGATCCCGCATTCCGCAATGGAAGCCTCACAGCTTCTAAACGGCTCTCTTGCAGGGATGTCTCGAGGGGTTCCTGGGGTTCATGTCAAGTTCATGGGTGTTCAACACAACGCAGCCTTCAAACGCTGCCACTCTGCGTCGAGGCTGGGCATTGGCACCTGATCAGGCCCCTCATCTTCAACAATTTGGCCCTCCCCTTCTTCCATCTTCTTCCCCTTTTCCTTTTTTTCCTTTTTCCTCCCCGTCATTTTCCCGCCGCCTTGTCTGGATGCCGAAGGTGAAAATCGCCCTGTGCCCAACCCAGACCTCGAAAACTGCAGATGAGACCAGGTCGGGCTCTGTGACAACGCGATGCGCCCCACCTGCCCCGAAGCCTATACCTCAGCGAGCTCAGCGGCTGCACATGGTTGCACACAAAGAACTCTCTATCTGGCCCCCGCGTGCCAAAACTATGTTGTATAAGTGGCCCACCCAGACCGCCACAAAGGCATCGAAGCCCTCGGCCCCTGCTCAGAGTGACAAGCTGCGTTGGGCTGCGCACGCTCTTGCACTCGTTCGGCGCTGTCAGATCAGATCGCTTTCTCATCCTCTTCACATCTTTGTCTCTCTTTCTCTCAAGGCCGCGGCCGAAAGAGAATACAGGCTGGAAGGAAGGCCAGGGAACCCAGCGCAGCCTCTCATGGCAGGATCTTCCATACACATTTCTCGCAACGAGGCGGATGTTGAGCCTACCGGACCGAGGTTTGCTGCAGCACGTGCATGCTCGAGGCAGCGTTTCACTACGCTGTGAGAAAAACACTCGCATTTTCTCACATATCTCTGGCGAGGGCACCGGATTACCATGGCAGGCTGTTCTGACAACATGCTGTTGGGGATGCTCGTCAACGAGGTCATCGGCAAGAGTTGGTCTGCCAGTGATGGCACAAGCCCGAACCCTAAGTCCTTTGTGGCCACATTCTGGAGCAGCAGCGGCACAGGCGAGGCCCCTGAGGCCACTGAAGACGCCTGAGCAGGCAGTGATCTCTGCTGAAAACTTATCAGCATCACTGTGGCAAAAACCCCCGCCTTCGCCATTACCCACAGCGAAACGAAGCAGCAAGCGGCAAGCGGCGGGGTTTGGAACTGGGGTTTGGCAACTTCGAGGCAAGACGGCCAACCGAAAACTGGACATTAATTGGCTTGTGCCGGCGGGAAACCTCTCCTTCCTGCTGTGTCGCTCGCTCCCTCTCTCGCGCTCTCCCTCTTGCTTTCTTTCTTCCTCTCTCTCCTTCTCTCCTTCTCCCCTTCTCCCCTTCTCCCCTTCTCCCCTTCTCCCCTTCTCCCCTTCTCCCCTTCTCCCCTGCTCCCCTGCTCCCCTGCTCCCCTTCTCTCCTTCTCTCCTGCTCTCCTGCTCTCCTTCTCTCCTTCTTCTTCTTCTTCTACAGGGCTTGAAGGGCGTGACCACCCCCCGCGCTCTGGGCGCGCACAGGTCCACAGGTCCACACGTCGTCGCTGTGAAGCGGAACAGGAGATGCGATGGACCAGCAGGCTTCTTCCTTCCTTTGCGCTTAGCCCCCCGCAAAGTGGCCGCCCAGAGGGCGTGCTTCATTGCGATCCAGTCGGCCGAGATACACGCCAGTCAGGAGATGCCTTCACCCACGGGGAAAAGTGTGGTGTTGGCTGCTCCCAAATGGGGTCATCCGACTCCTCTGGTGGGGTTACCCCATGTTGGGTGCCCCCCGCTGTAGCCAGTAGGTGTCAGGACTTCCGAGTCAGGGAAGAGGGCGCGGTGATATGCTTCACGTCTTGTGGCATGGTTAACTGGGGGAACAGACACAACATGCCTAGTGATTCCTGGGCCAGGGTATCGCGAGTATTCGCCATGACGTGAAAAGCAGGCAGGCGAGGGGTTTAGTTGCAGGCTTCTCTCTTTCTCTCTTTCTCTCTTCCTCTCTTCCTCTCTTCCTCTCTTCCTCTCTTGCTTGCTTGCTTGCTGGGCGTATGAGCCCCGGCTCTCTCTCTCTCTCTCTCTCTCGCTCGCTCTCAATGGATGTTTACGGTTTCTCTGCGAAGCAATATTGAGATCAACATTCTTCAAACGATATTGTCACTACTTTAGTATTCCTGAAGTCCTAATTTTAATTTGGGGACAACAAAGGTAGGAATGCGAGTGTTTGCAACTGTGGCTTAGCTAGAGTCAGGCTCTTGAGACTCTTGTAGCCTGGGCGCCTGGGGCCCAATCGGCAATCCGGGGCATCCACTCGTAATGCCTCCGCTGAAGCAGAAACCGCAGCATGACAGCAAGCAGAAGGGAGAACGAATGGCCCAAGCAAGTCAGCTATCAAGACTTTGACGCTAAACAACCCACACAAGAAGAATACGAAGAACAATTCCAAAAATGGCTAAGCAAGAAAGGACAGCAGGTATACTCTTCTCCGGGCGTGGCAGAAGGAGCTAAAGAAGCTGCTGTTGCGAAAGGTTGGGAAACGCCAGTGAAAGGAGCATTCGGCATTGAATTCTCCAATCCAATAACGTGAATCGAAAATTAAACTTCGCAAGAAAACTACCAAAAACAAAGAGAAGAAAGACCGACGATGATAAGTTTGCGTTGGTATTTATCATGAGCTTTATGAGTATACTGGCAGTTATGATGCTATCACCTTTGCTGATACATCAGTTCAGACAACTTTTCCCAAACTAGAGGCTTAGGGTGGCTGTTTGATCGTCACTCTGATGAAACAAGATTGCAAAACAAGAGCGCAAACACAACAGAAACATTTGGGCATATGCTTCAACAAATCAAGGGAGTTCAAGAAGATTGAACGTGCGTCGAAGATGACGATTGTAAAGTACATATAGGCATGGGGCATTCAATAGACACACTGTAAAGTACGTACAGGCATGGGGCATTCAATAGACTCTGACACACAAACAACAAATCCTCACAGACCTTTAAATTCAAAACCAGGCATATGAACCCAGCGAAAAGAGAAGATGATGAATATGAAGGTAATTTATCGCCAGCAAATGGCAGTGAATGTTATAGGAATGGGCGTAGGATTACAACAGGCGCATAACTTACCTATCAAGGAGTTAGAGAAGGAATGAACTCAGTTGAGCTTCAACTGACGGCCGAGAAACAAACGAAGATTGTGAGAAGTGGAGCGAGTCGTAGCGGAACCCCATATGAAAACAGAGGAAGAGAACGAAGTAGAAGCAGAAATGATGGATGAAGATGACAGAACAGCCAAGCGGAAGCAGTAATGCCCACAGATCATTAAGAAGAGGAACGACATCAACGCCGCCGAAGAGAAATCCAATGAAAGGAATATATCAACTTCCTAATATCGATGCGTTTGGCACCTTCAATGTCGCATATTCAGCACAGTAGCTAGCAACATACTTTCTATTGTAGTTTTTTGGTTCTTGTCGCCTTGTTCTTCCAGTAGCGTTCTGGTTCCTTTTCGTTCTTCTTAACGTATTTGGGGTCGTGCGGGCTGTGCTCTTTTTTCACTCTCGCAAGCATTGTGAAGCTAACATGTGCCGCGTTCACTAATCCAGTTCCTGCCAGAACACATGAAGTACATGTTCGCCTGTACCCATGTGCGTGAGAATTTCGGCGGGCTTATGAATTCAATCATCTCCCTCCTGTGCACTTTTAGAACGGAATACTCAAAAGGAGTGGGTACCGCCGTCCTCCATCGGGGAAAACAACTTGCAACAGCATCTTGCTCCACTGCTGCAGCCCCACAACAACAACTCGACAAACCAGCTGGGGGCACCACTTCTGGAAGTCGTTGACGACAAGCGCAGGGGAAAATGTCCAGCAGAACATTCAAGGGCAAGATAGTTCGAGGTCCAGGGGTGGTATGGGGGTCTTTCCCGGGACCTCATTAAGGAACAGTTGAGGGTAGATTTGCCTGGCTGGCTTGGGTTTTGGTTGCATTGTGGAATGAACAGCACCCCAACGCTCTCCATCAAGAACATCAAAAGTCACAGGACGTCATAAACATTTGCCGATGACATTTTTCCAGCGCCGATTCTTCTGCGACATTCCGCGACGGTCAGTGGAAAAGCTCGACACTACCTAAGCTATCCTAAGCTCCAGATGCTCCTGTTCTTGCACAGTGGCTCCGCAGCTCAAGCCTTCGGTGGGGCGATGGTCACGAAGCCCTCGTGCGGGAGACTGCATCACAATCTTATGCTTACTAGGCCCACTAGGCACTGCAGGCCGCAGATGCAGGCACAAGCGCAGGCACGAGCGCAGGCACAAGCGACAAGCACAAGCGACAGGTTGGTGCTTTTTTTTGGCTCTTGCCTTGTCCAAGTCGACTTTCAGGATGGCCATGTTCTGCAGTTGCTCGCCGATGCGGAAACTTCGTGCGCGCGAAGACCAAAAGCAGCCGTCCCGTTCCTGAGTATATAGAGCAGTGCGAGAGTCGACGCCACCCTACGGGCCCCAGTAGCAACCGAGTGTCAGCCCCAAAGTCCACCCAAACCCGGTTCATGAAGCAGTTTGTGACCTTCAAAAGTTCGAAACTTTGAAGAAAAGAAAGCGAAAGAGACACACACACACACACAGAGACACAGAAGAGCGCGGAAGACAGCGAACATGCACGCGACGCCATGGCCTTGCCACTCACGGCGCGGCCTCTGCAAGCATTGGAAACGCACGCAGAAGAGCAGAAAATCTCACTGCATGGCTCAGCCCACGTGACAAGCCGGAGAAAAGGTGCGGCCTACTTCCAGCTCCGCGAGCGGCTGTGCCTTTCACGAATGCTCGGTCTCTGCATGTCTCTGCGGTTTGCTGTGTGCACCTCAATGTTCACGCACAGCCCACTCTCAGCCTGTGCCTCCTTGCGCCGCCAACCTGATACGGGCTTTTGCGCCAATGCCTTCCGGAAGCAAAAGCATGCCTAACAGCTGTAGATACTGTGTGCCGTGGACCTTTAGGAATGATGTGAGGCTTTGTATATCTTTAGAACACTGCATACATATCTTTTCTTTCCACCACCTAAAGGTCCAAGCCACCACAGACTTTTCCTCTCGCTCGCTCTCTCTCGCCCTCTTTCCTGGCAGTAGGGAGTGGGCGGCACCACGAAAATGATTCCCTCTTGTCGTTCCCTTCCCAGGATACTTACTAAACTCATATCTACCTTTAGATTCAAACTCATAGATAAAAATAAGAGTTCTGCAGTTCGGGCATTCGCTATTTTTCGACTATCTTTTGAAGGCAGCAGCAAAAGGCAAAGGCAGGCCGAAGCTTGAGGCAACGCCGGCTGCAGGCTTTGCTCCCTGACCCCTAGGCAGTTGATGGCGACGGCAACTTCATTCCATTTCAAGGGAGAGCAGGGCGGTTCTGTGCACAAGCACCACGAAAGCCGTTTGAGCCTGGAGGTTGGAGTCTAAAGTCAGACGACGGAAAAACAAGCCTGAAGCGATGCGGAAGCTCTTCCGAAATGAGAGAGTTCTCTGTTTGTCTTGCCTTATTCTGAACGAGTCCCCCAACATTTTCTCAGTACGAAGTAGCCCTTCCTGGAACCAAGCCGACAAGCCGACTGCTCTTTGTGGGCTTGGAGCGCATCGAAGACGTAAATCTGCTCACTTCAGGTTGAACTCTGCTCAAGGATGAAGCTGCTTGTGTCATTACTCCGCTGCCATGATTTGAAATAGTTGGCATTCGAACCAGAACTGTCTCCGCTCCAGGACGGACCTCTCGGGAACAGCACTCTCCTTCAGCAGAGCATATTAAATACAACGGCAGCTTTCCCATTTCCCGGGTTCTGGTATCAACCCTCAGACCGTGTACACGACACACAGAACTTCCCAGGCAGAACCACGGGTAGCCTGCACATGGCCTGCCTGCTATTGCCTGTTGAATTTCTGGAGACGACGATCGACGCTACTTACTCAAATTGCGGCAAACCGAGTTCAAGTTTTCAACCTGAATACACATATCCTGTAATTCCACGCCTTCAGTACCGGCTTCGCGTCCGGGGAGTGCCCCGCAGTGCTCCTGCCCTTTCCTTCTCCGTCCTTCCCTGGCGGTCTTCTCGTCCTTGTCGTTGTTGTCGTCGTTGTCGTTCTTGTCGTTCTTGTCGTTCTTGTCGTTCTTGCTTCTTTTCGAGCCACGCTGCTTGCCTCCGCCGGAGGGACCTCCTGCTCCAGCTGCTGCAGCTGCCGCAGCTGCTGCTGTCGTGCCTCTTCGGCCTCTGGGCAAAAAAAACAGCCAAGGGATTTCTGGCTTTGAAGGCCGGGATGCAGAACTGCTTGCGTTGGATTAAATTCCCCCCCTCGGAAGTTTGAACAGTACAGTTTGGGTGGCTTCACCTCCAAACACATTCAGATTCTCGCTCTTGGATAGAGGTGGTGCACATTTTGGTTGTTAAGCGTTGCGTCTCTAAGTCCTGTCAGGTCCTGGGCGGTTCGTTGCTCTTGGCAAGGGCATCCTTAGCTCTGTGCTATGGCATTCTCCTCAACTGTTGTATATCATTCCCGGTGTTCCGTTGGCAGCTGTTCACTGCCAGTTGGAAGCACGCATTCTTCTGCTTCCACTCGGATCCAGCGGATCCGAACTGGATGTTGATCGCTTCCTGCACCTTGAACCAGCCCTTAAACAAAAGGAAAAGTCACAACCCGGCCGAAACGGACGCCAGTCCGAGCTCGGTATCGGTATAATGCTTCCAAGCAGGGTCCAAGCAGTACCTTTTTTCATCAAGAACTGGTGTACAGGAGCCTCTGACACCCGTTGTGATTTGTAGGCTTCCTTGCTTCGAAACCTCAGAGCCTGGAATAGTCCTGGAATATCCCGCTGGCAGCTCTATATTCTTTACACAAAAACTGCGGCACTTTAAGAAAAACATTTCAATTTTACATGCAGGACCTTTTTCATCCATGACCTGACGGATGCCAGAAATGGGCTGCGGCAGGAACAGGAGCTTGCTGACGCCTGTCGTCCTGTTGTGGTGACTACATAATTGGTCTTTAAGCATACTGCGTTGCTCGATCCGAATGGGGACCGGGGCGAGCGAGTTGGGCAAACAGGGGGGTCCGATTCGTAGGACTGGTCCTGCCGAACAAGGGTCCAAGCTTGGTCAATCAAAGCTTAAGAATTTATCAATGCTGCGGCCTCAGCACGCAGCCGGGCCAGTGCATTTGGCACCTCTGTAGGCGTGACCTGTGTAGAGGGTCGCTTGGGCTGCTGCTGCTGCTGCTGAATTCTCTCTGTGCAGAGCTGCCAGGCAACGGGATCCTGCACTTGGCCAACAGCCATGGCCCAGAAAAGGCGGATCAAGCCTGCAAGCTCCAGTTCTTCAGGAGCCGCCAACTTTGCCGCCAAATCGCACCGCACCGCGAGGCTTTCGAGATCCTGGGCTCCCAGCCGTGCCAAAGCAAAGAACACCTCAGCCAGCTCCGCCACCGTCCGATCGAAACGATCCCCCGCGAACAACACCTCCACGAGGCCTCCCACCAGCCCTGGTGGCGGCTGCACGGGCTGCACCGGCGACTCGTCATCATGGGAATGGCCGGCTAGTGCCCGCAGCAGTGACTCCGCCTGCACCCACGGGAGTCCAGCCAAGTCAGCGGCGGCGAGGCGGCCTCCCACGTGCTCCACCACGGCTTGCACGGCGTGCTCACGGGCTGCCTCGGTACTCTCGGAGCTCTCGGAGCTCTCGGTGTCCGGGTCTTCCAGCCGAGGTGCGCGGAGTGCCAGCAGCAAGAACTGCGCTTGTAAGCCGGGAGGCGCAGAGGCCGCCCTGGGCTCCAACTGCTCCACAAGGCGCACAAGCTCCGAAAGTGCGCCTGGAGGTGGCGAATTGAGACCAGCGATGCCAGCGGCCGTCAATACCAGCTCGAAACTTTCGTTACTTTCGATACTCTCTGCCAGCTCTGCCAACCGCGCCCATGCATCTTTTGAGCTCTCAGCAGGTAGGAAGGGCGCTGCAGCCGCCAGCTCCGGCAGGGTCATCCTTGGAACGCGTGGTGGCAAGGCGGCCGTCAGCTCCCGCATGTCCTGCCCAGAAGCAACCTTGGAGAATGCAGGCAAAGATAGGAAAAGCATCCCACTTGTGACGCATCCCCCCCAAGCGTCATTAGCTCCTGTCCACAGCTGCTGCAGCATTAGCGGTATTGAGGTCCGCACCACGCACTGCAGCAACTGCAGCAGCTGCGTCGTCGGCGTTGAAGGCTCAACCCTCTCCAGTTCACTGCGCAGGCGGGCCAACACTTTGGGACCCAGAGGTAGCTGCGGCGCGTGGAGAGAAGGCGCTCTTGCGACTTGTGACGTGCCGAGGGCATGGAGGAGCGGTGCCAACTCGGAGAGGTTCATCGTAGCACTCGGCCCACTGCAATGGTCCTCATAGGTCGGAAGTCCCTACAATGACCCACATTGACCCACATATCCCCACACAACAAGTCCCGATTGTCTTGATCTTCTGTGCCACCTCCAGCTCCTCAGTCAGGACCGACAACACATAGTGACTGGTCAGGCCGTGGCACCTCAAAGAACAAAAATTGCTAAAAGCACCTTTTAATGCCTGTCTCACGGATGCTGGACACGACAAATCACCGGGGGCCTTTCCAGTAGGGTTGACAGATCTGACGGCACCTCGCGGCTGTAGAGAACGTTGCAGCACACAGCGGCATCACATCTTCTTGTTAGTGTGGCCGTCCAGTGCTGCTTCAGTATGTTCTGGCTTCCATCCAAGCAGTTGCGCTTCCGATGAATGCTGCTTGCCAGACTTGACTTTGTAAGGCTTTGTGTGGAACCCAGGAAAAGCTAGAGGTATTGAACCAACACACAAAAACGAGAAAAACAAGAAATCGCACTGTCGATGGCTTTCGGGAATCAACACCCACAACTGTAAGATCTCCAACAATTTCGCCCTGGCTGACAATCTATCTGGTGCTTGGCTGAACAAGTTCCCGAGTCCACGTGTGCACTTTACATGGCCTGCGTGGCGGATCCGAACTTTGTCCTTGCATCTGTACGGGGAGTTCTGGCTTGAGCCTACAGGGGAAGGGGATTGCTCTTGTCACGGTCTTGTGTGCTTGCGACTTTCTCTGCTTCCATCCCTTCACATATTGCCCATGTGCGCTGCGCAGAGGGGGACAACTTTGAAGTTCCCTGCGACGCCTGCAGTAAGGCATAGCCTAGGCGGCTGGCCAGGCACGGGTTGGCTCCTGGCGGAGACAAATCGGAAACACGTTCGATGGGGGGGAAAATGTCAGCACCTTGCACGCCCAGCCGGTCAAGGAGCGCTGCTAAGCGAAGGGTCCAAGTAGATTCCCAAGGCACCTCCAAGCAAACCGTGCAACATGCTGGGGCAACTCATGGGGAACGACCCGAACTTCGAACGACCCTTTGTCCTGAAAGACGCATCATGACATCATAAAAAGAAGCAAAGTTGAGGGACATGGTGGGAAACTTGAAATGTGTTCTCCTGCCTGCTCACCGGCATCACGCGGGAGCCTACGTGCAAGCTCAGCCATTCCTTGCTTCAAGCCTGATCCGTCGGAGCCGAAGGCACTCTGCGCTGCCTGCACAGGAAGAGTGGCGACGACAAGTACAATACAATACAATGTTCAATGCAAGATGCCTCAAGAGCTGTGCAACATGTGCAACCCAATGCCCTGCAGGACAAAGAAACGCGCAGCATGCCAACTGGAGCGGTGCGTGACATGCTTTTCGCGAACTGTTGCCTCTTGTCTTGTTACCCGGTCCACAAAATTTACGCTTTGCACTGCTCAGGGCACGCTTTGACCCCAAATCGATACACCACCAAGTCTTGCCTACCTGTAAGGTGCAGCTCGTTCTGTCAGTCCTCAACAGGTACACAAACAAGTCTTGAAACACTAGCTACACTTCGAGAAGCCCTTTCCACGTTTGATACTTCAAGCGACTTAACCGGGTTTTTGTCGCCGTGCAACTAGACGTGAGGAGATGTGAGGGGTCCAATGATGTGCATGCCTGAGTCGCTCATCACCGCTTCAGCTTTCAAATGCTTGCAGCAAGAACATGCGGTTTTATCATCCGCCGGGGCTATAAACCCGAAAGGGTGCGCCTTGCAGGCCATGCGCCACAAGTTTCGCATTCGGGTGTGGACAACAGCTTGGCAATCAACTCCGAAAGGAGCGGATCGAGTGGGGAGCCCCGCGTGCATTTTGCATCGCGCTACAGTGCCTACAGTGTGGGGCAGAGATTCGCACAAGCCTGAACGCGTGAGTCCGTGTCAGATTTTGCAAGTCACTTGTGTCCAGTTTCTTCGTCGAAGCATAGTTTTTAAACGTGCCAAAAAAAGTGCACGAACACAATAACAGACATGAAACTACCAGCGCATCTCGAGCTTTGATAGCTCTGGATGGCTACATATCGCCGCCCTTTGACATCTGCATGGACTGTGTACTTGGCCACGTGGCTATATAGCTTTCCGAACCGAGGTGCTTCAGGCGACAGTTGCTCCAGGGCGCCAAGCAGATCTGACGGACTGCCGCCCAGGTTCCGCGCCTCTACAACACAAGCACCCAACAACATGAACGGGAGCTTTGCAAAGGCCCCCGCCAGGTCTTGCGTGCTCGCTGCACTCCTTACTCCATTCCTCTGCAGTTGGGTGAATGACTTCTTTCAAACCAGCATCGGCACTGTAGAACGCAGCCCAATGGCTCCGCCTCCGCAGGAGCCCTCCACAGCGGTACGCGCTGCCTGCTGGGCCCACAGATGCACACACTGCCCGGCTCGGGGCTTCCAGATGCTTCCCGCCTCTCTGCAAGCTCCACACACGAGCCTCACAAAGCCACCCTCACCAACACCAAAGTATCAAAGTTTCGCAACTCAATCAATCAAACACTGAGCATCCCGGCGGCTGCCCAGAGTGAGGGCCGCGCCATGACATGGTGAGGCTGAACAGTTCAAAAGGGTTGGAGACAAGCAAAGGGTCATGGAGGTGATGATCAATCTGATAAATCTTGCAGTGATTATAGAGCACTCCACTTGAATTCATGGTCGATGTCTGGGGAGTCTGGGGCACTTGGCTCCACAAAGCGGCTTTGACGCATTGACCCGAGTGGCAAGATGAAGAAGTGCCCTCTTCTGCAGGGTTCTTTGAGTGCTGCATCGCTGCTTTCCATGCCAAATCCGGCTTGCACACATTGCGCGAGCTTAACACGTGCAGTCTCCTGGCAGCAGAGCTTGGCTGCCTTCTACACTTAGGGCTCCAGTTGGGATGCATGTGCCATGCATCGCAGTCCTCTGAAAGCCCCAGGCAGACAAACCCACGGGATTAGGGCTGCGGTCCAAACATGTCTCGAACGACGCTGCGGTCCATGGGCCCCTCAGGGCCGCAAAGGGATGCCACATATGCTTAAAACCGCTCATGAGCTCCGCTAAGCAATGAGATACGTTGTTGAAGCTGTATGTCGCCGTAGCTCAGGTGATAAGAATCGTATCACGACGGCTATGTATTGAACTCTGTGCAAAATCATCAGCAAGCTTAGAAGGTTGAGAGGCATGATAGGCATCCTCACCCTTGCGTTCTTGTTGATCAATATGTCATGTGGAGGTATCTGAGACGAACGGCTCTTGGAGAATCCAGAGCTGAGCTGAGGCACACTCGACAAGCAGATCATTGTGACTGGTCGCCCCGGCAGAGCAGCTCGAATCGTCTCTTTCAATCAAGTCTTATCGGAGTCGCAATCGCAAGCGGAACTCATGCCCCTCTCAAGGACCCACCGGATTGTGCCCGAATCTCTCCCCTGCTTCGGCACGACCATCATAGGCGGCTTCCCCTCACAATGTTGGGTTCTCGATGCGAAACGGTGCACTTGCAAGACTCCAAAATACTCCAAATAATCTGTGACATGCTTGCAACTTGCATGCACAAAGATGCTATGATGAAGGTGTGTGAACAGTTGTTAAGTAATGGGGCAGTTGCGCCATGGCGACACAAACGGTTGAGCCCTTTGCCAAGAAGAGGTAGCCCGCGAACCAGGTCAGGCCAGCGATCAGCACAGCCACCTGAGCCGTCTGTCAAGAATCAACGTAACGTCGTATACAAGATTCGAAAGGATGCGAGCCAGAGCCACGGCCAGAGCTTCACATGCTCTATACACATCGTAGAATCGCAAACTCTCCGAGAACTCTCCGAGACCTTTGCCCATGTGACTTGCCTGGGCCCAGCATGGGCGCTCGATGCTCCGCAGAAGTGTGACTGCTTTGCAAGTGAATGCTTGCAGCACTGCTAGCACAGATGCAGGCAGCTGAAATGCAATGAGTGCCTTCCTGACGTCCTGAAAGAGACTCTGTTTCGTGTCAGGAACCGGCAGACCCAGCTGCAGGTTCGCCGTGTCTGAGATGTGGCCAATGATAGGCGGACCTACAGCTAAACATAGCTAAACGAGTAGTCCGAGAGGCCTCAACATCCTTTGTACCATAGGTCATCTTGGGTCCGGGCTGATGACATCGCCAAGAACGTGGCCGAGCAGGATCTGGAGGCTCGAGCCGCGTGCGCGGCTGTGGACGGGGATTACCGACCTGTGTTCCAGAGGGGCGAGAGGCTGGAGAGAGGCAATTGCAAATTTCATGCAAAGATCAAAAAGGAGCTCCACTCGGCTCTGGGTGAGTCGCATCGAGAGCGCAGCGATGGGTGCCTCCCGAGATTTCCATGAGACGCTGGTGCCATATGCCTCACCCCCTCCCCCCGTCCTGGTAACAGAAGAAGAAGGTCTGGCCGAGAATTAGGCAAACCACTAAAACCCAAGGCTGGATGATGTTCACGGACGCCGCGATCAAGGCTGAGCCGGGCATCTGAGGATCAAGATAGAGGTGCCGAAAGATCCCGAAAGGCTGCCGAACCAAAAAATCACACCCACTGTTGTCACTAAGCTCCCGGCCATAAAGCAAGCCGGCACCAGGAAGTACGCGCTGCTACCCATCGGGAGCCTTTGAATTCTGTTGAAAGTCTACAGATCTGGCAAGCAACACGTTGGTCGTCGTTTCGGTCCTGCGGGCCGCTGCATCGGCAACCTGCAGAGCGCAAAGCGCAAAGCAACGCGCAAAAGTGCCGCGAAACGAACAACACTGGCGAAGATGCTCACTTTGGCGGCACAGCCGGCACAGCGATAGGTTCCCTAACAACATCAAAGTGCCTAAGCAGACAGTTTGGAGGCCCGATCCTGGCCCACTCTCCCACCCACTTCATAGCACAAAGGCCAGAGGGCAAGAACATGTCCCGTGTTTGAGAGAAGCGCCAGAATGGCCACACAACACCCGGCAAGCCACAACGCCGCAACGCAAACCCTGCCCCCGAAAAGATCAAAGGATGGCGCCTTGGAGCCCAAGATGGTGCCGCCGAAGCCGCTGAAGACGCAGCTGCCGCTCAACACAAGCCCCGACCTCAAAGGACTTTCATGGACTTTCCTCCCAAGAAAAACAAACCTTGCCAAACAAAATAGCACCAAAAACTTAAAGAAAGGGAGAGCAATCACGTGATATTTACTTATCAATGAGATATATCTTGTTTTGTAACCCAAGTATAAGTCCGACGTCTGGCTTCGTAGATCTTCGCAGGACCTGGAATTTCCCATCGTTATATGACGGAAACGTTTAAAATATGATGCCTGTCTTTTGGTTTTTGTCCGCCGCACAAAACCAAAAAACACACAGCCCGCGAGTACACAAAAAAGCGCCCCTGGTGGCTCACCCCGGGAAGATGCACAAACGCAACTCTGTCGGGATGAGAAAAAACGAGGGGGGGGGGGGGGGGGGGGGGGCAGGGAGGGGATTTTTTCTTGGCACCCAGCTAGCCACAGCACTGCGGGGTCTCATGGTTGGTCTCGGAAAAATAAAAGGATATTCGCCCGGGAGGGGATTCGAGTATAGGCTTTTTTTTCCCACCCGAGTATAGGGTTTTAAGGTTTAGGGTTTAGGGCTTGAGGGTGCAGGCGCTCTTAGGGATGTAGGGCTTTGCTTAAGGTTTAGGGTATATGATTCCCCTTGTGAAAAAGGGTATAGGCCATGCGCAAACAACTCAATAAACAACAAGTGTTAGACTATGTACATATTTATGTGCACATAGATATCTCTCTCTGTGCCGCCACATCCCAAAGGTCCCACTGCGTGAGGCAGCCAAACACCCGCTCAGATCATATAGACATATGCACATCACATACACACATATACATACAGACATCACCCTAAACCCGAAACCCTGAAGTCTAAACCCTAAACCCCAAAACCCTCAAGGCCTAAACCCTAAACCGTATAACCCTTAAACCCCTAAACCCTTAAACCCTTAACACCTAAAACCCTGAACCCTAAACCCTTAAACCCTAAAACTCTACCTCAAACCCTAAACCCTGAACCCCTTCAAACCCAAAACCCTGAAACCCCTCAGCCCTTTTTTCACAAGGGACTCAACTGCAACCCCTAAGCCCTTAAACCCTAAATCCCTAAGACCCTTAAACCATTAAACCTTAAACCCTAAACCGCAAACCGTGCACCGTAAACCAAACCCTAAACCATACACCCTCAACCCTAAACCCGAAACCCGCTGACCGCCCCCTGGGGTGGATCTTCAAGCTAGTCTGCCCATGAGAGTGCTGCTGCTCCTACCGATTGGGTAGGCACACACAACATGCCATGGTCGCCGCGGGCCCTGATCTGCTGGACATTACTTGCTTAGATAGAGTAAGTGCAGGGTATGTGTGGGATAGCCAGTCCGGGCGGGGGATGTTCGCGGGACCCACGGCTCGTGCATTGAGGTTGGGTGTATACTGTTATGTAGTCTGCTTCCAGAGTCGCTCGACCATGGCTAGTGACTTGTGACGTAGTCCGCGTGACACGCTTCCAAAGAGTAGTAGTGCTCAGACGTTTGTCTGATTCGGCAGCTCTGCCTGTGTGATGGGCGAAAAAAATTGTTATGAGTCTTCTTCTGGGGTGCTGCTTGAGTCATACGCTGCAGGTTTCTTAGGGCCGCTTCCAATGCGCAGTGGTCGTCTTGTGTTGTCTGGATTCTACCGGAGCCTTGCCAGCGCGTGCGCCCGTGTGAGAGTCGAAAACCTAAATTCAACATTGAACATGTACATGTTTACATGTGTGAATATCTTTGCTTTATATTTGCATGTGTATACATGAGTTCTAGTACATGATTCTTTTGACACCATAGAAGCACGAAATTTATAGAACCATTTGAGAACGTTTGCGTGGTGAAACAGAAAAACACCTGAGAAAAAAGAAAAAAAAAAAGTGCCGTGACATGTCATGGCCGTGCCATGACCATATCGTATGGCCGTATCATGGCCGTATCATTGGGCCCACCCCTTTTTTCCGGAATCGGCAAAAAATGTGTTTTCCGGCGTTTACGGTACGGATGTCAATTTTCTAATGATTTTTGTGATGCTTGCGTGTCTGTCACATATGTTTCTATGTATGGATCGGATTTTTTTGTAGTGGCATATTTTTGTTTTACTTTTCAATGTGTCCTGGTGATTATGTATGCAAACTGCTATAAGTTCTGCTGCGGTTTATGTAGTGTGTGTTGTTTATGTGCCGGTATGTAAAGCCAAGGTTTAGGGTTTAGGGATAAGGGTTTAGGGTTTTTCCAACCCCCCCTTTCTCATTATCGAACAAACCAATGCCTCTCTATGTTTATTTGTTCGAATATGTTTTATTTGCATATCTATACGATCATGCATTTCGACATGTATATTGATATGCATTTATGTACTCACGTATTCCTTTCCCCTTCCCCTGCTCCCCCCCCCCCGCCCCCACTCGCCCCCCCCCCACACGCCACCCCCCTTTGTCGCACTCACACACATACATTTATTCATTCATTCATTCATTGATTCATACGTACATACTACACCCTACGGTTAAAAGCTTTTAAGCCCTAAGCCCTAAGCCCTAAGCCCTAAACCCTAAGCCCTAAGCCCTAAGCCCTAAGCCCTAAGCCCTAAGCCCTAAGCCCTAAGCCCAAAACCCTTCCCCCTCATAGCAAAGGGGAAGGGGGGGGGGGTGTGGTTATGTGCCCCTAAACCCAACCACCCCCCCCCCCCCCCCCAAATCGGGGCGGCTGCCGGATCGGGTTTCGGGCCAGGATTTTGGACATTAGGCGTTGATTTCAGGGTTCTACGGTTGCAGGGCTTTGGGTTTGTAGGCTTCGCTGAAACCCGCAAAGTGCGCACATAGCCGGACTTACAAATTACTGATACATGACTTACAAATAACTTGCAAAATGCCCCATAACTCACTCATAAGTGTCGCTTCTTTTGGAATTATAGCTGATTGTTCAGCGGGTTCATTATAAGTTAACCACAAAAATAGTAGACCACCTCCGTGAGAGGGGTTGGGCGCATCCCCCACCCCACCCCAATTTTTGCTACGCGTAGGTCTGATTTGTGTCACGAGATCTTGTTTCAAATATTGAACCTTTGGGAATTTGAAACGACAAAACACCCTTGAGACTTTGGACTTCAAAAGTTCGAACTTTGAAGGATGAAAACGACGACCGACACGGAGTTTTTTAAATTTGAAGTTTGTAAAGCCTAAAGCCCAAAGCCTAAACCCGACCCTAAACCCTTAAGAGGGTTTAGGCACAGCGCCGACTCCCCGTTTGACCCTGGGTTTAGGTGTGTGGGCTTGACATCCCAGCAGCCCGCGACAGCCGCGCAGGCCGCCGAGGCAGAAACGCACCGAGCTGCCAGCTGCTTTTACAACGCGAGAAACCCTCAACGTCACAGGGAGCGGATTTCCGGACTCGTCTTATTGTTGAACTCTCAAGCTCACGAAACCGACAGCGTACCTCCAGGAGACGCTTTCACGAAGGGCGCGAAAGAACGTTATTGCGCGTCCGTTATTGCGCGCGCACGTGGTGCTTCAAACTTTCAAGTTTGAGACGTTCAAACTCCGGAAACTATTCTCAAACTCGTAGCCGTCGAGCTTTCAAACTCGTTTTGTTTCAAACTCTCGAACTCGTAAACTCGAACGGCCGTCAGACTATCGTTCTGTCAAACTTGGAACCCGCAAAAGAGTCAAACTCGAACGGGCTTTGAACTTCTAACTCTCAGAGTCGTGGCCTCCCTAACCTACGCAAGACCTCAAGCTCTAAACTCGAAACTATCAAACTTTCAAACTCGGTCGCGACTCCAACTTTCGAGTTCGAGATGCCTCTCACTCTCGAGATCTCAATCTCGAAGCTCCGTCGAACTCCAAACTGTCGAACTTTGAACTTTTTTTAAGTCGGTAGTAGGCTGCAACAGTTTGGAGGCTGAGTTTGCGAGGAGGCAATCGAGCTCGAGTTGTTGAAATGTTCGAACGTTCAAACTTTCGAACTTAGAAATCTTTCAACATCTCGAGCACGTTCGTCGCTCGCGACGCCCTTCCGAACCCTACAAGTGTAGCCGCCCTAACCCAAGAAAACACATCGAAGCAGTCCACATTGTCCTATAGGCACGTTTTCGCGAGCCTGCCAAGTGTTGAAAGGACTTGCCAGCCCCTGGCAAGCCCCCGATGGTAGAACTGTTTTTGTCCTGAAAGGCCCTGGACATGGTATGTAAAGCTATATACACTTCAATACGCGGATTTTTTTCGCAGATACTTTTAGCTGCCACTCTGGAGCTCGTGACCCGCGGCGATCCCACATGTTTTGAAGTTTTAAAGAAGTCACCGCGGGGGTTTTTTCGCACATGGAAAGTCATCTGGGTGCCCGCACATGCCTTGGGAGAGGTCTGTGTAGCGCACCAGAAACGAGGGGTACCACTCTGTGAGGCCTCAGCCGACTCTTTGGGCATGAGCTGGTGCAACTGGAATGGAGAAAAGCTGGACAACTTCGGCATTTCCAGCCTCCCACAGCGAAGGAGATGGCCACGCTGCCCACCGTTGCGGACAAGAAGAAGGGGTTGCTCAGCAGCACCCAGCCCTGCGGAGACTGCGACGTGGTCCCACATCATGGGCCCACCGATATTGAAAACCGTACTCAGCGAAGCCCTGTTGAGGAATTGAGGGTGTGCCCACAAGGCAAGCGGACGGAGTCCGGAGTACTTTTTTCAGAATTATGTGGATTATATGTGGTACATCAGCCAGCCCCGAAACTTTCTAGTTCCTTCCAACCATCACCTTTAAGTCCCCATGGTCCCAGCAAGCTCCAAGCCCGAAAATGTCAGCTGTCTGTTTGGTCGACTGGTCGACCAGAAGTCATAAGCACAATGGTCTTCTTGCTTTGCCCTTTGCCTCTCGGAGAAAGGTGCAGCTTGAGCCACGCTGAACAGAGTGCGTCGACTCCTGGTGGGCGGGAAATTACGGAAACGGTCTCGGAAAAGAGCCTCATAAAATCACAACAGCTTAATTGCTCTCCCAAAGCGACTTTCGGGGACTCCTCGGACTCCTCGTCTGTGGAGTCTTCCCAGGACTCCTGGCATACACGAAACTACGAAAACTTTCTGCGAATACGCTAAGGCTCAACGGGGAGATGTGGCGGCGCACGCCAGAATTGAGTTGTCAACACTGTGCCTCGTCCAGATCCTGCATTGGATCCTGCTGTTATTTTCATAACTTCGCTGCAATTGCACGCCTGGTGTTCGTCCATGTGTTTACAGTTGATACACCTGGCAAGAACAGCTGAAGAATGCTGAAGAACAGCCCTCTCCTCACCCACGTCGTTGATGCCCATAGGAGGATCCTTTCAGCTTAGATGGGTTACAGACGGGGCACCGTGGACGTTGGCCTGAGGTCACAGCATTCAGGAAAAGCACAGAGGCCGCCTCGGTGACCAGCATGGACCAATGCTGAGCACGTTTTGAGGGCGGCTAAAGCCAAGGTATTTTTTGGCTGAAATGGTTGGAAGACTATGCAAGCTTTGACGTCCCCGGCCACAAGCAGACCTGGGAAGCCGCAGGCAAAGAAGGCGGCACGCCAGCCTAGGCGCCATCGGACGGAGATACGCATATGATGGGGAAAAGCGACTTCTCGGCAACTTTGTGGGTCGCCGGGCCCCAGGTTTGTCCCAGAATTGATCCGAAACCAAAGCCCAGGGCGGCTCCCACCGGTGCGCCTGACAGGCGAGATCTGAGGTGCGCGGATCGTGCTCAACGAATCGAAGTGCGGTGCTGACTCAAGGGGAAACTCAGGAAAAACTCATGACATCTCATGGCCCAACCACGACTCACGAGCCGCTTCCGTTTCGCAGTCAGGCCATGGCTGAGACTGAAGATGGTGAAGGCACGATTTCGCTGGGGACCTCGTCGCTCTCCCGCTCTCCCCACTTGGCAACTTGCCTCCTCTCTCAGCCTGCACCCCCGCCTGGGTAATAATCGGTGATCATTGGAGATGCCACCGTCGCAAACGATGCCTGTGGAAATTTGTGGGAGTTTGTGGGAATTTTGTGCAATAATCCCATGGTCTCGCCATGTCTCGCCTCCCCGATGCCGACAAGGGACCGATAGAGGATCAGCTGCGTGAGGTCCTGGCATATGTTCAGAGGGCCAACGCACACAGAGACGCGCTGGGAATTGAGCGTCAGATATACCGCCACAAAAACTGGATTCAGCATGCCGAGCAGTGTGATGCAAATGTGAAAGGCCATGTCTTGGGCGTTTCTTGCCGTTCTCCTGTGCGAAGCCACCCAAGCCCGTGGCCAATGACCAAAAGGCGATGCCGCAAGCCAGCAGCAGTCTGGGGCTCATGCGAACACAAAAGAAAACTCAAACGACAGACCAGCTGGCACAGTCAGAGAAAGACACGGAGAGAGAGCGAGAGAGCGAGAGGCCGAGAAGGAACTTCAAAGTGAAACTAGCTTCGCCCTCCAAAAGATAAATCTTGCTTCCCGAGACCCACACGGGCAGGGCCTGGTAACCTACCTGTGTTGTAGGATTGCATACGGGACCCGAATGAGGCTTCAGCCAATTGCGGTAGACTCGGTGCAAGGCTCAGGGTTTGAAATGGCAACCCACCTAGTTAACAAGCCAGGAGGTCAGAATCTGCAGCACTGAACTAGCCAGTCCAGGCATGCCCATAGCAAAACCCGCTGCACCCTAAACAACAGCCCAATACACATAGCAGCCAGAATCTGGCGGAACTAACATCCAGCAGGGTCAAATTCATAGTTCCTAACCCATCAGTTTCGGGTTGCGCTGGGTACCCAGAAGCGGGTGACGATTCCAGCGGGAATGTCGTTCCCCCAGCACAAGCAGCAAGATTTAGATTTTTCGGCTTCCGCGGATGTTCGTGGTTTCATGGCCAGCACGGCATGCTCCTGAATCAAGGCAGACCCTAAGCGGGCAACATGGGCTGGTTCAAGACAAACCGGCCCTGGTACCCGAAAAACACTAGTTTAACGCCCGAAAACCCAACCTTTTCAAGCAAACATAAGCAAAAACACATGCTGTACTGTCGTAAAAAATTTACCCTCAATTCAGTGCCCGGCGATCTTTCTCTGGTCTTTGTTTGGGACAGTACAGCTTTGTTCACGTTTTCTTTAAGCAAACGTGCTGTACTGTCCACGAAAAACAACCCATTCATTGGCTTTCGGTTCAAATTTTGGGCGAACAATTTTCTACCTAGGCAGTGCGACCCTGTCGGTTCCTCGATAGATGCGGTTATGTTTTGAAATTGCAAACCATGTGTTGTAAGATTCACGACTAGTAGAACTAACCCCGAACCGAAACAGCCAACAAGCAAGAATGCAGGATGAGATCATTTTTAAGTTGCAAACCAACGAATAGCATAGGTAGCCCCGAAGTGCGAGAAAGGTCTCGCCAGGCCAGGGGCCGCGCAGGCCCGTACGGGTTCGTACGGGCCTGCGCGGGCCGTACGGGCTTAGGGGCTTTACGGGCCTTACGGGCTCTACGGGCCTTACGGGCCGTGGGGGCCTTAAGGACCGTACGGGCTTTACGGGCTTTACGGGCTTTATGGGACCGTATGGGCTCTACGGGCTCTACGGTCCTTACGGGCCTTACGTGCCCTACGGGCTCATACGGGCTCTTACGGGCCGTACGGCTGTGGGCGCCTACGGGCTCCTACGGGCTCCTACGGCCTGTACGGCCTCTGTGGGCTCTACGGTCCCTACGGGCCCTGTACGGGCACATGGCCCGGGCCTGGTTAAGGACCTTGCTCGAGAAAGGCTGCCCCTGACTCTAACGACTATTTGGCAAAGCGGCTATCTCAGTAGCTGTCCTCCATTTCAATATCCCTGGTAGTCGAACAGTATAACTTGAAAATTGAACTTGCCTTCAATTATGTTAATCAACTTAGTAGATTGTCATGTGTACATGGATTGGGGAACTACTCTGCATCAGAACTTCAAATGTCTATAAGCTATAAGTCACACATGAAAATGCACTCTGCACAGCATCCTAATTGCCGCTTGCTGCCTCACAGTCAGTAGTCAACATAAATCCTTGCACATTACATTATTGGCTTAAGAATCAAGATCTGTGGCGAGGCCATGAACAATTCGAAACTCAATCGTCTCAGAAATCTTCAATTCTCAGCCTTCATATCAATATACTTAGTTCGATATTTAAGGTCGCACGCCTTGAAAATGTTCTTCCGGAAATCTCTCACATATTTGAAGGTCGCAGGTGATACTCCAAGATGCCCCCATACCATGCATGAAGCATGTCACATTGGTTTTCGCTCTGAAGCAGACGTTCTTTATTCATGTTGAAGCAGATGGATATATTTTCAATTTGAAGCAGAAGCAAAGTGTTGCTGAAACCATTTTTGTTGTATGGTGTCCTCCCTCCACTGTCCTCACGCTTTCTCTGCAGTTACTCTTGCGAAGTTATGCGGCAGCACTTGGAAGCTACGAGCTCCTTAGAATCTTAGAGTTTCATGAGTCTTGCGTGTGGTCCAGGTCTGCAGGCCTCTACGGCTGAGAACGAAAAACGGCTACGGGGGACTCCCGTGCAGGAACGACGAAGGACACCTGCTCGGATGATGCTACAGGTTTTACCAATGTTTCCAACCTCCGGCCTTCAGAAACATCAGGAAAGCCAAGACAACTAACGCTCTCTGGAGGGTAGATCGAAAGCCTCGCATCAGACGGACTGCGATGCATAGTTGACTAAAGCGTATCGCTCTCTGCTATCAGCGAATGAACGTCCGATCGAATCATTTTCTTCGATGTGAAGGCGGACCACGGCGGCACATAAGCAAGTGGCCAGAGAAACTCGAGAAACCAGTCGCTCGGACAGCTCGCAGGCTGCACCGCTTTCGCCGTGCGTCTGCACGATCGCTAGGTGGAGTGTACTTTAAACTTTGTTCTTGTTTTGTTAGCTATATATGTCTGCAGGGGAGAAATCGCATCTTAGATCGCTTCCTAGTCAACATTGTCCTTTTTCCTTTCACTCTGGGTGAGATCCACATGAGTTAGCCGCTGGATGCGATTATGATCAAACTACCTGTTACCTCCTGGCCTTCGGCCGTCCCAGGGCTGAAGGAAAGCAAGAGAGGAAGGGAGAAGGAAGGAGACAAAGGCTGGCCCCGAGCACATTGTCTTCCCATGTCTTCCCTCTTCCGGCCTCCGGTCAATACACTCGCGGTCCGCCAAGACCCCGAAGACGAGGCTTGCTGCTGTGAAGACCTCCGGACTGAGCAATGGGAATGGAATGGACGAGAGTCGAGTGAAGCGAGCGAGGAAAAAGTCAAGAAAACTTTGACTTTAAGAGGTTCAAGAAGGCTCGCGATACGAGTACACCGGGTACACCCAGTTGGAGCTCAGGGCTCGGCTGCTGTCATGGCCATGGCAGGCAGCGAGCTTTGCCAGTCGTCCAGGCCCAAATCTGCCTATATAACGAGGGCCGTAAGAGTACTAATACGAATAGCAGAGGGACAAACATTAACATGGTCTGACGGGAAAAAGGACATGTTGGGAACTCCGGAGTTCCAAAGAGCTGTTGCCTTCGCGCTGTTGCGTGCATGTCTCTTTCTTTCCCTCTCTCTCGTTCTCTCTCTCTCTCTCTCTCTCTCTCTCTCTCTCTCTCTCTCTCTCTCTCTCTCTCCGCTCCTTATTATTATTCTTATTCTGCTTCTTCTTCTTCTGCTTCTTCTTATTCTTCTTCTTCTTCTTCTGCTTCTTCTTCCTCTTCTTCTTCTTCTTCTTCTTCTTATTCTTCTTCTTCTTCTTCTTCTTCTTCTTCTTCTTCTTCTTCTTCTTCTTCTTCTTCTTCTTCTTCTTCTGCTTCTGCTTCTGCTTCTGATTCTTCTCCTTCTCCTGCTCTCTGTCTCTCTCTCTCTCTCTCTCTCTCTCTCTCTCTCTCTTCCATGACACACGACGGCAGGGAACTCTGCACTGGAAGCACCGCCTGGATCTGCGGCTTCACCGAGGCCGGCCTCGCGAGGGGCCCTACCTTTGCCGTCCTTTGCCGTATCTGCCTTTGCTCTTCTCATCTCTTCTCCGGATTTCTGCAGCCGACTGCAGCCAAGGGGCACATAGCGGTCCGCAAAGTTCAGCGCATTGATGCCTCCAAATTGCTATGCTCCGACTTGTTTTGCCATGCCTGATGTATGGAGGCAAATGAGGGCAGGGCAGGAGAGCGTGAAAAGTGCTCGGCGCGAGCCCGGCTGGCCTGAGTTGAGCTGGCGCTCAGAGCAGCTTGGGCCCCGCAGCTATACGTTCGCTCTGAGCCACCGCACGCTCGCCAGGCACACCTCGCAATGGAGGCCTGTTTACATTAAATGGGTGTCTCCACTGTTATGCCAAGCTCTGTCTTTCATGTGGTGCCTCAATATGCCACAGCGCATGGCGCTCGGAATCACAAAGGTCTCAACGATCCATCATGGCATTATGAGGTTCGCTGAGAAGCTGCGGGGGGGCCTTCTCTGGAGCTGGAACTGCAAAGCATGTCAAGGCACCGACATGCACCGATGAGGCAAGCGGATGCAAGTGACTCCGTGGCTCCACGCCTGGCTCCACGCCTGGCTCCACACGTGCTCGTCTCGTTGTTTTTTCCGGTTGCACTGAGAGGCTTCGCTCCGCCTGAAGGGCCTTCGAATCCATTCCGCGCACCTCGGCCTACACCTGGGCCTCCGCCTCGTGTGACAAATTGTGACAACTTCCATTCTATTTTTTCATACTTTTTCGCTCTAACTTCCCCCCAGCATGGCCATTGCCCATTGGGTGCTCTGAGTTCTTTCCATGTCACCTCCCCTCGGCGGAGACCCCAAAACAAGGGCAGGGATTCTGACCGGAGAGAAGAGCTGTTCAGTGCCTGAGGAAACAAATCGAACCGAGTAACAAGAAACACTCCAAACATCTCCAAACATAACTCGACCAATTTTACAACCTTGTCTGCCACTTCTCGGGCGCCTCCTCTTCCGGCCTGGCTCCTTCAAAATCGCACAGCTGGCCTTCGAAGCACATGCTCAATATTTTCTGGATGTCTGGATCTACACTCCTTCAACCATCACGCGAGCGATGCCATGGCATCTCACTGCGCTCCGGAGGCCAGCAAAAGATTTTGCGCTTCGATTTCTCAAGATTGTTTCAATGTTCTTTCTTGCTCCCCAGCGGCCCGGGGGAAAGCTCCTCGGGAGCGCTTACAATTCCACAAAAAGCCGCTGGGGTTCTCAGAATCGGAGAATCTCTGAAACATCTGAGAATCATCTGATGCTCACTTCGAATGCATCAGAATGCTCTCAGAGTCTCAGCGTGTTCTCATCCGTGTTCTCCGTGGCTATCCACGGTAGGGCCCGGCCCGGCCTGTCCCGAAAAGCTGCCGCATTGCTCTCATTTCTCTCAACCTTCTCCACATTGACATGCGCAGCATTCTCAACACTCACTCGGAGACCTCCCGCTTCGGGGCGACCATCACCGAGCGAAGACCTCTCAACGTCTGCCCGAAAACGAGCTCAACAATCGTCCACCATCTTCCACCACTTGCTATTGCTGCTATTGCCTCCTGTCCTCGCTTGCCGGAGACCTTAGTGGAACGGCGCTTATACAGTAAATAGGGCAGGCTGCCTGCTTCTGCCCCTCGAGCGACATCGCTCCATCTCATTCCCCTCGGCTCTCTTGGCGACCGTGCTGGGAAATTTGTGGGCCCCTTAGCCTCAGGGCGGGCACAAACTTCTGTCCTGTTCTCTACGGCTTACGGCTTACGCCTAAAGACAACTTCTTGGCCCGCTGCGCTCCAAGGCATCGTGCCAGCACCCAACCTGATCGCACGCCCATCACTAGATTCACTAGATTGGCGAGCACCATGCTCAGCCATTTAAAGGAAGACAAACGGGAGAGTGAAATAAATCAAGAAACACGGAATGAAAGAAATCCAGAAAGAAAGGAAGGAGAGAAAAAGCAAGAAGGGACAAACCAAGAACAAAAGATCCGTTACACCCATGGAATCTCTTCCTCTCTCTCGCTCGCTCGCCTCTCGCTCTCAGCGGGCGCACCTCGAGCTCAAGCCCAACGGCCCGAGGCGCTCGGTGGCCATAGTGGCTGCTTGGAGCGTGCTCTCATTCATGTTGAGCCCGTCATAAGAACCAAAGGGAGAACCGCCAAAAGGGTAGGCGAAGGGATGGGCCGGGGGCAAGCCGCCACTTTGCAGGCCGCTCTGCAGGCCGCTCTGCAGGCCGCTTTGCAGGCCGCTTTGCAAGCCGCTCTGCAGGCCGCTCTGCAGGCCGCTTTGCAAGCCGCTTTGCAAGCCGCTTTGCGAGCCGCTTTGCAAGCCGCTTTGCAAACTGCTTTGCAAGGATTGCAAGCCGGGAGCGCTTCCGGGGGCACCGGCGGCGCTAGGAACCGGGGCGCTGGAGAGATCCGGAACGTCTGGGCGAAGCTCTGAGCGAAGATCACTGCGAAGATCTCCAAAGCCTCGCTTGTCGATGGCACAAAAGCGTGTGTGTCTTGAGCACCACTCTCCCAGCCTGGTGCCTCACGGATGTCACGTTCGGCAGACATCTGGCAAAGCAGATGCAAGCGAATCGGCAAACCAAGAGTTGAGACCCGATTGCCATTACAGCTTCAGCCCCGCGTTCTACACTGTCATATACGATATTTCCACAATCGCACGGGTGGTATTACGCCCTTCTCATGTCTGATTCCTGGGTGTGTGTGGTCGGAGGCGCATGTAGCCGTACATTAACCCGTCGCATCTTCTGGCTTCGGCCAACTCCTGTTCAGATGGCATTGCTTTAAGTTTCGCCTTGAGTGGGTCCTCGAGGGATCCTCTCTCGTCAAACAGCTTTGTCAGTGCGCAGTTGGGCGGCATCCGGCAAAATAGCTTCTCCCGTTTCGTCTTCCAACATGTCTGTGGCCTGTCAGGGCCTGCCTGTTTTGGGCACGTTCTGACCCTTTGCCGCAGCCACAATGGATGATCGTCGCAGCAGTTTCCCAGCTGCCTCTGTGCATCTCGTGTGCTTGAGTCCTCATAAACTAACGACCGCCGAGTCCAGATGACGGCGTCATCGGGCCAAGCAGCCAGGTGATGCGGAGCACGTAATAGTAAGTCGCTCGGCACAGAGTGTGTGTCAAAACACTTGCTGCATGCGACCTACGGCTACATGAAAATTGACCTCTGTACCCTTCGTCTGTGTTCCGTCCTGCGGCTCGCGGTGAGGCCTCACAGGTTTTTGCACACGCACATATGTCAGCAACGGATGTCTAGCACACAACTTATCTGTGGAGGGATTGGTCTAGGCAGTCTAGGCCCAGGGCTGCTTGGGAGGAGGTGCCTGAAGTCTGAAGAGCAATGCAAAGCATCTTGCGCTGTGCAGCACAAATGCTGCAGTTGTGGCCCTGTGGCCCCGACGGTGACCCTGGGCGCCTGCAAGTCCCACCTGACGCGCCGACCGATCCTTTCCGGTCTCTTCTCGTCCCCCCCGCACTTGCCTCTGTTCCCGAGGTTCCTCGTCCCCTTCGTCTTCATCCGAGTCACCTCAGCCGAAGCCATTTTCTTCGGGATCATGTATGCGGCCCAGCTATCACAGGGCATGCTACAGTCGCTTGCAGCTCAGTTTGCACTCACTGCACGTATGGCCAAGCTCCACGTGAAGTGGCGTTGTGTTTGCCATCCGCCCTTGCAATATATTATGTTATTCTTGCTCCTCAGAAGTTTGCATAGCCTTCCTTCTTCAGTTCCCCCACCTTATGCGTGCCTCGCCTGGGTCGGACCTCCTATTCCTGCATCCGTAGGGTATCCCGGAGCGTCGAGTCCCATATCCAAAGACAATTAATTTGGCGAAGCAGCAACCGCCCCAAGCCTCCCCAACAAATGGGAATACCCAAATGCCGCATAAGGGGGGGGGGGGGGGGTTCATTTGTGCCGAGGCTGCCGAAGTGTGGATCACTCGGGGATTGCAGTCACTTTGAATTCTTTTGGAGTGCCCACTGAATGTCGCTCGGAGAATCTCAAGAGCGCCCAAGCAGCGCATCGCGCAGCGTAACTCTGGAGTGCCAATCGGGATGCTCAAAGAAATTTGTCGGAGCACGGTTCCCGTCGCCAAATCAGCAAGCCAAGTTTTTGCAACTCAAAAGCGGTTCCTTGCCAAAACCCAAAAGACCCTAATTACTTCAATAGTTTTCTGTGGGCATTTGACGGTTGTTTTACGGGTAACGGGTTCCTGCCATTTACTCAAGTGTTGTTGCAGGCACTGGAGAAATACTCTGCAAGATTCTCTGCACGATTTTGTCGTGTGCAGTCCAGTCCAGGGGTACTCTGAGAGATTCTGCGAGATTTTTCTGAGCGGGTATTTCAGGAATCCTCTGCGACATTCTGGGAGGGCGGGCACTTCAAAAATGCTTGTGAGATTTCCGCGAGATGAATACTCCGCGGGATTCAGTGAGGACTGGAAGGCCTAAATTGGTCGCTCTAACCATCCCAGTCACTCCTTCCCTTGTCCCTCGCATTGAGGAGGCATAGCATATGCAAGCACAATCTGGCACAACACATGCCTGTGCGACACGCAACACACAACAGTGGCCCAGCAGAAGCTGGCACCCTGTGAGCTACAGCACTTGTAACAGCTTCACACATCGAAAGCTCATCGAAAACTCATGTCCTTCCACTGCATCCGCTCACGGAGCTTTAAGCTTCTGCTGTGCCAAACCGACGTTCAATGGCTTCCCTTATTTAAGCCGAAGGATAGATGCCCTGGATGCTGGCCCCGCGGGTAATTAGCCGGTTGCGCTTCAAACAGATCAAGAGAGCCCACAGTACGCAAGCACAAGCATCAGTCTAAGGTCTCAGCTTTCCAGAAAAGCAAAGTCGGCCAAATCCTCCAAATCAATGCAATGTGTGTTTGTCTGATTGTCATCCGGCACGCTCGCCCAACCATGCTGCCTCTACCCTCGATTCCTCTCGACTGGACCTTAAGGAATGATGGCGTGCAACTGTTGCCTATGGCATATGGTTGCTTATGCAAGTCCTGCTTTAAGGCATCTCCGTGCATCTCTAGCCCTCTGTGGCATCGGCGGCGGCAACTTCTCGGGAGTGGTGGAGGCCGTGGACGTGCCATGGCCCTTCTTCTCCTCCAAAGCACATCATCAGTGTCCGAAAGACATGCATGGCATGCCCAGGCCCTGCACTCCCAACATCAAACCATCCGTCCTCCAGCCGTTCCCTGTCCTAGAGCGAGGCATACCCAGATGCAGGAAGTGCAACGATAAGGTCTGCGGTCACATGCGCCTGCGACCCTGCATCCGCATCGAACTTCTTGAGGAGCGTCACCAAATAGGCAGGCCAGTTTTTCACATCCTCTGAGTTCCATGAGCGAAAAATGAACTATAAGAAGCTCGGCTGGTGAGGCTTGATGTCGTCATATTTCTCCTGGCGCGATTTGTTCATAGTGTACTGGTGGACCATCTGCAGCGCGGCTTTGAGCCGGGGCCTGCAAAAGTCTTCTCAGACCTCTCACTGCTTTTTTACATTCTACGATGATGTGTGATATGTTGGTCTCACATTTGTCTCCCTGACTCTCTCGCTGTCCTTCCGCCCGAGCCGTGCAATGCGTGGAGATGCCTCGAAGCCCGAGCGCACAACGGCGAGCGTTCTCACTGCAACACATCCACTTCATTTCCGCTTCATTTCCCAGGTTGGCCCTCGATAATGCCACTCCCGAACCCCATGTACGTAAAGCGCAACCCCGCCTCCAAAACCCGAAACGCAGGCTTCCGAAACGGTAAAATTGTGCAAAATCTACAGCCCAGCCGAGGCACTGCCTGACGCGTGCATCAAAGAACTGGTGTTGCAACCTGTACGCGGTCGCCATGACTCATGAATTTCAAGAATTGTAGAGGAATCTACCCTTTTCAGCTGCCGAGCCCGGGACGCTGCCTCAGCTACCGCAAAGCAATGGAGACAAATACTTCGAATCCAGCTCATCTCTCTCTGCAGAACGCCATTAAGCAAAAGCTATACAACAGCTGCAGTTCTCTAGTGCCTGGCCCTTTCCCTTAAAACGAACTTGTTCTGCATCGGCTTGTCGCAGAATGAGACCGACAGCTTGGACACGTGCAGTAGTGACAGTTGTGTGTTGCACTGACGATGCGCACATGTCAGCTACTGTTGTGGTGAGTGCATGTCGAGTTTTGCGCAGCTTCTCTGAAGCCAGGTTACGGGCCACTGCGACAAGCTTCGGGGGACAGCTCTTGGCAGGTGGGTGAGAGTGAACGAAGCTCTGCGACTGGTGCGTTCACTGGCCGGCCAATGAGGTGCAAGGTGCGGGTCAGCAAGGAGCAAGAGGAGCAAGACTCGAATTGCCCGCAATGGCTGGGGGATGTGATTGAAGTGCCCTCAAGGTGCGCATGCGCTGCCATTTGACAGTCGTGCTTTGGTTCTGTGACTTGGTTCCGGCATGTTCCGCAGATCTCTGCAATGTCGCGCAATTAGCGCACAAGATTGGCTTGCGGGCTTCAAGGCTGAGACGGACAAACTCTGCAAAAGTGGCCGTGTTGGGAGCCAGGGGCTTGTTGTGGCATCATGTGGCATCTGGGCCCCCGTGCGTTCACACTCAGCACAGCGCGGATCTCCTGTTCAGAAAACGAGAGCAGTGAGAAATGCACAATGCAGCACCTTAAAACACTGCTGAGCCACAAAAAAGGCGGTTCGATGAATGATTCAACTGGCCTCAAAGACCTCATCCTTGGCACGCGGTGCTGCCTCCTCCTCCTGAACGATTATAAAATCTACCCGCCGTGTCTTCTCATCAGCTCGCATGTGTGTGCATCTCATGTGCTCTTAGGGTGTGCCTTCTCCTTTTCGGACTTCTCCACCTTGTCCTTCAACTCCTTGGCGTCTTTGGTGGCGTCTTTATTGGCATCTTTGCTGTCTTTCCGGTAGGCTTCCTTTGTCTTTCCCTGAGCATGGCAAAAGAAAAAAAGGCTCGAATACCTTAAGAGGATCTTGAACAAGTTCCTCGCAGCATGCGAAAGGAGCCTTGCCGCGGAATCCACGGCCCCGACCCTTCGCCTGCACGTCGGAGATGCAGAGAGAATAAGCCAGACGAGAGGTGCGGAGCATTGGAGCCTCGTCGCCCTTGCCCAAGCCGTAGCCGTAACTCCCATATCCGCCATAGCCATAACCACAGCCACCGCCATAGCCATAGCCGTAGTGCGCCCAAGGCGGCACCGGGCCGCCCGGTCCCGAACCACCCGGGCTGCGAGGATTCAAGCCTGTGGGGCCTGAACTTGGGGTTGGCGGGTTGGGCGGGTTGGGCGGGTTGGGCGGGTTGGGCGGGGGCGGATTTGGTGGGGCAATGCTCGGGCCTCCGCTTGGGCCTCCGCTTGGGCCTCCGCTTGGGATGCCGGATTCCAAGCTCCCAGGTCCGGCATCCGAGCTGAAACGACCTGTCAACGTCAAGAGCCAGACAAGCGTACATCCCCACTGGAAAAGCAGCTCAGGGCTGGGCCAGCCATGGCTGGGCAAGCCGCCGATCGCTAGCACCCGGACTTGGGTACACCCCCTATACTGTGCTAAGTATTGATTTCACTGTCAGACGTGCCTACTTCAACAAGACAGGGTGTCACTCTCCCTCGAGCCCGAAACCAGGAATCCAAGACATTGCAAGAAAAGTTCATGCAACAGCAAGGCTTCAGAGAGGCACAGCGCATTGCTCGGAGCTCTCACATTCAGGTCAATGGTCCGGTCTAGCCGTCTAGCCAAGCCTGGAGCGGAGTGCGGAAGAACACGTCTGAGACAAATCCCAGCACGTTCCCAAGTCCAAGTCTGCATGGCCCAATGGCAATCGCCTGGACAGCACCTCCTTTGCAGCCTCGCGAACGCCGCGGTCGGCATCCTCACGTGCCACCACCCTGCAGCTCAGCAGCGCAGTCGATTCGGGCATGGCCATGTTTATGATGTTTTTGTTATACGTTTGTGCGTTTTCAATGCGGTGACCACACAAGGAAAGCGCTCGCGCGCGCACGCTCAGCGATGTTCCTTTAAATGCTGGCCCAGCCTTGTCTTATGCTGTTTGCATTCGCGTTGTCTCCTCTCTGCTGCAACTTGCTTTTTGTTCTGCCCCTCCCTCCCAGTTGTGCTGAGTGCGTTTTCTCCCGTGTGCGTAGTAGAAGGGCTCTCCCGTTTTTGTTGGTTGGAGTTCCAGTCATTTTGTGTTCGAAAGCGTCCGCGAGTGTACATGACACGTGTCTGAATTCGGTCTGCTATCGGATGTTCCCTTGTATGCTGCCCAATTTCTCCTGCTGTTCCATATTTGGCTTGGCATGCTTGGCTTTGTTATATAGTGGGGTGCTTCGCCACTTGCCGGTTTGCATAATTCATGACTTGTTGGGCCCCCCCCCCAAAACCTGCTCCGGAACCGCTCCGAAACCGGACGGTCCCGACCCGCCCGAAAGCCAAGGGCTGGAGACTCCATCGCTTCACTGTTGGGCAAAAGAATGACTTGGTTGGGTTGGCTGTCGTTGGGCTGATGCAAACGCGCGCGCCCTGTAAGAATAGTTATGGCTTGGCTTTGGATTGGCTTTGTCCTCTAGCCCCACCCATTTGCAATCAACTTCCGAAGGGACGTGGATATGCTAATAAAAAACATGGATTGGGTTGCAGTCCCATTGCTAAGTGATTGTTGGGTTCCAGGAGCATAAGAACAGCGGTCAACGATAAGAGCTTGGAACGGTTTCTTGGGAACCGAGAAAATAAGAACAATAGCATACTGTGTAGGAACCCAAAACCAACCCCCTAGTCCCAGCCAATGTTTTGGGTCGGAGGGAAGTGTACGCACATGTCCCCAACATGTTCGATGTCATGGGGGAGGCGAGAAGTTGCACCCAAAACGAGTTCTGTTTTGGACCATGTGTGGTTTTTACACTACCTCTGTCTTGCGCCCCTCTGTCTGCATCTTTTCTGGCAGCTTCTAGCCTCAGGCGATTGAGGAGGGTTTCGCTCACGGGCGCCAACGTCTCCACCGCTTCCAGTGCCTCACATGGAACATTCCGAGCAAAGTGCGCTGCGAAATGGGCTGTGGGTGAGGATTTGGCGCGCTTCCTCACAGGCACAAAGCCATCCTCGAACATGTCCTCAAGAAGCCTAAACAGAGACAAGTTGCTGGTTCTTGCTTTCTGCTCAAGCCTCTCCCCCAAAGAGATGCCCCATTCACCGAGCTTCCTGCGCCAGGGTCCGGGCATCACCCTTGCGTCCCAAGCGACCAAGCGCCACCACGGCTCGCGCACGCACGAAGCAGTCCTAAAATCAGCCCAATGCAGTGCAAGGTCGCATGAGGTTGGCGGGGCTTTGCAAGATTTTGCAAGGCCTCGTCAGCCAAACGCAAGGACACTTTGGACACGGCCACGGCATCCTGCAGGTTCTTCCAGGTTCTTCCAAGTTCTTCCTTGCAGAGATCTTCCCAGAGCCGCCTCCGGCTGCGCCACCTCTGCGATGGCGTCCACGGCAGCCTGGTGCACGATACTTGGCGCTTGGGATCCTCTGACAATAACTCTTCCAAAAACGATCCCAGCAATGCTGCCCGCCTCTCGTACAAATATGTCCTCGTCCTGTGCTGCTGCAACGTGGCTACAACACCACAGGGCCTAGAGTGACCTAGAAGCCCGATTCGAAGAAGGCCTCAAGGTGTTTGTAGAGTAGGGCCAGCTCCGTCTCCTCTCCCGGCGCTGCCACCTCTCTCAAGGAAGCGAGACAGCGTTCCATGCTGTTTTTAAAACACTCTTTCAAGCTCTGCTCTCTCTCTCTCTCGCTCTCTCACTCGCTCTCGATTCAAAAGAAAGAGTGCATGCTCCTTCATACAAAGCAGTTCACCCCTTCCTCCCGCCCCCCTCCTGCTCTTCCTCAGTCTGCCCTCTACACGCGCATGTGAAGGAGCCGCTCGTTCTTTCAGCGCACCTAACCTTTCCCCGGAGTAGGCCGCCCTCTGACTCTTTCCCTCTCTCAGCTTACCACTGGGACCCCCCCCCCCCGTTTAAAAAAGATCCTTATCGAAGACCCCCCCCCCTTACCTACTTCCCTGTGACAGGCTTCAGGATTCCATTTCGCCCAAAACATCGCTGCACGCCGACAAAGCCTCAAGCAAAACCACAATTGTTTTTCTGCGACTGGCATCGCCAGGCTGTTGGGAGCCCCCCACCCCCCACTGCAACCACTAAACCGCAAACCCCTCCATGTTCAATTTCTATGCGACTCCGAAAGCGTGTTCTCCATGGATGTTTCGCGGCTTTACACAGGTGCCCGGCTTCGGCTCTTCCCAGCGTTTACTTTTGATGCAGATCCCTGATTTCCTTCATGTGAGGAACTGCAGGGAGCGAGTGCGACGAGGATGATGGAGGCAAAAACTAGAGAGTGAAGAGTCTTCGCGTCAGGCAACTGGACAACGGGATGCTTGTCTTGTGGGGGTGAAGCCTCGCCTCGCACCAAAGTGAAAGTGTGGATCAAAGTGTTCATCCTCATGGAGATTAGAAACTACTGGCAGATTCGCTTTGGGGGTGCACTGTGCCCTGCCAACACATGGTCAGGTCACGGAGAATCGGGCAGCGACGAAGGGGCAGAAAACGATTGCATGGGTAAACAGGAAACAGGACATGGAAGCCGGAGAGCAAGTGGACCGATGACTGCGTGTTGGTCGCTCCAGCTATCAAACAAAAGGCACTATATGTATACAATATATACATATATATACATGTATAGATATATACACACACATATATATATACATACATATTGAGGAGGGGATGACATGATCCTCCACCGCGCGAAGGAGCTGCGAACTCCAGTGGTCAACGCGCATCATGGTTGCAAAGCTAAGGCCTGAAGACCGTTGGGTCAGCCCAAGCGAGCGACATTCTACGTTTCAACCTGCCCACAAGCCTCCAAAATGGGAACAGTCTGGGCGGAGGACCGGCACTGGAGCTGAAGGGCTGAGAATGAATACACTTTTCCCAGGTGGACAGGAGCCCGACGGGTCTCGGCAAGACAAGAGCCGCAGTGGGCTGGGCTGCCGAGCTTGTGAAAAAAACCTTTGAACTCGTCGATATTATGGGGGTTGCTTGGGTTGCTCATATCCAGCTCCACCACAGCATCTCTGTTGTGGGCATCTGCACGCTGTCAAATTCGCGAACCTGTAGTGCGGAACCCAGCTCTTTACTATACTTCGAGATCGCACTTATGACCGCGCTCATGGGCGCTGCAAGGCCAACGCGTGCGATTGCTTTGAAGAGAAGTTGGGAAAAGAAACAGCTGCTACCATGATGACCAGATACTCGTTTGATTGCTGTGGGGGCCTTCTTCAATGTGTCAACGGCCGTCTTTCGAGCGAACCAGTCCTCGTCCTTCAAGAGCTCCCGGCAGGCTCCCAAGGTCTCAGTATGCATCGGCTGTACACACCCGCACCCACCCGCATCGACTTCTAGAGTCTTCTGTGAACTCACGATACAGCCTTGACATCCCCTCGCGGAGCATCCTTGCCAAAGCCATCCAGCCTCTTCCGGTGCCTGCACGGACGCATTTGGAAAATGGATTCGAAGTCGTAAACGACATTCTTAATGAAGAAGATCGACCCATGAAGTGTGAGGGAACAAGAACTCAGCAAGAGCGCCAAAGTACATGGGCATGACTTACAAAGATGTCCTGTGCAGTTCCTGCGGGCGGGAAACCACTGCCGCGCGGACGCCACGAGGCACTTGGGCCTCTAACAAAACACGGCTCGGCTTCACCCCATTTAGCCTTTGATCCATGCCTTTGGTGCTAGCGCCCATCTCACGGCGCTCACGCCTAGCCTCAGCAAAGGAGAGCAACTCTGAGAGGCTGGGACGCCCGGGGCCCCCGTAACAACTCAACAACCATGCCTCAACCTCAACCCCACCAAAATACCCAACACAAGAAAAAAACACGATGAAAACCCAAGCTATGGGACCATGCATAACCCCATAGACAAATAGCATGCCCAAACCCATAGCATGCCCCACCCGATAGAAAGCCCACAAATCCAACCCGAAACCCCTAACTGTAGAAAAATGCATAATAAACATCTATACTGGGAGTAAGGTTGAGGGATAAGGTAGGAACCATCATGTAGTTACGATCTAGAACACTTAAGGCTTTCAACATCATTCTACTTATGACTTACCAACAGGACTGTCAATAAAGTTTCGGTCCTTATGCTTGCCGAATAGCATAACGCAATCTTCTAGAAACTCATGACTCATTAGTATTTGGTGGACATGACTGAATACTATATTAATATCAATATCGGGTTTAGGTTTCTCGAGCTCGGGTCGTGGCCGCGGTGTTTCCTCTTCATCAACAAATTTATTAGGAAATTGCTCGTGAGTCAAACACGAGGCTGCCTCATCTTTCTCTCTCCGTGGGCTCCATGGCACAGCACGGTCCAGCGGGAACTCGCTGCAGCTGTGAGCCAAGTCGGTGAGTTTGCCTCTTTCCAGTCTGCTGCGGAGACCGTTCCAAGTCTGCCTCCCTCTTCTTCCGGTCACTTGTTTCTTTGTTCTTCTTTGTTCAGGCTTGAGGAACTTAAGCGCCAAACTTCGTCAGACATTTTAACTGGGGGGGGTCTCCTTCAGCAAAGTCAGCTGAGCTTCTCTATGCAGCTTATGCATCTCGCATTGCGCCTTTGTGATTGGACATCTGCCTTTGTCTGCGTGGTTCGGTCACTTTCGGTCACTTCAGGCTTCCACTTGCACAGTGGTGTCGATTGCGCGTGGTTTGCAGGCCGTGCCAAGACCGAAGAGATAAGGGAATGCGGGGCCGAGAACCCGAGATACATGAACAAACATGATCAGTGGACAGCATATCCGGACGCCAGGATTGCTAGGAGCAGCTGTCAATCGCATCACTAGAACAGCTGGATACCTATAGTAGGTCGCTTGTCCGTGGATGGCACTGAAGTGCAGGTTGACATGAAACTTGGACTTCGTGCTCCATTTGGTTGGATGAGAGCACGGCCTTGTCCAGGCTTTCCTACGCGACCCTTCAAGTCGCTGCGGGTCGCTCAGTTCTTTGCACGTGGCAACATGGTGGCCAGGCTCTGACACGGGAGGTTTCCGGTTTTGTTGAAACAAATCCTTTCCAAAGCGTATTGAGCCAAGCAATTTTGTCGATGTCGGTCTTGGGCATGTCCGGCGGTAAAAGTTGCCTGTGATTGATTCTCGACTTGCCTTATGATCAGTTCCTGCAAAGTGGAATCTGTCTTAGGTCCTTAAGTCGTCGTGGGCACTGGATCCCCTGAAAAGTTTCAAGTTCAGAGATGGTCACCGGGAACGTGTGAAGACTGGAGTGTGAAACTTGTGACGCATGCATCGCAGCTGCGCCTGCAGTTGATGAAGTGTCCTCTTTTTGCATCTGATCTCCCGAACCCTCAGCTTCACTTCGGCAGCGCAGCACCCCGCAACTCATCCTCAGCCTGGTCTCAGAGAGCTAATCAATACTCTGTACTCGTGCGTCGGGAAAGTCCCGGTCTGCAAAAGAGATGAAAGGGTGCAATGTCCGTGCCTCGAGTGCCCAGCAACATCGCCTGACACGGAATCGGAGATTCAAAGTCTTCCGAGCTCTCCAGCAAAAACAGTGTCTCGCAAAAGCCGCTGCGGAGAGTCCCCCTGTCAAGAGAGCACTTGTTCCTTGCAGTTGCCCACGCCTCGGTGAGCACTTCGGCACGGGTCTCGGCACTGCGCCTCAGACCAGAAAGCAGAAATTGAGACTATCAGAAAAGAGCAGACTTCCACAGCCAGGACAAGACTGACTACACACGACCCCAGCGTCAGGTCAGCAACTCAACGATCACGCGCGTGTTACTGAGTCAACGAGTAGGCGAGCCAGAGCAGAAAATCCAGGCGTTCTGCCCCCGTCTGGTTTCCAAGGTGATATTAACTGTATCCCATGAACAATTTTGGAAACATCTCGTCCAAAGTTTGGACGGGCTACGAAACTCCCCCGATTCTCCGTCTTTCAGTTTTGGGCACAGGGTGTGTAGGTGCAGACACCCCTGCTGTCCAAAGTGGCCTTCACGTAGTGTAGGATGCCACGCTAGTGCGTGTTACCTAGGGGCACCTGGCACTACCCCAGTGCCGTGCAATCGTCCCGGGCATAGCATGGCACTACGGGAAAAAGCAGTAAAGGCGCACTTGTGCAGGATCTGTCCCGGCGTGCAAACGGATGCTTTGTCAGGCGGCTCTTGGGCTTTGCTTTGGACCTCCCGCACTTTGCCCTCTATGAAAGCCAACGTGGGACCCGGTTTTGGCAGCCCGAGCTTCCTGTTTTGTATCACGAGTCCCAACCCCTTCGATGCTTTAGGGCCCCTCCTTTAGCCCTGCAAATGCACACGCCTACACCACCACAAGAAAAGTAAAACCAGACCCCTGCCAAGCCATTCAGCTTCGTACCGATAACCCACAACAAATGTCCCGGCAATTGTACGGGGGTCGATTTTTCAGTACTGAGAGTGGGGCTCCCACACCTTCACGCCCTCACGCCCGCACGCCCGCACACGCGCACACCCGCAAGGCCCGCCCGCGCATGCGTGCCCTTGCCCACGGAGAGAGAGAGAGAGAGAGAATGAGAGAGAGAGAGAGTGTCACAAGCTTCTGTGAAGCTATGTTACGTGCACATGCATTCATGACTGTAACATGGCATCACAGCACAGCTCACGCAGTTCACACGGTGCAGCTTGCATTTCGTATTTGCCCTCACCGGCTTGCAAAACCTGTTCGGGCCCCCATGGAAACTCGCTAGCTGCCCCAACTGGCCTGAAAACTTGAAAACCTTGTTTTGGAAAAACGAATTGGGCCCGACTTAGCTGTGTCCTCAGACACCCAGGTGCAATCAGGTACAGGAGTTTCCCTTCCAATCTTTTCCTCTCGCCGATGGCCCACGCATGCAAGCTAGTCTGCTGTTTATCTGAAAGGTTTGGAAGATGTCGAAGATGTACGCCATGGCTTAAACTGAAAGCGTCACAGATTTTGCTTTCCTTGAGCAGCATTGAGCAGCTGACAAATCGTTTTGCTCAAACTTGCAAGGCATGCCCTTTGGCTGCACTTCTTTTTCCGTCTTGAGCTAAGACGCATCAGCAAATATTTTGCTGAAAGGCGTGTCCGGGGATTATGTGGTTATGTTCCAGGAATGGAACTCGCGCATCGGAACTCTGTGAGTCTTCGGAGTGTCCGAGACCGAAGTTGTGTAGATAGTGTAGAGTATGTGTTGGCCTTGGCATTCCAACCGGGACTGAAATGCCCATGTGTAACGACCTTGAGAGAACGCGAGATCGACGATCCAGGGTTTGACCATGTCGAGTGTGGTGTCGCGGGGCACCACGATAGTGGTGGTTCCTATCCCTGGCACGGCACGGATGAGGAACATTTTGGGCACGCGGAGTCGACGTGCATCGGTGATATACCCTGACGAGGGCGCACAGCTCGATGTTCTGAGCGAAAAAAAGTGTGTTCCCTGTTGCTGGGACGTTCACTGCGATGTGCTGCGGTGATGGGCGGGGAAAGAGGATTGTGGTGGTGTTGGAACCGAAACGATTGAGGATGGTTGAGGGTACCTGGACAATTTCCTGGTGCTGTTGGTCTTCCAGTTTGTGCTTGCATCGGTGTGCACAAGGAAATGCGCAGTCGCGATCGATGATTTGCTAGCTCTCTATGTTGTCTGGCCAAATCTGGGACATATCTGCATGTAACGCAAATCAAATGGTTTGTGTTTTACAAGCAACGCTCGACAGAGATGCTCAGCTGGTATTGTACTGCAACACACGATCAACGATCTTCAAATCATTGTGGAACTGCTTGGCTCGCAGATTCTGCTGTTCCCTCTGAGAGTTTTCCTCACGAGGGTCTGAGATAGACAAAGTAGCCCAACAACACTCCATGAAAGTTGGGAGAAGCCCGTCCCCCAACGCCTGCTGTCAAGGTTGTAATCTAGTGTACGACGTGCACGCCGCATGTCTTCACGATGCCAAGCACTGGGATCCGGGCAGAGCACGGGCCTACACAACCAGGGACAGGGCACAGACCAAGGTCACAGACACAACCCAACTACTAAATGCGAAGGATTGCGCAGGTCGCTGACGGTTGAAGACCTCTGCAAGCCCTAGCCCTATAGCTCTTACTCAGGTCGGCTTGGGCCGCAAGATCCGATTGTGTTCTGCATCCTCTAACGCTAATCGAGGTTCTTTCAACTTCCTTGCCAGCCCTTTTACTTGCTCGTAGGCCTCACTCGAGACAGCCAGTCACGAGGGCGAAAGGATTTTAGGCATGGAGCAGCAGTGGGCCCGTTCATGACAATTGTTTTCTTTGACCTTGTCACGTCAACGGGCGAAGCAGATCAGGGACAACCAACCTGGTAACTTGTAAGATGATACGGTTTAACTTAGCAATGAGGGCACCCTTCCTCTCGAACTCCAACCCAGGCACTTTCAGTATGTGCAAAACATGAGCCACGGCTCTGCAAGTGCCTCCAAAAAAACCTGACTGCGTGGCCTTGGCAGCCGACATGTCCGTTGCGAGGCCTACGCCGAGAACGGCGGGGGGCCGGCTCCTCTAGAGGAATCAAAACACAACATGAGCTTAGCGCTTGCACTCATGTTTCCCAAAGGAGACTTTGTTTTCATCTCGCTTCAGCTTGAATTAAGGCCCCGGCATGCCCTTCTCCTTGGCCTTCACGACGGCCAGGTGCCACTGCAATCGAAGCAGCCCACCCAATCGCTGAGCCTCCGAGAGCTGGGCGCCCGCGTCCGGGGAGAAGGCATCCATGGCTGACACATCAGGACCTTCGCTTTCCTTCTCATCAAAGCTACTCGCGGCGGTGAGCACGCAGCTGCTGGAACCAATCTCCAGGTCTAGTTGAAGGGCTTTGCTGCCGGTCCTGCCGGTGGCTGCAAGCCTGTTGCCCAAGAGGCCTCGCAGCTTCTCCAAAGAGGGCGATGCATCCGACTCCTCTGCTTTCTCTTCCTGGTCCAGGGCTTCTGGCACCTGACACCAGGTCCGGAGGTCCTTTTCAGCCTTCCCTGAAAGGAGTTGCTCCAACTGGGAAAGGAGGTCCTTGGCACATTCCCGCTGCCGGTCTTTCTGCTTGTTTTGCCGGGAAGAAGCGAGAAGGAACCCAAAGGAGGACTTCGACTTTGCAGAGCCGCTCGCGAGGATTAGCAGTGTTACATTGGAATTGCTCATTGCCCGCTGAGGGGGGTCTATGGCTTCCAGCCAAAACATCTTCCACCCTTTATGTGCCTGAATGTGTTGCAGCAGCTTCTTGCTGGGATCTGGAGCACTCTCAGTTCTGGGCTTCTTGTCGCGGTCTCGCTCTGGGAAATCTCTTCTTGGCCTCTTCTCATCTCTGCCACGTCGAGGAGACGGCCGCCGCTCGCTTCCTCGGTCATTTGGAGGTTCGGCTGGTGGTGGAGGGTAAGACGGGGGAGGATAGCCCGGCGGTGGTGCATAGTACGGCTGCGGATAATAAGCTGGGGCCTGGCCGTATGGGTAGGCATGCGCGTGGTAGTGACTGTAGTCTACAGGGTTCGGGGGCCGAGCTGGGTCTGCATAAGCTTCAGGCGGCGGATAAGTTGGGTAGGCCGCAGGATAGCTTGGTGGATAGCCCGGATATGCTGGGGGCGGGCCTGGATGGCTTGCCGGCGGTGCGCCCGCCGGGGGTGGCCCTGCAGGAGGTGGTCCTGGAGGGTAGGCAGCTGGAGCCGGGGGTGCAGCTTGGGCCGGTGGTGCTGAGTAGTCAGGGGGCGCGGCTGCTGGATCGGCAGGCGGATATGCCGGCGCCTGCGGGGGGTAGCTATAATATTGCCTATAGTAGTCGTAGTAAGGGTCGGACGTTGGCGTGTGGGCTGGTGGTTGGCATGGAGCTGGTTGCGCTGGGGCCTGAGGCTGTGTGTAGTAGTCTGCCGGGGGCTGTGCCGGTGGCTGTCCTGCGGGTTGTGTAGGCTGTGGCGGGGCTGCTTGGTCCACCCGTGCTTCGGTCCTTTCGTGGGAGCGGTCGTAGCCCTCTGGATAGGCGCTGCCAGCAGCAGGGGGGGGCGGCGCACCAGCGCTGCGCGGATCGTAGTTTGGGGGATAGGCTGCTGAGGTCGGATAGCTCGGGTATGTTGGATAGCTGTAGCCAGGAGGGTAGGACATGGCAAACAGACCCTGTGGCGAGAGGACTCGGCTTGAGCAAATCAGTTGCAGACGTGAGCATACCGAAGGATCGGAAGACAGACAATATGATACAGTGTGCCTCGGCAAGGCCATGAAAAGCCAGTTTCGGAGCGGCACCGACCCCCTTTCTGCGCAAGCTCAACAGCTCTGTGCAACACGCCATGCGGTTCACACAACATTTGGTGGGACCACAGAGGCAGTGCATTGGTCACTGCGCTGCAGGCTAGGCGTAGCCTCAACCTGCCGATGAATCGCACATGCAAACAGTCATGCTGGCACATACGGCTCTCGCATGCATGCATGGCTGGTGTCTCCGCTCCGCTGTCCTGGGAGCCCACCCTCTACTCGCTGCCAGAGCTGCAAGCCACCATCCTGCAGACGGCGTTCGATCTGCATTTGAGATGAAACCCTTTGAATTTGCTAGGGGTTTCAAATCAGATACTGAAATGCTGGTGGCTGCGAAAAGCTTCTTAGATTACATTCAGTCTCCTGTCCTGGGAGCCTATGAGAAAGATGCCGTCGTGGCCGGCGCAAAGCAAGCTGTCCACCTTTTGGCCTTCAAAGGTTAGACACAACTTGGGCATGCACGGACAGGCATGGGCTCGGGGCCGAAGGATCAACGATAATCAATTTCCAGGGTCAAAAAGCCAAAATAGATCAGCAAAGTACAGCCTTTCTACTTTCCCGAGTTTCGTTCGGCCTCTAGAAAAAAGGTGCCTTGGCTGCGGCTGCATCTGCAACGGTGGTGCACCCTGTTTACTTTGTCGAGTCTGTCAAGCCTGGTGCTTGCGGTCTTGCAAGCCCTAATGCAAGTGTCAGAGTGTCAGCACGGCCCTTCTGAGTCTGCCACGTCTTCTGTCAAATTCTAAGGTCCAGCTTGTGAAGGCCGGGCAACAATTGAACGCGAGGTTTTGCTTTGCTAAGCCAACATGCTCGGCCGTAAACAGCGGCTTAGTTTGATTTGGCTTTGTCTGGTGGGGCCATTCGCGGTACAGAGCGTCTGTACTACCCAGCACAGCTCAACATTTTTGCTTTTACTGTGCCCTAAATCAATCTGGCGGGGAGAGGGGTTGGCAGGTTCCGTCTGTTGCTGCTTCGAGTTTGGAGACGACGCTCAAGCCACAACAGAAAGATGTCAAATAACCCCAACCGAAAACCCAACAAGCCTCAAGAAACGATAGGTGGGGGGCGGGGGGGGGGGTGCCTTTAGGCAAGAGATTTCAGATGACACATTTTTCTTGGTATGGTGAATTTCCAGAACAGAAATGCTTTGCTTGCCGCTTGCAAAAGCAGAATCTTCCTTCATTCCTTCCCTGCTTTCCTTGCTTCATTCTGGACTCCAGAAGGATTTGACTTCTTTGATCCCGTCCCTAGGTTCCCAAGACGTACGACTCTCTCGCTCTCTCTTCCTCACCTCCATTGTCACAGCTGTTGCAACGATCGCACCTTGCAGTGCCTGGAACTCTGCCTTAAACTCGAAGCTGGGCAGCGTGATCAGGCTCACCTTCGCAAGTGTAAACTCCGAGAGCTCTGCTAAGAGGTATGACAGGAATTGTAGGCGCTCATCGGAACTCTCTCTGCTGGCCTTGCCTGGCCCCGAGCGTGGCCGCAAACCACCCGGGGTCCGCTTTCCAAGCCCGCCTCGGACTCAAGGAATCATTTCAAAGAGCATCCAACAAAAACACTCTTTGAGACGCTCATGACTCTCCGCACCTTTGCCTCTACATCTTCCTCGCTGATCCCATGTCTTCATGACCACGGCTCGTGCACATTCGCTTCTGTCTGATCCGAGCGGCAAGTTTTAGGATAGGCCCGGCATCCAGCGAAGTCTCGGACTTCAGCGTGCCCTCTGCATCGAAGATCCGCAGCTGACCCTCTGAATAAGCCTCCGGCCGGTTTTCTGGCAACAACTGAAGGAGTTGCTGGCTTAGCATTGCGAGGAGCATGGCTGGGGTGCGGGCGACGATGACATGGCCCTGGAACTCCAGCATGTCCGCGACGGCCTTCGTAGGCGGCAAGAGCTTGGCGACCTTGCGCAATGATTTTACCGCATGCGACGCATGTGTCTTTAGTGTCTTTACATTGTACATATTGTTGCAACTAGATCCGTCATCATTTGCTGGACGCACAAGCACCATGCAGCTTGTTTGGTCTGGCCTTCAGGCTGGTAAGGTCCAACAGCGCCAGGCCATATTGACCTCCTACCTGCAGGCTGCGTGGACCCGCGCATGGTCACGCATGCATCCTTTTGTCGAGTTGTCAAGGCACGGGCGAACAGGTAGTTTCCCAGAACGTGAATTTTGCTGATGGATCCAGGCCTCAAGCTCCAGGATCTTTGCAAGCCGCAATGGCGTCCACTGCTAAGGTCCCGGCAGGCTCTCTTCAAGCGTGTGTGTACACTTGAATTGCTTAGTGGCCGGATCCATCTGCCACAAGCGAACCTCCCCATCGTAGCTTCCAGACCTGACTCTTTCATTTTGCTGGGGCCGGCAGCCCGCATAGCCTCTCCGCAAAACGAGGTCTGACCTGCGTTTCTTCTGAGGGGCGCGCATCAGCACACCTTGGTGGACGACCAGCGTGGTGACCTGAAAGTGTGAGGCAGGGCCTTCCTCATCTTTCACTCTCCGCAGTCTCTTTGCCTTTCTCTCTCTCTTTTTCTTGCCTGCGCCCCAAGAGTCAGGCTGTGTACAGTGTGAAGGATGGCGTGCGTCAGATTTCCCCAGCCCCAGCCCATTTCAAGACTTACCTGCATGAGCACCCCCCAGTCACAGTCGCGACCCCCAGCGTACACGTCTGTCCGCGTGCTCGGCACAGGCCGCCTCGCTGTCTTTTTGTGTGCTTCTTCTTCTTCTGCTTCTTCTTCTCCTCCTTCTGCTCTGGCGTCGGCACACAGGGTGCCGGTGGTCCCCCCGCTCTCTCCTCTCTCTCCTCTCTCTCTTCGCTCTCTCGTCTCTCATCACTCTCATCTCTCTCTCATCTCTCTCTCATCTCTCTCTCATCTCTCTCTCATCTCTCTCATCTCTCTCATCTCTCTCATCGCTCTCATCGCTCTCATCTCTCTCATCTCTCTCATCTCTCTCATCTCTCTCATCTCTCTCATCTCTCTCATCTCTCTCATCTCTCTCATCTCTCTCATCTCTCTCATCTCTCTCATCTCTCTCATCTCTCTCATCTCTCTCATCTCTCTCATCTCTCTCATCTCTCTCTCTCCCCCCCACGCATGAGCCCCCCGAAGGGAGGACGCCCCCAGGGGCGCGTGATGTCCGATGTCCAGTCTCTCTCTCTCTCTCTCTGTCTCTTCATCTCTCCCCCTTCCTTCCTTCCAGCGCCTGTGATCCCCGAAGGGACCGCCCCAAGAAAGGGGTCAGTTTGTGTGAACATGTGCGCACAAAGGCTCGCATAAGCCAGCATGCGCAACCACTCCAGCTTCAGAGGTTTGTGCGAAGATCAGGCACGCAGGGGCTCGTATAAGCCAAGAGGTGCAAATGAGCGACAGGACTTCCAAACCTCCCTACATTTTCTCTTTTTTCCTCTTTTATCTCTCTCTCTCTCTCTCTTCTTCCCTCTTCTGGCCTCTTCTACTCTGTCTTCCCTCGTTGTCTCGCCCCTCTTCTCTGTTCTCTCTTCTCTTTTTGCTTGTCTCTTCTTTCTGATCTCTTCTTTATTATTTCTTCATTACTATGTCTTCCCTATTATTTCTTCTCTAGTATTTCTTCTATATTGTTTCTTTTCTATTATGTCTTGTCTGTTATTTCTTCTCTGTTATTTCTTTTCTCTTATTTCTTCTCTATTATGTCTTCTCCACTATTTCTTCTCCATTATTTCTTCTCTCTTATTTCTTCTCTCTTATTTCTTCTCTCATCTTCCCTCTCTCTCTTCCCTCTCTCTTCCGTCTCTCTTCCGTCTCTCTTCCGTCTCTTCCGTCTCTTCTCTCTCTTCTCCCTCTTCTCCCAAGGCCAACAGGGCAAAGCTTCCAACACCTTCCTCCACACGGTCGGTTGGCCGGAGATGGCAGTCACTCACATTCATTGACATTCGCTCGCTCAGACCCATGCGCTGACAATAACCGCAACCGGACTCCCACCAAGGGCCCGGGCGCGCTTGCGGTGTCCCGTAAGCAGCAGCTCCTCGCCGCTCTGAGCAAAGGCCTGGACTTGGCCATCCCACAAACCCACGAAGAGCCAGCCGCCGCTGAAGAGCAAAGCCGTGGCCGAGTCTTTCAGCTTCACCTTCAAAGAGTTGAGACCAAATTGATTCAAACTAGGTTCAACTTCAGATGCAAGAGAGAGAACCTTGAATGGAACACCCTCAAACTGAGAGCCACCAGTCTCACCAAGTGGGCCTCGAGTTCGGGCTCGAGGTCGTACTTGCTGGGAGGGCTGAGCTTCGGCTTCCATCGTTTCACTGTCTTGTCGTGGGATGCGGTGTAAATCCCTTGCTCAGTCATGGCCTCGGGCGCCACGCTGTGTCGTGCACATCGTGAAACTACAGCCTGAAATCATCTGCCCTACCAACTCAGGTCTTGAATGGTCTCGCCATGTCTCGCCTTACAAGCTCCATAATAAAAGCTTGGGAATTTGAGAATCTCAGTCTGCGGCCATTGCCTGGATGGAGGACGCGTGTGCCCCTGCGATCTCGCAGTGCCGGCCGATGGAGTCGGCGTCCACACGGACAACCGCGGGCTTGGCACGGGGCCGCCATTCCTTTCCCTTGCCCTTCTTGCCTTTGCCCTCGCCTTTGGACCCCTTGGCGCCTGACAGCGATGGGAACGATTAGAAATTTAGAAGAAGGGGTAGAACGTCAGCACGTCTAAACGCAACTCGAAACAGCTCTGAAGGCGCAGACTCCAGCCACCACGTCGGGACTTGAGAGCCTTCAGGCACCCCCAAACGCAAGAGCCACGTTAGCTGAGGCCGAGCTCCAGTTCTGCCAGGCAGCGTCGGATTTCAGCACGTGCCGGGTGTCATGGCCCCAATGTGCAGGACCTCAGAACTTGACAATGTGGGAACGCCAAACACCTTACTTTCAGCAGTGGGTCCGGCGTTGTCGCAATGACCAAAAATGGCTTATCAAACCATCCCTTGTCGCAAAACAAGGCCGACCGGGAAACCAAACACCAGGTCCATCGCAATCAGAGCACGCCGAACGCGAGTTCGCGAGAATGTTGCTGAGTGAAGCAACCGCTTTTGGGGTCGCGCACAACAACATTTTCTCCCGTCCCACCTCCCGAGGGTCCCCGCATGTCCCTGCCGCGAAAGCTTGCACCCCGCATTGTCCCTCCCGTCCCAACCCTCCTGCACCGTCCTGCCGCCATAGCTCGCACCCCGCAGTGTGCACGTTCGTCTGCCGCCGGCCTGCCCAGAATCCTCGCTGCCACCCGCTTGGCACCCTAAAACCTTCGAGGGTTTTGGGAAAAATGTAAGGCCGTGTTACAAGCCTTTGTGTGTTCGGGAGCGTTGCTGATTAAGAAAAATGGAAACGCCCTTGAGGTTTATAGTTTAGAAATGGGCTTTGGGCCTGTGATGGTTAAACGCCGTTGGGCCAACCACACCACTGTTCTATCCGTTTAAATATTTATACATGATCAACTGATCAGCTGCTTGAACTCGGCTCTCTATGTTTGTTGTGCTCAGCTTCTACGGCCATGCAAAACAATGGGGTTATTGATTTATTGCACATCTCCATGTTTTCGCGCTTCCTGCTTCCAAGGCACTGGTACCCCGTCCCCGGCCCCGGCCCTTCCCTCTGCCACGTGAGGAGACTGCCGAATGCACAGCGCCCCAGGTCCAGCTGCCATCGCTGCCCCGGTCACCGCGGTCGCGGTCGCCGCGGCCGCGGCCCCGGCCGCCACGGCCGCCACGTTCCATGGCACTTCTGGTCTCCTTTGGCCCCGTTGCAACCCTGGGAATGTTAAATGCTCATGTGACTGGGCTAAAACATTTCAGAAATTGGGTGTGCCTGGAATCGGGGAGTTCTCATACACGAACATACCTGAGCGACCCCTGCCATTACCACTGTCCTGGTAGCGAACCAACCCATTGTGAGCCTGGCACTGTATGGTGAATGTTTGGTTCGTTTTTGTTGTTTTTACTTGTCCTTGGTTGACATGTTAGCTACAGGGCTGACACCTTCATCCAGAAACGTCAGAAACGCACACACGGAAAAAAATCAACCACTCAACTCAAAAAGTCTGCTGTCACAGTGGCAAGCGACTAAGGCTCGCAGGGCCTGCGAGCTCAAACGCCCGCTCGTGGGGCGGCGTCCCTTTGATACGGGTGGGGCGGCGCGGGCCAAGTCTGCCCCAGCGCCGTGCTGGCGACGGGCTACCCCAAGTATGCCGGGACCAGCCCGCAGCGGCCGCGCGGCGAAGCGGGAGGCGCTCGCTTGCGACCGGACGCGCAGGAGGTGGTGCACGAAGCGGCCAGCTTCGCCATTCCAGCATCCCCCGATCTCCGAGCACTCGCAGCCCATGTGCTGGTCGCATTCGCCCAACGCAGTGATGTTTTTGTTTTGTTTTTTCCCCTCGGCCTTTCCCGACTGCAACACGGTGCCAGAGCTACGTTGGTCGAACTACTACCACAGCGGGCGGTCCGGTTTAGGGCCGCAGGGGCAGGCGGCTAGGCCCTTCATTGGTGGCGAGGTCGAGCACGCGGTCCAGTGCAGGGCCGTCACTCGGCCCAGGCAGTGGCGCAGCCGGCCACGCTCGACCCAAGGCTGTGCTCGCCACGGCGAGTTGGACCGCAACGGAAAAAGCTCCCCACCAGTGTCTTGCCCAGCCGGAGGATGCCGCAGCGCGCACGGCTGGCGGCGCACGTAGAGCGCGGAGCCGGACGAGCTCGCGAACAGAGTACTGCGCAGCAGTGCTCCAGCGGCCTCCTATCTCGGAGCCTAGGACCACTAGCTTCTGCGGGCCGCCCCTCGCGAGTTCGGGGTACGTGCAGCGCTTGCGTCGCTCCGTGACCTGCAGCACGGCACCGTCCACGGCGCATGGATGTGGATGACCCGTTGTGGTTAGAGGAGACACGAGTGTTGCGTCGCAGCACATGCAACACTCCTCCCGTAGACGACGAGATCAAGCCGGCGGCGGTCGTCGGCAGGGATGCCTGCTGCAGTCGTATGGGCGAGCCACTGCTGTGGCACGACCTACCTTCGGCGCCGACGGCCTCTCGCGCCACGCGGACCCACGCACGCTCGACGACTTTAGCGCGCCTGGCCAACAAGCTTGTCCTCGGGCAAGCGAGGGCATGGTCGCCATAAGGGTCGACGACGCCACCACATCCCGGGTTGGGGCCGCGGCGTCCGGGGCAAAGAGGGAGAGGTTTTTTTTTTTTCTCGCACCTTTTCTCCGCCAGCCGGAAAGTCACTGCGTCGGGGGTCACCGGAAGGGGGTCAGCGGGCAGGGAGGCGGCTTGCAGCGACCGGCCGTTCCCAGCGCCCGTCAGCGAGGAGCTCATGAAGCTCGGGTTCGCTGTCGTCTGTCGTCGCCGTTGGCCTCGCCCGCCAGGGGCAGCTCAAGGAGGGAGCTGGCGAAGGAGCGCTGCGCCGCGACTGCGAGCAGCGCAGTCCAGCGGGAGATCCATGCTGCCCGGGCCGCGGGTCGCAAGTGCGCCGGGACAGTCGCAGCCCGCTGGCGCGCAAGCAGGCGGAGGAAGGTGGCTGCTTCAGCGCCGAAGCGCCCCCCAACCTCAAGGCCGATCACGACAAGGCGGCAGCGCCGTGCCCGCTGCAGTTCCGGATACGTGCCTTGCCTCTTGCGCCTCGCTGCCGCGGCGACGCAGTGGCCAGGCTCGACGTCAGCCCGTGGGTGGGGTTCCCCTGCACGCGTCAGGGGCGACACGAGGGTGGCATCGAGGGCAAGTTGCGCACCGTGCCACAGGGGGAGCCCGTTGGCGACCACTTCAATCCGCCGGTCATCGGCGACGGGCACATCAATGTTCATGTCCGCGACACGCACATTCCTCGCGACGCGAGCGCCACCCTCACGGCAAACGCGCGCGACCGCTCGCTCCAGCGGCGCGGCGCGCGCGGCGAGGACCCCCGACGTGGCGCAGGCAGCCCGGTGGTCGCCAAGGGGGTCCAGCCTACCCCCACAGCTGCAGGACCGCGGAGCGAGTGGGAGGGCCAGGCGCAGCCGCGGGAGTAGAAGGACACGGAACTGGGCACTGGGTATGCGCACGGCCTCGTGGGTGGGCGAAACGGTGAAGGCGCGAGCAGAGTGAGGCCCTGCTTGCGAGAGCAGCAGCGCGCGGGACGCAGAGGTGCGTCTCACACGTGCGCTCATCGCACGCACGGGCGGCTCGCCGCTGCCAGCCCCGCAAAGCATTGCCAGCATCATCCCCTCCCTCTCGTGCTGGGGGAGCGGCCGCGATGTCAAGGACTGCCGGCCACACAGGCGCATCGAAACCAAGGTCGCAAAGGCACTCCCGCGCGCTGTTAGCAGCAGCGGCAGAGGGCAGGGGGATTCTGCCATCGAGGGCACTGAGCAAGCGTTCAGCAGCCCCGGGTGCCCGAGCCTGGATGACAGGAAAGGTGTCACACCAGGAAGCCCAGTGCGCAGCGGGACGATCTGCACATGCAGAACGCAGGCCGAGTCCACCACACCGCCAGGCAAGCCGCGCCGTCCGAAGACTGTGTTCGGGCAGCTGCTCGGCATCGAGTTGGAGGAGCTCTGCAAGGCAATGTGCAATGGCATCATCGTGGTCACGCGCGAACCCTTCCGTGAGGTGGGGCGGGAGGGCCCGGAGGAGGAAGTTAGCGCGGGGCACCGCGCAGAAATGAAGCAGCAGCCAGGCTGCCTGCAAGCTGTCAAGCCGTGGGATACGGCTGAGCAGCGTGTCATGCTCGGCGCGCTTGAGGCGGAGTCGCTCGCGGATGTAGGCTTCGTGGCCGAGCGGCGCGCCCAGTACCAGGAGCCCCTGCTGCGCGGGCGGGAGGGACCAGTCGCCAACCCAGACGGGCTCCGAGACGTCGCGGGTCAGGTCAGCGATGGAAGGGGGCTCCTCACCTGCCGCGTTCCAGATGCGTGTTTTGCCAGCATGAAGTTGGACGCGGGCGTGCTCCCACAAGGCAGCGCTCCACGCATCCAGTATAGGGGGCGAACACGCTCCGGGCTCGCGACGATGTAAATATCGTCCAGGAAGGCGAAGAGGGCCTCTCCGTCAAGGAGCTGGTCTTGCACCGCCACGAGGGCGGGGTGTTGCGCGAGGGCATAAAGCGCCGGCATAAGCGGGTCTCCCTGTTCGCCGCCTTCGCCCTGATGGACGACATGCCCAACGCCGTCCGCGTCCTGCCAGGCATACGCGCTGGGCTCGGAGTAGAATTGGCGCGCGTAAGGGAGCAGAGGCTGGAGTGCTGGACGCTCGAAAAGGCCACGCAACATGGCCTGGCGGGCGACATGGTCGAATGCGCCGACCGCGTCTACCGACAAGATGGTGGCGCGGGGCGCGGCCTCCGTGGCGGCGCGCAACAGGCGCGTGACAGCTTCCGTGCCAGCGGACGTGCTCAGCCCGAACTGAAAAGGGAGACAAGCGTCCTGCAGTTGTGGGGCAAACTGCTGGGCCAGGACGCGTCCAACAAGGCGGCGCAACACATCTCCGACGACCAAAGCACGCACGCGGCCGTTGGGCTTACGCAAGGCAACGATGCGTCCGACCCGGATGGCAGCAAGGACCGTAGCGGGCACCTCTGCGCGGGCGAGCTGGTCAGCAGCGCCATGCAGCAAACGGCAATCCTCCTCGTCATCCAGCATGACGCGGAGATGCTCGTTGGTAGCCCCGGACGGGCCTGCCGCGGACCCCCGCCGAGCCGACTGCAGGCATGCGACAAGGGCGTGCTGCGGAAACGGACACGGCAGCTCCGGCTGGAAGCGCAGCACCTCGTCACTGTGCGGGCCGTACGGTTCGGCTGGCCGCCGGTGAGGGTCGCGCAACTCAGCGAGCGTTGCCAAGGACCCCTCAGCGAGGGGTTCAGCCGTGAGGGCGCGGCTCGCTGCAGACAACTCACCCAGGTGGACAAGAGCCTCGGCTCGGTGGGCTCGGGCCTCATCATCAGAGGCGACGTTGCGGCGGGGCCCGGGCGCGCTGGCAGTGCAAGCAGCTGCTGCCTCACGGAGCAGGTCGAGCCAGTCACCGGCTTGGAAGGCTCGGTTGCGACGGCCAAGCTCTGCAGGTGGAATGCGCGACACACCGGGTTCCCGGTAAAGCAACATGCGGGGGGCTAGGAGGAAGAGCTTCCAGCCGCGCACTCGCTCGTGATCCGTGCACCCGGCCGTGGCTGAGCGAAGGCCGGCCCGCAGCGCAGAGCGCAAGGTGCCACGCAAGCTTTGGGGGGCCGCTTGCAGTGTCAGCACACGGACACGACAGGTGGTTTCGAGGCAGACTTCGTCCAAAGAGGCAAACCCAGCGCGGAACCCGGCGTCCGCGGCTGCAGCGCGGCGTTCCGGTCGGGTGCCCGCGGGGGGCGGCGGGTGGCCAGTCACGTCGGGAGCGACATCCCCACCAGGAGCACCCTGGCCAGCAGGCAAAAGTGGACGGCGCCCGCGCCCCCGGCCGCCTCGACGACCCCGACCGCACGCGCTCGCTGCGACGCGGCGAGCGGCCGCGGCCAGCGCGGCATCTCCGTCGCCTGCATTGCTCCCGTCCGCCTCTTCATTCTCTGCACGGGCGCCGTCAGCGTCTGGCGCTGCGGCCGCACCTGGCTCCGCTTGATCGACGGGGTGCGGCGAGGAATGAGCTACGGGAGCAGCTGCTGGGCGAAAGCGATCGGAGTGCCGGTCAAGTGCCGACGCCAAATGCATGCCTCCATAGCATTCGAGCAGGGCCTCTTGCACGGGCGCAAGCAAGTACCCATCCGGCTCCCGGAGCTGGCGGACTGCCCATCCGACGTGGACACGCGCACTGCTGGGCAAGCCCACGTCCTGAATGCGTGAGATGAGATCCGGCAAGTGGTGCTCGTGCGCTGGCGCGGCCTCAACGGCACGTGCCAAAGCTGCTAGCAGCGTGTGCGGGCCCACCGGTTCGGACACCATGAGCAGGTGCCGGGCTTCTTCCCACCAGTCGGCAGCGCGCGGGTCGGCTCGCCATTCCGCAAGCGCAGCGACCGCGAGGTCTGCTGCAGCTGCCTGGAGAAGTGGGACATACAACCACGAGTTGGTGCTCTCCCTCCCACCAAAGCCGGCTGCCGCAACCTCCGCACGCCTCTCCGGCATTTGAGGGGACATGGATGTCAACCAGCTGGACATCCCGAGCACACCCAGGGCATATCCAGGCAGGCCGCCAAGCCGCAACGCCGGCGTCGTGCCGTATCGGCTGAGGCGCCCACTGCATGTCGCGGTGCGGCATAGCCACGAAGTCGATCCCCCCCGCACCTCGCGTGGCCGCGACCCGGTTGCAACACAAAACAACGACGCCCGGAGGCGGTGGTGGTTCGGGCGCGTCGTTGGAGGTGAAGGTGCGAAGTGCATAGTCTTGCACGGCCTCCCGCACAGTCTCTTCACCAGAAATCCGGACCGGCATCTGCACACCTTGGCGCGCACACTCGTCGCGCAACGCCGCATCGTGCTGGGCCGTCCATCCACCCGGCTCGCACGCGGGGCAGCGACTGTGGCGGCACAAGGGGCACAATAGGTCGGCCGGGCGCGAGGCTTGCACGCGGAATTGGGCCAAGCACCCGAGGTGCAGTTGGTGACGCGCGCACGTCGGGAATGGCCGCGGCGCGCGATCTCCAGACGTGCTTGGTTGGAGTGCCTCCAAGCACACGCAACACGAGTCGAATTCAACGTCCGGTGCTCGCGGCGTGGCACTGCCGGAGGAAAGAGGCGGCGGCGACCGAGACGCGACGGAGACAACCGGCGACGAGCCATGTCCGCGGAGAGTGCGCCGTCGCGCGGCCTTGCGCCGGCTTCCATCGGAGGCGCATGGCGATCCGGCGTGTGTGACCGAGGCTCGCGCAATGGGGGATCATCTCGCGCACCGGCTGCAGGCGGCGCACTGTGCAAAGCGAGACTGTGGCGTGCACCAAGCGGCATGGTTTGGGCGCCTTCCTCTTCAAGGTCGGCTGGCCTGCCAAACGGGGCTACTGTAGGAGTGCGCGACCGTCCGGGCGTGTCAGACCTGCGCATGCTGGGGCCTGCGGCGGCCTTGGCAGGCGCCGCGGCTCCCTGCAACACGCGGCCGTCAGGGCTTGTTTATCCTGGGTACCCCCGTGCCCCAGTCGTGTGGTCCATGGCGACAAAAACCGCGGAACACGTCTACTCCGACCCTCCAGCTGCGCACGGGAACTGGGCGGCAAGGAGGGCAAAAGCACGCGATCGCGAGAGTGTACGGGAAGGGCCCGCGACGCATGGTACTGCCAGCCATGCGGCCAGTCTCCGGCACCTGGCGCCTCAGGTGGGGCGGAGCGAGCGCCGTCGAGGAGCATGCTCCACGTGGGGCAGTTGCTCCAGCCTTGGTCCTGTAAGGTGCGACGCGCATGGGCTGCCTCTGCGAGATAGTGCGCCTCGTCCCCCTCGGACTCAAGTCGTTGCACGTATCCGTCCGCACCACGGCAGGCGTGCGCGTATGGCGGGCAACGCGTCGGCCCAGGAGGCCCAGTAAGCTGCAGGCGCCGTGGTCTCCGCTGACTGCAATCCAAGGCCGCCCAGCGCGCCTGGCAGGGCCGCAATTTGCCGTGCCTGGGCCGCGTCCGCGTCGCCTGTTCCGCCAAGCATGTTCTGCCGGGCGTACGCCGCAGACGCCGAGGGGGCCATGGTGCGAATGGCATGGCAAGCGCGAGACGAGGCGCACATAAGCAAAAGCAGCCACGCGCACTGAAGGTGCGGAAGTTTGGGCAGTTGGTAGAGAAGCTCGTGTTCGGCGCGCAGCCTTGCTTCAGCCCATGCCTGGACGAAGGCCGGTGCCCCAACGGCGAAGACTCGGAGGGACACTGCCGAGACATCCGACAAGGTGAGGGCTGCGAGCAAGGTGACCCGCTAGCCACCGCCCTCTACGCTCTGGGCCAACACGATGCTCTCTGTGAAGCCGCGGGAAGGCTCCATCCCCGTGACAGCCTTGTCGCGTTTTTGGATGATTTGTACATCGTGACCCCAGGCCACTGCGGCATAGCGCCCAACCTCGGAAAAACTCGAGTGATAGCCGCGTCGCCCGGACCCGCCCCGCCTGGCGTAGCGGAGTTGGGCGACGACGTTTGGCGTGGCGATAAACCCAGGCGTTGTCATCCTCGGTTCTCCCATTGGCCACCCGGAGTTCGTGCGCGCCTGGGCCGATGAGCGTTTGCGTGCGGAAAGGGCGCTGCTGGACCATTTGCCCCAACTGCCAGACTTGCAGTGCGCCTGGTTGTTGCTGTTGTTGTGCGCCTCACCCCCGAGCCAACCATACTTTCCGAACCATGCCGCCATCACAATCTGCAGCTTATGCCCTAGCGCACGACCAGGCAATCTGGGACACCTTGCAGGCGTGCCTTGGGGGAATTGACGATGAGGATGCAGGCCAAGCGCGTACCATAGCCACCCTCCCCGCTGCTCGCTGCAGTCGGCCGAATCCATCGCACCGGCGGCTTACCTGCCGCCGAGTGCCCGAGCGCTGCTATGTTCGCAGGCCGCACGCAGGGCTTGGCCCACGGCCATTCCCAGCGACCCCTCCACTACTCCCCCCCGCAGTCCATGCAGCTGGCGTTGCAACGCCGACTGCGGTTACCCTTGCCACTCAATCCGCACAGATGCGGTCCCAACCCTGGCTGTGGTGGGCTTGTCGACGGGTTGGGCGACCATGCCCTCGCCTGCCCGAGAACAGGTTTGCTTGCACGGCGGGCCAAGGTGGTGGAAAGGGCTTGGCTCCGGGTCGCACGCGAAGCGGTCGGGCCTGAGGGCCAAGTTGTGCCCCAGCAGTGGTTGGGCCACACGACCGCTCCGGGAATGCGGCCCGAAGACCGTCGCCGCCTCGATCTTGTCGTGTACGGAGCCACGCCCGATGGCGGCGCCCTATGTTGCGGCGCGACGTTAGTGTCCCCGCTCACACGCACCGGCCATCCGCAGCCATGTGCCGAGGATGTAGACGGGGCCATGCTGCGGGTCGCTGAGCGCCGCAAGCGCGCCGCCTACCCGATGGAACGAGGGGGTGGCCAACCCAGAGACTCCAAAAGTCTTTAAATCATGGTTAAGGGATTATGCGTTAATTTAATTTAAGCGCTATTTGCTTAATTAAAGGGTTTTATCACACCTGTTAATTAAGGGCTTTTCTTTCCCAACATGTTTCATAAAGACACTGTCTGGCATGCAAGTGAATGATCGAGATCGATGGAGCAGATCCGAGGAGATGTGTGTGTGTGTGTGTGTGTGTACATATCTCTCGAAAAGAACAATGGGTCTACATGCCGTCCTGTTCTGCCTGCACAATTTTAAAGGCTCGAGGTCAGCTGCATCTTGGCAGATTGATTTGTGTTGAGGTTGGTGGATCCCTCCTGAGTGAAAAGACATGGTAGCAAACATCAGCTCGCGGTGGCTTAACATGTTTTCATTTAAGAGGTTCTGTGGCAGATCTGCTTGCTGGAGTGACTCATGCATGAGAGTGTGCAGTGCATGCAGAGTAGGAGGAGATGCTGTGAGGTGCAGTGCAGGTGAGACTTGTTGTTTGAGCTTCGTTGCCTGCCAGCCAGCTTCTCGGCCCAAGCTAAAGCCTTCAGTGCAGCCCCAGACCTCTGTCTGCCACAAGCAGGGATGTCTTGGCATCATCAGTCAGGTTCTGGTTCTGGTGTCGCTTGGCTGCATTAGTTTTGGCTGCATTTTGTGTGCTCAGATTGTTGCCCAGGGTTCTCTGCAGTCCTGTCGCTGAGGGGTGGGGCTCCAGCTGGAAGGATCGTGGCCACGACAAGAAGGGTGAAGGCTCCCAGTGGTGGAAGAAGGACGACGACCCGTGGGACGAGGACCCCAATGACATGTCCGGCATCGATGTGAGAAAGTGCAAGAAATGCAAGCACAACTGGTCCTATGTGCGGGAGGGTGGCTGCCTAAACACAAAGTGCAACATGTCAGCATCCAGATTTCAGGAGGCTCTCCTTCACTCTAGGAGGGTCTCCTTCAAGTTGAGCCTTGCAGTTTTTAGGAGGTTCTCCTGTTTAGGAGGGTCTCCTGTATAGGAGGGTCTCCTCGCTAAGGTGAGCTCTACATCTACTCGGCCAACCGAGAGAACCTCTGGGATCCCTACAGCAAGGGCAGTGGAGGCCGGTGGGACCTGAAGGAGTTTGCCAACTACATTGAGCCCACCTTGGCGAAGAAGAAGAAGAAGAACAGGGGCAAGCAGCGAAAGGTGTGGTGGGCCAAGGTCAAGGGGTGGAAGGATGCCGGTGAGCCGGAGTTTCAGCCACCGAGTGATGAAGAGGAAGAAGATCCAGGCCAAGAGGGCCAAGAGCAAGCCGAAGCGGTGCCTTTCCGGCAGAAAGACTTTCAGAGTTTCCTGTGTTGCTTGTGTTTTCTTTGTTCCCGCGAAGCCAAGGCCCAGCAGCACCCGAAGCCCAAGGCCAGGCCCCTGGTTATCCCGAAGAACCCTCCACCGGCTACTGGGCTGCACTGTGTGGCTACACTGTTGTGTCTGCATAGAGACATGCATGTGCTTTGTGTGCTCTCTCACACGAGGCACCTCCAGAGAAGAGGGGCAGGAGCTGCGAAGCAGCAGAGAAGAGGAGGGACGGGTCGCCAGCCTCCATGCGGAGCTATCAGAGCTGGACCAAAGTGGATGGCGAGCCGGACGAGGATACATGCAGAAGTGTTCGCACAGGAGGCTCTCCTGTCGAGGAGGGCCTCCTTCTTAGTTCGTTCGAAGCTTTTGCCCTTTGCCCTTGTCTGCTCATGAGGAGACCGGTCCCCCCAGTAAGATTGCCAAGACGAAGCCAGCCTCGGAATGCTCCTTGGCCAGCAATAGTTGAGGTCCTGTTGCTTGTGTGCTGCCAAACAAGCAAGCCACTCCCCGGCAGGGCTTGGGGACAGCCAGCCGGTTGCCGTGGATGATGAGGGTCCCGAGGCAATTAGTTTTTGTGAAGGGGATGATTTTGTTTCGGGTTTGTTATCCATGCAGCCTCTTGGTCAGGCCAGTGGTCCACCAGCTCCCGAGGAGGCAGCAGGCCCAGCTGCACTACTTATGCTTTTAAATTCAGTTGCAGGAGGGCTTCTCCTATTGAGGAGGAGCACTCCTTTTTTTTGGTTTTGGCAGGCCGTGGTGACCAAGCCGATGCCCATGATCCCAGGACTACAGTGGAAGCCATGCTCTGCAGTGCATTGCATAAACTTAGGGTTTAGGGTTTAGGGTTGAGGGTTTAGGGGTTAGGGTTTAGGGTTTAGGGTTTAGGGGTTAGGGGTTAGGGTTTCGGGTTTCGGGTTTAGGGTTTAGGGTTTAGGGTTTAGGGTTTAGGGTTTAGGGTTTAGGGTTTGTCCGTGTCTTGTTTTTGGAGGAAGCAGAAGACAGATTGAGCCTCGTCGGTGCACCAGCTGAGAGCTGCTTGTCACGCAAGCCAAGCAAGTACAAAGATTGTGTCAAGACTTCTGCAGCTTGTGTCAGTTCGTGACAGTTCACGTGTGATCCAGGCTTAGCAGCATCATCTTCCGGAGCTTCGCTCAGGCAGCATGCAGATCCGAGGTGGAGCGCGCAAAAAGAATAGTGTGTCTGGAGTTCGTTCGAGTGCCACTGCCGAGGGAACCTGTTCAAAAAACGTTAAAATTTTTAACGTTTTTTTAACAATTTTTAACATGGATTTAGAAGGCAAACTAAAGGAAAAGGCTGTTAAAAATTATGTTAAAAAAAGTTAAAAATTTTAACGTTTTTTGAACGGGTTTCGTCGACAGTGGCACTCTTCAGGCTTTCGAGTATGGGCCTTGTGGTTTAGGGTTTAGTCTTTAGGGTAGACCCTAGGGTCTAGGGTTTAGGGTTTAGGGTTAAGGCTTGAGGCCTCAGGGTTTGGGCCCCTAAACCCGAAACCCTGAGCCCAAACCCTTCAACCCAAACCCTGAACCTTAAACCCCAGACCCTAAACCTTAAACCTTAAAGCTTAAACGCCAGACCCCTAAACCTTAAACCTTAAACCCTAAACCCTAAATCTTAAACCCCTAACCCTAAAAAACCCTAAACCTTAAACCTTAAACCCGACACCCTAAACTCCAAACCCTGAACCCTAAATCCTAAGCCCTAAACTCTGAACCCTAAACCCTGACCCTAAACCCGAATCTAGACCCTAAGCACTAACCCCTAAACCCGAAACCCTGAGCCCAAACCCTTCAACCCAAACCCTGGGCCCTAAAGCCTAAGCATAAAACCCCAAACCCTGAAGGCCTAAACCCTTAACCCCGAACCCTAAACCCTAGCCCCTAAGGCCTAAACCCGGCAACAGGAACCCGAGACTTAGTGCTTAGGGTCTAGGGTTTCGGGTTTAGGGTCAGGGTTTAGGGTTCAGAGTTTAGGGCTTAGGATTTAGGGTTCAGGGTTTGGAGTTTAGGGTGTCGGGTTTAAGGTTTAAGGTTTAGGGTTTAGGGTTAGGGGTTTCAGATTTAGGGTTTAGGGTTTAAGGTTTAAGGTTTAGGGGTCTGGTGTTTAAGCTCTAAGGTTTAAGCTTTAGGGTCTGGGGTTTAAGGTTCAGCACCCTAGGACCCTAAACCCGACACCCTACACAACCCCCCCCCCGGTGTGTTTATGTATACATATATATATATATATCATATGTGTATACTTAAATACATATATATATTGATATTGATGTATATATATATATACATATCTATATATTTGCAGATAGCATATATATATATAAATACATAAATCGATAAATAACCCAAAATCGACATACACAGAACTATACATGTGTATGCATACATATCTCTATATCTGTATATATATATATGTACATATATATGTATATATATATATATATGTACGTGTACAACTGTATAGATATGTACGTGGAAACATGTATACAAACTTTCTCTCTCTGTGTCTGGTGCTCTTTCTCTATCTTTCTTTTTTTTCCTCGGTACGGGATGCAGCATCAGGTGTAGGAGTGGCCTCCTGCGACACAAGGAGGCCACTCCTTCAAAGCCCAGACATACTCTGGCCGACAATGCCCATCAGTGCCCAGAGTGCTCAAAGGTACCGGTTCCCTCGTGCTCCACTTTAGAAGAACTCGCTTGCTTGCAATGGTTAAGACGGCTAAGCCTGCGACCTCCTCGGGCAAGTTTGCTGCAAAAGCAGTGAAGAGGGAGCCCAAGGCCGCTGCCAAGAGGACGGCCAAGGCGCCCACACCCAAGTCGCAAGCAGTGAAGACCGAGCCAACAGAAGCAGTGGGCAAGATCGGCATGGAGAGAGGCCAGCTGTCGGGACTGCTGACCTCGCTGTCCTACCAGTGCAAGGCCAAGAAAGCCACCCCCGAGCACAGAGCAGCAGCAGCGAAGATCCTCAGCGACTACAAGGCAGCAGACGTGAGTGGCAAGAGCAAGATCTTGGAGAAGCTTGTGCAGAGTGGCATGCACTGCTTGGACTGGGCCAACGAGCTGACGAAGAACACGGAGGTTCAACACGAGGAAGCGAATGAGTTTCTGAAAGGCTTCATGACCCGGTGGCTTGGCTGCAGTAATATTTCTTTTTGTTGGGTGTGGGTTGGTGCCTTCACAGATTTGGTCGCAGAGGTCCAAAATCCTGGAGCTCAATGGCCTGAACGAAAGCAACCTTTCAGAGCAGGTGGCAGCCGACACCTTGCAGGACCTCCTGAGAGAGTCCGAGGAAAGGTTCAAGCACACCAGGCAAGAGCAGCCGCACAAGAACAAACTCCTGCATCGCTACTTCTACAAGATGCAGAAGGAGAGCACAGAGAGAGACTCTGCCACCGACACGACTCGGCACAGTCAGACGGGAACCATGGATGGTGAATTGGGCTCGTTGATGGATGCCTTCGGCAGTGGTGCCACTTCCAGCATTGAGGTGGACATGAAGGGTGCCTTCAACAAGAACGTCCTGCTGCTTAAGCAGTACAAGCCGAAGCTCAACAAGCTGCACCAGGAAGGCCTCGATTGCTGCCTCGCCTGCGAACCCACGAAGAACGTGGTCGTACCGGGACGAATCGTTTGGGCACACATTGTCGAAGCATGCTGTTCGCAGGGGCGGGGAGTTCAGCATGCTCGGAGTTTCAAGGGCAATGTTGCAGAAGTTTGCAGCAAGCAATCCAAAACCACCACTTTTGCGAGCCAGCTCAGTCAAAAAAAGGCTTCAGACCGTGCTTTATTAGCCTCTGTCACGAGACATCATCTTGCATGTACCACACCAAAAACCTTTAATTAAGAATGCACCAAAAAAACCTCTAATTAAGGCAAAAGCGCTTCTTCGAACCGCACAACTCTTAATTAAGGCGAAAAACCTTCTAATTAAGGTTTGGTTTTACACTTTAACCTTTAATTAAGCTAATATCCTTTGTTTAAGGGCTGATTTCAGCGGGTTTTTTTTTAATTAAGGGTCTTTCTTAAATTTAAAGACTTTTGGAGTCTCTGGGAACGGCATGTCGCTGTGGAACGGAGCGCAGCTCGCCGTTGACGCCACCATCGTTAGCCCCGTCACCCGCAGGGGGGAAGCGCAACCGGGCGCTGATGTTCGCCCCGGCCAGGCCGTCGACGCCGCAGCACGCCGTAAGCGACAGCACACGTACCCCGAGCTAGCGCGCGCGCCCGGCGCTGCCGCTTGGTGGTCGTCGGGGTCGAATTAGGTGCCGGGCCGACGGTGTCCCCGCCGCACTCAGACCGGCGGCGCAAGCGGCGTGGGTCGCGTGCTGGGCTGGGTTCTTGGCGGTGGCGGCGCAGCGCGCGTATGCCAGCTCCCTTCTTGAGCGGCCGCTAGCCGGGGAGTGCTGCGTGGGCGGAAGGAACGACGCCAGACCTCCACGAAGTCCTGGCCGGCGCACGCTGGCTGGCACCCCAACAACCCAGCCGCCTGCCGCTGCCCCAGCACTAGGCAGCCCCGGGGCGAGCGCCTCTTGTAGGGTCGACCCTCTGACCGGCGTCTGCAGTTGCAAAAAGGCGAAAAAAAAATAAATAAATAAGGGGGCGATCCGCTTCGTGCAAGATCTCGCCAGGCTGCGTGCCCAGCGTACCCCCGCGCCAGTCCGGACAGCTGCCGCGGTGGGTTGGTCGAGACGCTGGTGGGGCGTGCTCTCGGTGGCTGTCCAACAGGCGGTGGCCGGCGAAACCACAGGCGGGACCGGGCGACGGGCCGTCACTGAATCATGTCCTGGGGTTGGCGGATGCTGAGCAGCCAAGTCGCACGCCATTGCGGCCCTGAGTCGGGACCGCCGGGGTTGGGGACTTGTCAGGATGGTGCTGATGGAAAAAGGCATGAAAAAAAGGTCAATGTCGAGCCGATTTGACGTTCCCCTTTCCAAATTGCATTCGGAATTGATTGCTGAACGGACGGCCCGTGTTCAGCTTGAAGAAAAAGTGGCTCGGTTGGAAAACGCCGGTTGTGGATGCCCTGTCCGCGCGAGTGGGGAGACGAGGGTGGCATCGCAGCATAACGCGCCCCCCCGCGGCGTGGCGCCGTTGACAACAAAGTCGAGCCATCTGCGGTCATCGGCCGGCCCTCCCGGGGCAGTAGTGTGCACCAGCCACTGTTGGGGGATGACGTGCCCCTCGGATCCAACCGCCTCGCGGGCTACGCGTGTCCAGGCTCGCTGGACAGTCTTCTCGCGCCGCGCCAACAATCCCGTGCGGGGCAGGCCAGGGCGTGGTCCCCATACTGCTCGACCTGTTGGCCGCAACCAGGGTGTGGGCCGCAGCGGTTGGGGCTAAGCGGGGGCAAACGCAAGCGACGTCGCGTTGCGGGGCGAAAGTAAAGTAACACTGCCGAGAGCCAGGCACCTGCGTCGGCCCGTGCACCTAGCGTTTCGGGCATGCGCGCAGAACACCTGAAACTTGTACGGCGGTGGTGGGGCATGCTCTCTGTCGCCGTCCAGCGCGCCGTCGGCGGCACGGCTCTGGGCTCTACGTGGCTACTGCCCCACACGGCCGTGGGCCATGAGCCGGAGCTCGACCGGGTGCTGGAGATGGCCGACCCGGAAGGCCCCAGCAGGCTGCCGCTGCGCTAGGGCGTCGGCAGGCGCCATGGGATCCGCAAGGTTCGCGCGTCAACAAAAAAAACGTGTACTTCAGGATGGCGAGGCCATCGAATTGTTGGCCGAAGCCTCCACGCTCCTCGCGCAGGCTCGCGTGCCGGCGGACGTGTCTAAGGCACCCGCTATGGCTCGCTCACCGCCTTGCGCAAAGCAGACGGGGGCGTGCGCGGCATCGCCACAAGTGCTATGTTTCGTCGCTTGGTTTCCAAAGCACTCGCCAGGGAGTGGGCGCCAAATTCGACCAAGCCACGAGGCCCTTCCAGTTTGCTTTTCAGGTTCGAGCTGGCACAGACGCGCTCGCTGCCCACGTGCGTGCCGCCCTGGCGACACGCCAAGGAGCCGTACTGGTGGTCTCGCTGGATGGCCGGAGTGCATACGACAGCATGTCGCGGGTGGCCTTCCTCAGCAAACTCAGCGAGGTGGCGCCGGGAGCCCTTCCACGTACTGCTGGTGGGACTGCGCGGGCCGCTGTCGGGACATCCCCCAGGGCGAAGGCTGCGAGCAAGGGGACCCTCTCGCTCCCGCGCTTTTCGGTCTGGGACAGCACGACGCCCTACAACAGGCGGCGGAAGCGCTCCCTCCCGGCGACAGCCTGGTTGCTTTCCTGGATGACCTCTACGTGGTCACGATGCCGTCCAGTGCTACTCGTAGAGCCGTTCGCGACGTCACGGTGCGCACACTAGAAAACCGGTGTGGCACCGCGTCCAACCTGGGCAAGACCCGTGTCATCGCTGCAGAGGCAGGCCTCGCTCCGCCTGGCATCGCGGAACTAGGCGATGATGTGTGGCGAGGCGACAAGCCCGAAGCCCAACGAGGCGTACAGGAAAGCCGCGCGAGACATACCATCATACGCACTGCGTCCAAGGAAATGTCGAAAGACATCCCCCGTTGCCATCCCACGGACGCCCCCATCCGTTTTGCGAAGCGCCGTCAAGCGCGCCAAGGCGAGGGCCGCAGAGATGTTTGACTGGACTGCTCCCTGCGCCAGGCGCGTGGCCGCTTCCGCCAGCAACTCCATCGCTTCTTGGTCCTGGAATAAAAGCTGCTGAAGCGATTGCCCGAACGGTGAGCCGGACCGGCCGGTCGGGCTGGTGTTGGAGGACTTCCTCCGGCATAGCACTGCGCGGCTCCGCTGGGCGACGGGCTTTCCAACTCGTGCACCTCCTCTCGCATCATGGTTCGAAGTGTTTGCATGGTTGCGGCACTCATCTCCACCTGGAAACTCGCCGTGTGGATCGGACTTGTGGTTGCATCATCATTGCCAAGGTTCAATTGCGACCGCCTCTGGACCGATTTTTAGCTTCCCGATCAGGTGTACCCTTTGGAGCTGCTCTCTTGGCAGCTGCCGGCTTTCGGCATCTTTGAGGAGGGCTCCAGCGGCCTCCGACCTCGAGAGCAAGCATTGTCAGGCGGGAGCGGGCTGATCGGCAGAGCTCGCTCCTTGGCCTGGCGAGCCAAGCGTAACGCGGCAGCGGTGCCGCCGCGCGCGGGCGCGACAGGAGCACCGGTGGCCGTCAGTGGGGGGACGCTGGAGCCAACTGAACACCCCCCCAGAGCGGAAGTCCGTTGGCGATGACCTTGATGCGACGTTCATCTTGGCGCTCGGCGACAACATTGAGGTCGCGCACACGTACACTTGTTGTGACCGTGGCCCCAGTTTCGCGACAAACCCGAGCGGCTGCACGCGCGAGTTGGCCGAGGACGCTAGAACGGGGGCACGCCGAAATGTGGTCGCCCAGGGCATCATGAGCAAGCCGACCACGGCACTGTGCGCCTGTGAGAAACATTCAGAAAAAGGAGGAATCGAGCGTTAACTCCGGGAAGTGGGGGCGCGCCGTGAGTACGCTGGCAGCAAATGATGGAGGAAGGGTTGAGCTCAGCAGGAGCGCTAGGCGCTGTCCTCCGCGAGTGAGGTCGAGCTCTGCGGTGCCAAGCCGGTGGCTCGAAACCAACTGCGGCGAAGGAGGCACGAGCGTCGCGGAGCGGCTCAAGGGAAGCAGGCGCTGACATGCGCTGACCCGCCAGATTGCAGAGCCGCAACAAGAACGGTAGCGAAATCGCGGTCCCGGTAAAGGATGGGACGAATCGCATCAGCCCATGATGCCCGGTAGGCGGCGGGCGCTTAAGCGCACACTGCGCTCGCAAAGAGAGCAGGAGCCATGCGACCTGGGTGTCCTGGAGGCCCGAGAGTGCACACAGGTGAGTCGCAACAAACTCAGGAGCACCGATGGGTGCACCAAGCGCCACGATTCCTCGCAGAGCTAGTGCAGGGTTGCCTACCCAAACTTCACAGCCCAGGACAAGCTCAATCACATCGGCAAGGGCTTCAAGGGTTGGATGCGAAGCGGGCCTGAAGAAACTGTGTCGCTCGAGCCGCCATTCCCCGCCTCACGACCGGGGTGGGACCTCGGCGCCGTCGCCTGGCGTGTGCGGGAGACGCCGCGTGCGCGGGTGGTGTTGCGCAAACACGCCAGACATCGGCAAGCCTCCGTTGCCACCGCAGGCCCCCCGTATGCTTCGAGATCTTCGAGCAAGGCCGCCTGCAGGGCCACAGTGCGCGCATGGCCGCGGGCGTCACAGGCGCAAGCGAAAGCTTTCGGGAGAGACACGAACGCTGAGCGCGCGAGGCGCACACATGCAGCAAAGGTATGTAAAGGCATGAATTGCGCTGCCAAGGAGCTCGGCATCTGTGGCGAGGCGGCCGCTCTGGCGAAGGTGGCGGTGTGCCGAGGGTCACGGGGGAGGGTCACGGAGGCATCTCCCTGGGGGGAGCGAAAGGAGTGGTGGCGCTGAGATGCTCACGTTCCCGGAGTTACATCGCTGGCTGTGGCTGGTGGGCGGGTGAGTGGCCTCGCCAATGCGGCGGTCTCGGTATGGGTGCGGCGTCCAAGTGCTGACGTCGCGCCGTGGTGCAGCATGAACAGCGTAGACTCCTCGAGAAGGGTCGTGTTCCAAGTGCCCACCGGTTCCCGGCCACACTCTGTCACACTCTATATTGCGTCGCTGGCGAGCAGGGAAAGCTGAAGCGGCCGAGCTTTTTCGATGCTGCCCAACAGGGGGGCCTAGAAGGGAGAAGGCGCCAGAGGAGTTTACCCGCACCCAGCGGGGAAGAGCCGCGCATGTCAACACAGCGGTCCGCGCCGCCACAAGCGACGACCTCGCATTTGGTCGGATTGAGTTCCAGTCCGATTTGCCAGGCGACTGCCTCAAACGAGCAAGGCTTTTAAAATTTGTATGTTTGTTTGTCACTCGCTCCCTTTTTAAGAGCATCCGAGCGCGGTCGCAAAGCAGACCACCAAGCCCTACCGGGCCCCACCGAACCAACAGCTGGCCTGACCCGCCAGGCAGGTGAGAAGCGAGCGGCGGCGACGTCCTCGCCGCTCAGGCAAGGCGCCTCTCCAGGCATTGGAGATGGGGAGAGCAGGGCAGCGAACGAGCGGGCAGCGGCGACAGACAAGAAGCGTCCGACAAATGCGACAGCGACCCGCCGGCAGTCTTCAGCAAGGCACACATCGTCGAAAAAAGCTGGGGCGAGCATGGCCTTGGCAGCTTGCAACGCCGGCTGGAGAACCAAAGCAAAAGGAGAGGGACAAGTGGGTCTCCCTGTTGGACACCGGCTTCCGAGTGCAGGCGAACAGAAGGCGGGGCGCCGAAGGCGACCCGGACCTGGGTATCAAGGACATCGGTGCCCGCCCGGGCTTGTAGCGCGTATTGGTAGGGAAGACTGGCACGGTCGAATACGGAGGCCCACATCTTTGCGAACGTGCGCAACAAAAACGAGGCTCGAAACGCATCTTGCTGATCTTTCACCCGCGTCCCGGCGCTGCTGCTGTCACAAGCTGGACCACACGCAGCCAAGAGTCTTCACGGTGCTGCGCACGTCGGACATAGTTGCTGTCCCGCAGCACCGCATAGCACCGCTTGTTGTCCGATGGCGCAGTGCGCCGGGGCGAGAGGGTCGCCTTGTTCATCCCTCCCCTAGGACCATCCCTCTGCACGAGCCCGCCGTGGCCCATCGTGTAAACGGGTGCCCAGAAGAAACCAGACGAAAGGGAGCAAGTTCGTGGCAACCTCCTGCAGAGCCGTCAGGAACGACTCTCCGGTCTGGCCGTCCAATAGACAACTACAGCATCCGGCAATCGAACCGGAATGGCATCGTTGCCTGTGCGCGCCTTCAGAGCGTACTGGAAGGGGCAAGTGGCCGGCATCGATTGATGCGGGGAGCACTGTTTGCGAGAGCATGCGCAACAAACCGTAGTGTCGTTACCCTGCGCGAGGGCGACTGAAACAGAACATGGCGAGCGACCTCCCGTGTCGTACCTTGGCACAGGCGAGGCATCCAGCAGCAGCAGCAGCAGCAGCAGCAGCAGGACAGCAGCAGCAGCAGCAGCAGCAGCAGCAGCAGCAGCAGCAGCAGCAGCAGCAGCAGCAGCATCGAGGTGGTTAATCATGCAACTGCATGAATCGCGCCGTATCTGACACCACGTCTCGACGCTGACCACGTTGCGCTTTTGGCGGTAAGCGGAGAGGCACCTCACCTGCGCCAAATACATGATTCGCAGACAAACTGCTGACAATGTTGCAAATGCACCCGTATGCGATATCGTAAGAGCTCATAGTTTGCACAATTTGCCTTGCGTTGGTTTGCAGTCTGTGCGAGTGCTTCGGAAACCAGCATTACGCAAGATCATCGTCGCCGAATCATCGCTTCATTAATCGGATCTACCGTATTTGGAAGCGTGGGGGCATCATTGCGCAATATGGTGCAAGCACGAACCGAAAAACGTACTTGCAGGAGACTGGGTCGGCTTTTTGCATCACCCTAACGATTTTCAAGCAATTTCAACCATCGCTGAGTGGCATCGCTTCGCTGAGTGGCGTCGCTTCGCTGAGTGGCGTCGCTTCACTGAAATCGTGAGAAAATGTGAGCAAGTGAAGTCCTCGTTCCTGTGTTTCTTGTGGAGGCATCGCAAGTCGCGCCCGAGCTGCTTGGTCAGTCAGTCTGGAGCTAGGTGATGAGATGGAATCCACGCTCTTTAGAAAGCGACGCAGAAGACTGAGCTCGGCTTGTGTAAGCTTGCCTTGCATCTGGAACACGCAACCCCAATGGCAGCACCCATGAGAACCAGACTTACATCAATGCATCCACGATTTGTGGCTGTGCCGATGCTTTGCACATGTTCATACTCACAACTGAGAGTTTCTCCGCATGGCCAGCTTCGAAGGTAAAGTGCAACTGTCCGATCGGCGCCGATCGCAGAACCTGCGGGCCCAGCTCATGAGGAGCATTCTGTTAACCCTCACTCCGGTGGGCCCGCAACAGAAGCTTTGCAAGGCTTTGTAGCATGCTCGACATGGCAAAGCTCTTGGTGCATCGCCGACATGTCCGGTTGGGTTCCTTTCAGGAATTCCCAACACTCTACTCAAGATTTCCTGTCACCCTCTTAGGAAGCACCAAATCGGTGCCGCCAAAGGCAAGGATACCAGACAACGAAAGATGGGTGGCTCGCTGCGCGCGTCCGTGGTTGAGAGATTCGCAACCCTACAGAAGTCCTACAGCTTGCATGACACCTCACTCGACACCCCAATACCTTCGATATGGAGAAATTGCCAGTTTCTTGGGGTGAAAAGGCAAAGGCAACATGGAATGGCGCAGCTCTCGGAGGCCTTGAGCAATTGGGACTGCATGTTATACGGTGTGACCGCTCGAAGCCGCGAAAAGACTCTATAGTCTAACAGGTAAGCTTCTCATCAAGTTTCCCCATCTTCTTAATGGCGCGAAGGGTTAGATGCGTGAGAGGCAGAAAGATGCTGGAACTACAATACTTGGAAATAGGTTGTGCTTGAGAATCTCTCACTTGACAACTCTCTAAGTTGTTAAGCCCTGAGCCCTGAACAACTCTTAAGCCGATGACTTAGAGATTGTGTTGGACCCCTTGAAGTGGAGCCTGTTCCCACATGAGAATCATGCTTCGAGTCCTTTCATAGAACCGGTTAGCTGGAAAAGGTCATGCTGGTTAAGAGGGCTTTCGCACACACGTGCCTTGAACAGAAAACGCTGCAACCATGTACGGCATGTTCCCAAACAGTGAGCCAACCCAAGAGGTTGTTCTTGCACGTCACCGTTCACCTCAACTCAGCTGCACTCGCTCATCGCTGCCTTTCAGACACAAGAGAGGCTATGAGAGGTGGCGCAGTCGCTATGGTGGGCTGTAGCGTGAGTCGTGTCTTCGTGTCAGGATTCACTTGGCTTGTACGTGGCCAGTAGCGGAGGGTCGAACGGGATCGTACGACAGCGGATTGTAGCGCAAGCCCGCGGCCTGCTCAGAATCTGCCGAATCTCTTCCTCGCTCTGCACGGGTGCGATGGGGCAGGAAAAGTTGATGTTCCAGTCAAGGTCGCCTCTTCAGGTGGGGCAGCTACTCAGTTTTCTGGCAATTGCAACAAAACCAGGGGCCAGATGCTGTCTTTGCCCTGAAACATGGAACAGCACGACCGGCAGAGCACACGTTCTGAAACATGCTACTGTCTACATGCGCTGTGGGCTATTGTAGTCTCCAGGGTCAGAATTGCAAATGTGGTGCTCGTTGCTAAAGGCGTAGGTCTTCAGAGGGGTTCCGATAAGTCATTTTCTCCATGCGGCCTGACGCTGCATGCTGGCCCGCATCCTTTGTGCAAAGCCAGCAGAAAGAGTGTCCGCACCTGGCACAGGCGTTCAGGCACGTTGAATGAGGGCTCTGAAGCTGAAAGGTTGAAAGTTTAGGCGCGTTGTTGGATTGTCCTCCTAGTACTTCATACTTTAATACTGCGTGGAATTGCGTGTAGCGGCATTGTCGCAATTGTCAAACGCGAAATATGCAGGAAGAGGTCATGGCAAACCTCATGCTTTCAAAGCCCTCAGAGCTCCGATCCCTTCTGGCTCAAGATCTCCAGGCGCAATCCATGAATGTTCATCCCTTTGATACACCAAACCATCCTGAAACCTTTGCAAACCTTGACTGCGCCAACTAACTTTGAAGCAATCTTCAATGCGCCAACTAGACTTGCCAGCGCCTGCAGGTCATGTGTTTGCATTGGCTCTCATACTCGATGACGCTGGCGCAGCGTGGGCACACTCTAAAGGCGGGAGCTCCCGCCACCTCGCTGCGGTCGCTACAACGTACTTGGACTAGGGATGACAGGGATGATTCCAGGCTGAGCATGTCCGGAATAGCTGATGAACATTGCCTGGAAGGCAAATGGTGGCTTATGCACTATATCCGCCGACCCCAGCAACAGCGGGGCGGCGTCAGTGAAGACCCTCCCTGCCCTCACCGCAACCTCTTCCCCCTTCCCCTTCCCAACCATTCCACTCCACCTCTCCACTTGCCCAACCATTCCACTCCACCTCTCCACTTGGCCTTGCCTTCTGCCCCTAACCTCCCACCACTTCCCCTGCCCCCCCTCCCCTTCCCAACAATTCCACTCCATCCCCCTCCCCCACCCCTTCCCCATCCCTGCCCCCCCTCTCACCCCCACTCCACCCACCACCAACCCCTTCCCGCCCCTCCTCCCACGACTCTTCAGCCACTTTCCACCAACCCCACCCACTCCCACCACCAACCCCCCCTCCCTGCCCTCACCGCAACCTCTTCCCCCTTCCCCTTCCCAACCATTCCACTCCACCTCTCCACTTGGCCCCACCCTGCCCCCCAATCCACCCACCACCAACCCCTTGCCCGCCCCTAACCCTTCCACCACCAACCCCTTCCCTGCCCCTCCTCCCACTACCCTTCCCCCTCCCAACCATTCCGCTCCACCCTCTCCCTGTACAGCAACTTACCTCATCTCCTCCACCAACCCCTTCCCCTGCCCCCCGCTCCCCACCCCCTTCCCAACCATTCCACTCCATCCCCCTCCCCTACCGCTGCCCTCACCGCAACCTCTTCCCCCCCTTCCCGGCCGTTCCACTCCACCTGTTTGACTTGGCCTTGCCTTCTGCCCCTAACCTCCCACCACCAACCCCTTCCCCTGCCCCCCCAACCATTCACTCCATCCCCCTTCCCAACAATTCCACTCCATCCCCCTCCCCCACGCATCCCTCCGCCCCTCCTCCCACCCTGCCCCAGCCACTTACCTCATCTCCTCCACCAACCCCCCTCCCCCCCACTCCCACCACCAACCCCTTCCCACCACCCTTCCCCTTCCCAACCCTTCCACTCCATCCTCCTCCCTACCCCTTCCCAACCATTCCACAACCCTCCCACCACCAACCCTCCATCCTCCCCCTGCCCCTCCCACTCCCCTTCCCCTTCCCAACCATTCCACTCCATTCCTCCTCCCCTCTCTGGACTCGATCAGATGACTGACTTTAAAGAGGCGCACCCCCCAACCCCGCCCTCCCCCCCCACAGGGCTCCAGCGCATGCCCGCCCGCTCCCCCCGCCCCTTTCCCCATCCCTGCCCCATCTCACCGTCCCCACCAACCCCTGCCCCGCCCCAACCCTCCCACCACCAACCCTCCATCCTCCTCCCCCTACCCAATCCACCCTTTTCCAGCCACCCTTCCCTGCCGATCAGATGACTCACTCCCACCACCAACCCCTTCCTGCCCCTCCACCCTTCCCCTTCCCAACCATTACACTGTATCCTCCTCCTCTGGATGACTGAATGTAAAGGGCTCCAGCGCATGCCCGCCCGCCCCGCTTGCTCCGCCCGCCCCCCCCCCCCCCCCACCCCTTCCCCTTCCCAACCTCCTTTCTTGAGACTCGATCAGATGACGGACTGCAAAGGGCTGCCCGCCCGCTCCGCTTGCTCCCCATCCTCTCACCGTACCCCCACTCCACCCACCACCAACCCCTTCCCCGCCCCTAAGCCCCGTCCATCCTCCTCCCCAACCCCTTCCCACCCTTCTCCAGCCCCGCACCCCCTCTCCCACGCCATACCCCCCAACCCCCCCCCCCCCCCCCCCCCCCCCCCCCCCCCCCCACTCCCACCACCAATCCCCTTCCCTGCCCCTCCCACAACCCTTCCCCTTCCCAACCATTCCCCTTCCCAACCATTCCAGTCCATCCTCCTCCCCTCTCTAGACTCGTTCAGATGACTGACTTTAGAGGGCTCCAGCTCCGCTTGCTCCGCCCTTGACCTCATCTCACCTACCCCCTCCCACCACCAACCCCTTCCCTGCACTCCCCCCCACCCCCCCGCCCCCCCACCCCCCCTGCCCCTCCCACTGCCCTTCCCCTTCCCAACCATTCAGGGCTCCAGCGCATGCCCGCCCGCTCCGCTTGCTCCGCCCGCGTTTGCTCCGCCCTTCCCCCCCACCCCCCCACCCCACCCCCCCCACCCCCCACCCCACCCCCCCCCCCCAACCTCCCCCCACTGGCTCATGGCCACCTGGTTTACCCCCAATCCACCCACCACCAACCCCTTCCCCGTACCTTTCCTTCCCAACCATTCCACTCCATCCTCCTCCCCTACCCCTTCCCCCATCCCCCCAGTTTCGGGTTTAGGGTTTAGGGCTCAACATGCAAGGGTTGCTACTCCCACCTAGTTTGTCCACGGCCTTACATATACCGTTTCAGAACTTAGAACCAAGGTTTACGGTTTCGGGGCTTAGAGCAGAGGCATTATCTCCCACAGTTGAGCAGGAGAAGGGGGGGGGGGGTAACCGAAGGGATAGGGTTTGGGCAGCTTGGGCGTTTGCCTCCAAGGGGTCGGCGGCACTGGCGGTAGCCATGAAATCGGGCAGCGCGAGGTCCCCAAAGGACCGAGCAAATGCGGACCTTTTAGCCCGGGTCGTCCCGGGAATAGCCTTGCTGGCCTCTGGCCTTCTGCGAAGCAGAATTAGGCCGGACGCCAGTGCCGCCGACCCCCGCGTGCCGCCGGTGAACGGTTCTTTTTTTCGTGGTTTTTTGCGTCGCCACGGAGGCCCCCAGAGGTCGCGCATCATGAGCATCAGCGGGTCCAGCCCGGCACCCCCAGGCGCGCATCAGGAGCATCAGGCGGCTCCCGGGGCGGGACCCCGGGGGCGCATCAGGAGCATGACGCCCCCCAAAGGGCGGGCATAAGCGACGTGTCTAAGGTCGGTGCTAGGAAAAAGGGAGTTTAGGACCCTTATAAAGTGGTTAGAAACTTTAAGGGAGTCTAGGAGCCTCAAACGCTTAGAGATTCGAAGGGAGTTTAGGGGCCTGAAAATGCTTAGAAACTTTAAGGGAGTTCAGGAGCCTCAAACGCTTAGAGATTTTAGGGGAGTTTAGGGGCCTCAAAATGCTTAGAAACTGCTCGCCCCGCGCTTCTGCCTGCGCTGCCCGCCCATGGGCGCAGCCCCTTAAAATATAGACCTCCCTACAAGCAACCCGGAACGCCAGTATGCCTCTCACAGGCTCCAGCGAGCTTTGCGGCTGTTTCGTGAGGCACTAGGAGCGACAGGCCAAAAGGGACATTTCATGTACGGAGTCCGCAGGGCGTTGTTCTTGTGTCCAAAGTTTACTTGATTGCACGCGCCGCAGCTTCGCTCAAATGTCACCCATAAATCGTGTCTCAAACTCTTTCTAAATTCGAAGATGCTCATCTAATACTGTCCTTTTCTTCTAAGATAATTCCTTTGCTTAGAATCCATGCTAGCAGCGCAGATGAGAGTTCATTCCGTTGTTAAACATTCCAGAGTCTTGCGATCCTTATGGTGATGGCTCCAAAGCTGCTCGGTCCCAAAATGGCAAAAGGCAACATCGTGTTCAGGAAGGCTTCTCAATTAGAAAAAAGAAAACGTGCGGGGGCAAGCCCGAAATCTGGTATTTTTTAGTTTTGTTATTTTTTCTAGTTTTTTCTAGTTTTTTGAGTTTTTTGCAGTTTTGTCTAGGTTTGGTTAGCGTTTCTTAGTTTCCGCTAATTGTTCTTTTTTTGTGAGTTTTCCATACTTTTGATCTAGTTTCCAGGCTTTGTTTCGTTTCTTTTGGTTCTGGCAGCTTCCTTATTGGGGTCGTGAGATCTTCTGCAGACCACTGGATAACCAACAAAAAACCACAGCAACCGAGGTCGGCTCAATGGTAACTCCATTATAGACAGGCACCTCCTCAACCCTACATACGTGGTTCTTTTCTGTAAACTCTTTGGTGAGTCATGGATTTGTTTGGCTTTACTGAGGTTTTCTCAGCTTTTCTTGGCTTTCCTTAGCCTCCTCAATTTCGATCGCATATGCTGGGAGATTCCTTGTCGTTTCCTTCACTGCTGAAAAAGCCCCCTACATAACGGTATCAGATGTGCACCTATGATAAACCCTTTGAGATTCTACTGTGTTCTTGCCGGGAGTTCGGGTTGCAGTCTTGAATTAAGTGCACATTCTCTGCCTTTGTTTAGAACCTGCCCGTTTGAGCTTACCTTCTAATTCTTAGGTGCATGCTTCATGTCTTCACGCCACAGTGATGGACACTGTTCAAGACAATGAAGAAACGAAAGAAGGAAATCAATTATGACATTTTCCGAATGTCCAAGCATTGTGTTGTCAACCGTTGGCTCAAAATCCTGAACGCAGGAAACTTTGCCAATGTCTTCGAAGCTGACACTTTGACCAACAAGTCGGTTCTTCACGCCCCAGCCCCACACTCCAAGCCTCAAGCCTGAGAAGTTCCTGACCTGAACCGCAGGGAACCCTATAGACATGCCTGGCAGTAGGCGATCGGGTGTGGAGTGCGCTGATCCGTGTTGATGAGCTCCCTGTCTTCGGCCCCGGCTTCGAACGAAACATTAGATTCTGGCCTTGTGTCGATTTTGCAGGACTGAGGATTCCTAAGGGATCAGAACCAGGGGCATCTAAAGCTTGCTGCTTCCACATTAGTCGAACTTCTTTCAGACAGTTGGGTGGGGATTTGATTCGGGCTACAAGTTGCAAGGGCTGGATGTATCCTTTCTTTGCGTGCATGCGCCTCCAGCGTCAGAATGTGTTAAACCCCCTACCCGAGTGCTTTTCAACCTGGCGAGGATCCCGAAGCAAGCCAATGCGTGCTCCAAGCCGTGCTCATTCCAAGCTGCTACAGGCGATTCCCATTGGTTGTTGGGATGTGGGGATATGGGTGTCTCCTGACTAGCGCTTGGACTCGGACTCAGTGTGAACGACCACATGCCCATGGTCAATGACAATGCTCTTCATGCAAGCTGCCGGATGTGTCGAACACGTGTCTCGATGTCTCCCATTTCCACGAGCCGGTTCCCGATGGAGGAAAGGAACTGTTCGTAGCCTCGCTGGGTTCGGGAAAATGAAGAAGGGTTCGGGATGGTTTGTAATCTTGATAGGATTTGCGAATCTCGTTGTCGCTAGCAGCGGCATGCCGCCCTGAAGACCGTCACTCGAAGAGCTGCAAAACCCACAGCCCCAGATCCTCCGGAATGGCCATGTCTTGACACCATGGGAAATTCAAGCCTAAGTCGGCCTAAGTGAACACCAGGGAGCTCATGTCCGTATGCCAGTGCTGCTTTTGAGTTTGCCAGCACGCTTCCGTGCCCCGATTGATCAAAGCACGAAGGTGGGCCTGGGCTCCAGGACTTGAAAGGACTCCAGATCCTTACAGAAGACCAAGCAACACCCTGTTGTCTATTGCTCGCAGTTGTGCCCCGAGGGCTCGATGCAAGGTTTTCGGACTTTAGATTCGCCCATCCCTCATCCCTCAATACCCCGTCGAATTAGACAGCCCCAATCCCGTCAAAGCCCCAACCCGGGAGCTGCAATCGCGGGTCCACTGAGCACTCGCTCTGGCACTGCGGGCAGCGAAGAGGAAGGTTGTACGCCTGGCGCTGCACTCACTAATAGTGCTTTGTCTGACCAGCACGAAACCAGCGGAACGTGAAGACCAAACTCCGTCGAAGAGTCCACAAGTGTCCAAAACCCAAAGTAGGCTAAGTAGGCAAGATGCATTGAACTCAGCCCACATCCAGGTATTCCGACACTCACCGCACAAGCCATGTGGTTCGCCCACACACCCTGCACCTCGGCTACTAGTAACAGTGCGACATAGTACAACTTAAGCTGCTAGTTTTTGGAGAAAAGTGGCCCCTCTCTATTGTTATCACTACATATTGCCACCTAGCTTCCCACCGTCCAGGCCGGCGGTATGCCGCTGCCACAGACCAAGCACAACATGCCCACCAACGCATCGGCATCTCCATCACCAGGATCTGGCAAGCGTGAGACCTGTCTTCGATCGCTGCGCACATCTCTTGCAGTTGTGCTGACAATTGTTGGGGAGCATGCTCTTGGCATGCTTCTAAATTCCAGAAGCACAATGAAGAGAGTTTTGCTTCAGAAAGCTTGAGGAGGAGTCTTTGGGGCCTCGAATGTCAAGCCCGACCGCGAAACCTTAAACCCACCTGCCAGCGAGGCAGCTCCAGAGTGTTCCCATCCATTTGAAGGTGGACGGAGTGCTTGGAAAGTGACCTGACTGACCAGAAGCGGCAGCCGCGCGGTGGCGAAGGGGTACCCCATTCACATCGGGGAATTTGAGGGGCGGATGCTCGGGCAGAGTCCACACCTGAGGATGTCATCACTGGGGTTGTTTTGTTATTGTTACATAGGGTTGACCTGACAGCTAGAATCAAAGGACATCCTGGACACGCATCCAGGGATCCTTCAGACAAGGCACGTCCTGGAAAGGATACAGGTTCGCAACATCCAGTAAAATCCCACGGCTAGACCATAAGGATCGCCATGCGTGCTTGACAAGCCCTTTGGGAATGCAGGTCCCTCTGCAGCTCCTTGGAACCCAAAAGGATCAAGTCCGAAAGCCTCTGGAGTAGAGAGTGAGTCAGTGGAGTGCTGGGAAAGCGGCTGCACAATGGCTGTGCCCCGCGAGAGGATCTTCACACGGGAGCCGACCCTCATCCTGCCAGCGCTGGGGCTGTCCTCGGGTCTGTGAAGCCGATGCCCCATAGCCCCGTAGCCCCATAGCCCCATAGCCCATCCAACAGAAGATTCGAAAATTGGAGCTGAACACTTGACACAACTTAGCAGACTTCACACATTTCATCACCCAGTCTGCTGAACCCAATCTGCCGCAACGGGGAATGCTTGGTACCAGTACATGAAAGCGCCGTGATCTCAGCATGGCATCCAAGCCGCCGGGTTGTTCAAGAAACTGTGACCAGGGTGTTCTCGAGGACGTTTAGGAAAGTTTCGCCCTCCGCCGTCCTCAACTCCTCACCTTAAGCTTCTCTGAAACCAAGTTCACAAGAGCTGAAACTGCAAGAGTCGCCAAGACTTTAAGAGGCCCACTGACACCAAGGTCCAGGAGCCGGGCGATGAGGCGAGCCGCACAGCCATGGAAAGCAGCCTGAAAAGAAAGCGCCGAGTCGTGTTTCGGTTACAAAGATCCGTAGGCAGGCTTAGTCCCTTCAAACGATTACAACAGCAGCTAAATAAACTACTACCCGGACCCCCCACCCCCCCCAAGAAATTCTGGCTCTGGATCCGGATTTCTATATTACCGGGCGAGGGGCGGGGGGAGGGGGGGGGGCTTTCAATAAGGGGTGGCAGGAAGAGATGATCGGATTTCGTGTCTGAGCCTGGTGGAGCACCGACCATCCACGGTGGCTTTGTGCATTCCGTAGCCAGGGATGTTGTTGCAGTGTTCTGAAGCAAGTCACAAAGTCCCCATTTTTCGCGGCACTGAGAAAAATTGCCTTTTGACGCTCACAATCCTCCATCTCCCCAAAAACCTGACGAAAAGCATCTGCAGTGTTGCCACGTCCTTCTTTCACAGCCATGTCTACCGGCGTCTCCCCATCGAAGTTGCGCAAGGTGGGGTCGCTGCCCAGCTGCATGAACTGCTCCACAATATCTTGGCCAACACCCCAATAGGCAATCTGATGCAGCATGCAATTGCCCTGCAAGTTGTGTTTCCGATTGTTGATGGTTCCGGGATGTTGCTGGCAAAATGTAATGCTGCCAGGAATGTCACAGAGGTTCTTCAAGGATTCGTACTTCGCCAACCAGGCATCGTACTCCGGAAAGATCTCCGCCATGGCTTGGCCCCCTGCGGCCCCCTGCGGCCCTACGGCCAACCCTTGAGACCTGTCCAAATCTCAGCGGCATCCCAAGCTCGAGTATCATGTACAAACATCTCACACCCAGTCGAAGAGTGATCTCCCGGATTCCAGTCATTAACCGGCCTTCTGGCGTTCGGACAATCGGTGCAAAATATGCCTATGAGGGTCTGGAAATCCTGAGGCGTGGCTAGGGATTGTGAGTGTTACGAGGACCTTGTGGCAACTGCCACCGCTCTCCTTTTACTCGTCGACCCGGCGTTGCCGACAGTGATTCGGTGCCAGTTTTGCAGGCACTGATTCCTGCACTGAAGCTTATCTCGTCTGGGGTACATGGCATGTGTGAGAGCACAAACAGAGCCATGGGCCATGCACCATCGCATGCGCTAATGCCTGCGTTAAAACCAATCACGTTCGGCACAGCCCCGAATGATGACATTTCGGCCAGCAAATGCAAAGCCGCCAGCCACTTCCCGCCTTTCTCACATGCACTGATTCCAGCGCTGAAGCAGATGTCGTGGGGCACTACTCTGGCACTTTTCATGCGCTGTAGTAAGTGCAAGGCAACCTGCCATTCGCCACCTTTCTCACAGGCACTGATGGCAGCACTGAAGCTGACCGGGCTGGGCATAACTCTTGCAGCCGGCATTTGTGAAAGCACAAACAAGGCCATTTGCCATTCTGCTCCTTTTTCGCAAGCGCTGATGACCGCATTGAAACTGATTGTGCTGGGCACAACTCGAACGGTTGGCATGCATGTGAGCAAATGCAAGGCCATTTGCCACTCTCCACCTTTCCCACATGCACTTATAACGGCATTGAAGCTGATGGTGTCAGGCAATAACTCAGCATTTGGCATTCGCGCCAACAAGTGCAAAGCCATCTGCCATTCATCACCCTTCCCGCATGCACTCATGCAAGCATTGCAGCAAATTCTATCGGACACCACTCTGGCTGACGGAATTTGGTTCAACAAAAACAAAGCCCTCGGCCACTCACTGCTCTTCTCGCAAGCGCTAATTCCGGCACCAAAGCTAATCGTGCTTGGAATGACTCTGGCAGCCTTCACTTGCCGCAGCAAGCATAAGGCCTTCTGCCATTCCCCGCCTTTCCCGCCTGTGCTGGTGGCTGCATTAAAACTGATGATGTCGGGCACCATTTGAGCATGTGGCATTTGCGCCAGCAAATGTATGACCATCTGCCAGCAACCACCCTGTTCCCATGCTCCCATGCAACCGCTATAACTACACCCATCGGGCAAAAGTCTGGCAGATGGCATGCTTGCAAAGCAATACAAAGACATCTGCCACCCGCCGCCCTTCTCGCACGCACGAACGCCGGCATTGCAGCTAACCGTGCTTGGCGCAACTCCTTCCATTGGCATCTGCGAAAGCAACCACATGGCTATATACCATGTGCTCTCACATGCGCTAATGCTAGCATTCAGAGATATCACGTTTGGCGAAGCTCGCACCGTTGACATCCAGGACAACAAGTGCAAAGCGGTTGGCCAGTCACCACCTTTCTCGCAGGCGCTGATGCCTGCACTGAATGAGATAGTGTCTAAAGCGTCTGACGACATCTGCCCCAACAGGCACAAGGCAACCTGCCACTCGCCGCCCTTTTCACAGGCACTAATGGCAGCGCTGAAGCTGACTGTGCTGGGTACGACCGCGGCGAGCGGCATTTGTGCCAGCAACAGCAAGGCCTTCTGCCACTCACCACACTTGGCACAAGCACTGATAGCGGCGTTGAAGCTGATCGTGCCAGGAAGAATTTCAGCTTGAGGCATCTGGCAGAGCAACATTGCGGCCATCTGCCATTCACCGCCTTTCTCACATGCGCTCATGCCAGCGTTGTAGCTGATCCTGTCCGGCTCAACTTCCAGCATCGGCATTTGTGAAAGCAAGTGCAGGGCCATCCTCCATGCGCCGACGTTCTCACACGCGCTCATGCTGGCATTGAAGCTGATCGTGTCTGGCAGAACTTCAGCTGTCGACATTTGTGATAACAAGCCGATGGCCGTCTGCCATTCGCCGGCTTTCTCGCAGGCACTGATGCCCGCGTTGAAACTGATTGTGCTGGGCACAGCCCAAGCTATCAGCATTTGTGAAAACAAGTGCAGGGCCATCTGCCATTGGCTACCTTTTTCGCATGCACTCATGCTTGCGTTGAAGCTGACTGTGTCTGGCACGACTGAAGCTGCAGGCATCTGTGACAGCAAGTGCAGGGCCGTCTGCCAGTGTCCGCCATTCTCACATGCGCTGACGCATGCGTTGAAACTGATCGCGCTAGGCACAACTCGGGCCATTGGCATTTGCGACAGCAGAAACAGGGCCATCTGCCAATTGCCACCTTTCCCACATGCACTCATGCCAGCATTGAAACTGATAGTGTCTGGCACCACTTCAGCGTGTTGCATTTGACTTAAGACGCACAGGGCCGTCTGCCACTCACCTCCGTCTGCACAGGCGCTGATGGAAGCACTGAAACTGACGACGTCGGGCAACACCTCGCTTGTCGTCATCTGTCTCAACAGCGCCAGCGCCACCCGCCACTGGCCGGCCTTTTGACTGGCGCTCATGGCCGCATTGAAAGCGAACTCGTTCGGAGAAGTTCGCATTGAGTTCATTTGCGATAGCAGACTTAGTGAGCGCTGCCACTGCAAGCCCCTGCTGCAGGCCGTGATGGCAGCACTGAAGCTGTAGACGTCCGGCAGGACATTTGCGCTCGCAATGTTTGTCAGCAGCTGGAGGGCTGGCTGCCATTGCGCAGCTCGTCCACAGCAGACGATTCCTTGGGAGAACGCCTTCTGGTCACCTGGTGTCGGCTCTGTGTCCCGAAGTAGGCGAATCACACGTTCCCAGTCCTTCTCCTTGCTTACCACCGCTGGCGGAATAGCACTTGTCCCTGTATCAAGCTCCGCCATTGCAGCTCCAGGACAGCAGGACTTGCTAAGATGCGGCAATTCCCCCACAGTCCCCCACAAGCTCACGAAATCAAAGTCTGATGCTCGATGATGTCACCTGCGACTTCTGCAGGATCGGACAGGCCCTTAGCTTCAAAGGTGCAGTCACAAGTTCAGGAAGAAGTACCGATTGCCTTCTGGACTTTAAGGTTCAGACATAACGGTAACACGGATGTCCGAGCTTGATTCGTGCCAGCTGCGGACTCAAGGTCGGAGCCTAAGTCGCAGCCCTCAACGGAGGTGGAATTCCCGACATATGTGCAGTATGTGCAGTATGTGCAGTTTCTTTGCCTTCTAAAACCAACAATCACAACCGCTCAGCGCAGGAGCCGGCTTCATGTTCATCCTGAAAACCGAAGCGTATGCGGCAACCCGCGGCATCTCTGGAAAGTTGAGATAAGGGATGATGAGGGTCCATGGCTCTGAACACGTTTGGTTCAGGCTTAGGTTTTTCTGATGCTCCCAAATCACAGGGCCGCTTTGGCTTGCGGGTTAGCTTGCCAAGAGCAAGCAACAGCAGATGCTTCCTTTCATGAAGTCCTGGCAGGATATCACCCTTGAAGGTGCTTGGGGAAAGGTCAAAGCACGGCTCTTCTTCATGGCAAGATGGGCCCGTTTGCCCGACTGCTGGCCTGGTTGTCGTTGCGCCTTGAGCTGGCGAGGCTCAAAGAGCCTTCGATCTGCGAGAGGTGAGCCACAGAAGCTGAGAGCTTGCTTCGAGATCTCGAGGAGGCACTGGCGTAATATCTGCTGCCTCCGGATACGAATTAATTGGAACTACATTAACTACATAGTCACACCGATGAGGCTGATCTTGATCGGGAATGGCAACTGCAACAAGAGCTGAACAACTGCCCCCGTTCCTCTAATCCTCAACACCAAGCCGGAGTCAAAATTCTGACCTGCATGCCCAACCCAAGCTGCCTTGAAAGGCAGCACTCTCGTTAAGTCTCGTAAGCTCAGAATATCTGTCTTAGCTCAACAACACTTGCTTGTGAGCGGGAACACCCTGCTAACCCCAAACCCCCGAACCTCAACTTGCTGGGGTGGGATTGACTGGATAACCGGCTACATGAAAGATCCCGAGGAGAAGCACACTAGTCTCACCAAGCCGACCGCTAAGGACTAAGGACACCTTTTACTGTGCCCGGAGGGCTCCTTAAAACTTGGCTGCGAGACCGGAGACGTGCGGAGTCATTGCAGGCGACCGTATCCCACTGCGAGCCATTCACAAGGTCTGATTGCTGTCGCTGCCACTGCAACTGGTCTTGGTTCTGGCAAAGGACAAATGAAACACAAAACAAAGGAGTTGTCAACTTTCGCAAGCCTTGACAAGCATTATCTCTTCCTACACACAACCTCTCAAGTGGCCTAGTCGCACGAGCCTGCCCATCCTGCGCAGTAGGCAGCACTAAAACTGATCTCGTCAGGCACAAGTCTAAAACTTGGCATTTGCCACAGCAGAAGCATGGACATCTGCCATACGCTTTCACACGCGCTAATGCTAGCATTCAGAGATATCACGTTTGGCGAAGCTCGCACCGTTGACATCCAGGACAACAAGTGCAAAGCCGTTGGCCAATCACCACCTTTCTCGCAGGCGCTGATGCCTGCACTGAATGAGATAGTGTCTAAAGCGTCTGACGACATCTGCCCCAACAGGCACAAGGCAACCTGCCACTCGCCACCCTTTTCACAGGCACTAATGGCAGCGCTGAAGCTGACTGTGCTGGGTACGACCGCGGCGAGCGGCATTTGTGCCAGCAACAGCAAGGCCTTCTGCCACTCACCACACTTGGCACAAGCACTGATAGCGGCGTTGAAGCTGATCGTGCCAGGAAGAATTTCAGCTTGAGGCATCTGGCAGAGCAACATTGCGGCCATCTGCCATTCACCGCCTTTCTCACATGCGCTCATGCCAGCGTTGTAGCTGATCCTGTCCGGCTCAACTTCCAGCATCGGCATTTGTGAAAGCAAGTGCAGGGCCATCCTCCATGCGCCGACGTTCTCACACGCGCTCATGCTGGCGTTGAAGCTGATCGTGTCTGGCAGAACTTCAGCTGTCGACATTTGTGATAACAAGCCGATGGCCATCTGCCATTCGCCGGCTTTCTCGCAGGCACTGATGCCCGCGTTGAAACTGATTGTGCTGGGCACAGGCCCAGCTATCAGCATTTGTGAAAACAAGTGCAGGGCCATCTGCCATTGGCTACCTTTTTCGCATGCACTCATGCTTGCGTTGAAGCTGACTGTGTCTGGCACGACTGAAGCTGCAGGCATCTGTGACAGCAAGTGCAGGGCCGTCTGCCAGTGTCCGCCATTCTCACATGCGCTGACGCATGCGTTGAAACTGATCGCGCTAGGCACAACTCGGGCCATTGGCATTTGCGACAGCAGAAACAGGGCCATCTGCCAATTGCCACCTTTCCCACATGCACTCATGCCAGCATTGAAACTGATAGTGTCTGGCACCACTTCAGCGTGTTGCATTTGACTTAAGACGCACAGGGCCATCTGCCACTCACCTCCGTCTGCACAGGCGCTGATGGAAGCACTGAAACTGACGACGTCGGGCAACACCTCGCTTGTCGCCATCTGTCTCAACAGTGCCAGCGCCACCCGCCACTGGCCGGCCTTTTGACTGGCGCTCATGGCCGCATTGAAAGCGAACTCGTTCGGAGAAGTTCGCATTGAGTTCATTTGCGATAGCAGACTTAGTGAGCGCTGCCACTGCAAGCCCCTGCTGCAGGCCGTGATGGCAGCACTGAAGCTGTAGACGTCCGGCAGGACATTTGCGCTCGCAATGTTTGTCAGCAGCTGGAGGGCTGGCTGCCATTGCGCAGCTCGTCCACAGCAGACGATTCCTTGGGAGAACGCCTTCTGGTCACCTGGTGTCGGCTCTGTGTCCCGAAGTAGGCGAATCACACGTTCCCAGTCCTTGTCGTTGCGAGCTCCGGCCGCTTCAGCATGTGCAGTGCAACTCGTCGCGACTGCAAGAGCTGCCATTGCAGCCGCCCGCCACGTTGCTAGACGCTAATTAACTGCCTTCCTCATGGCACACGGAAGATCACATCCAACCATTGTTTCAATCCCATCCGCGCAAGTATGGCAAGCATATGCGCACACAGAACATTGCAGAGAACAAGTTACTGCAGCAGTAGTGAATGATTGCGTAACCCATGCTCACTTGCATAGCCTCACGACACCCCACCCAACTCAGGCCACATACGTGCACCTGCATTGGGTCATTCTGAGGGTGCTGAGATGGCGGTCTCCCCTTTCGCCAGCTAAAGACAGCCGTTCACCCTCATTCTTCACGCCTCTTCACGACGCTGCAGCCGATGGCATGCAGTACCACCTTTTCCATGCGCTGGCCTCTGCTCTGCTCGGCTTGCTCACATGCTGCTACGACAGCGTTGAAGGCAACATCGTTGGCAAGCCTCAATGCATCTTTGCACGAGAGCATTGATATCACGTGTCATCACGTCTGGAGCAGATAAGATCATATGAGATCCGAGAAAGGCGCAAATCGTTCAGCGAGGCCGTCTTCAGGAGCTGCAGAGCCCAGTGCCATTCCTGGCAGATTTGCTCTGAGCTTTCGAAGTCTGACTATTTGACTCTTCTTATTGCTCCCACAACGCCTGACACTCCTGGCAGGCTGTCATGCCGGTGCTGTAGATGATGACCTGGGGTTTTGAACCGTTGGACAAACCAAAGAGTATCAGAGCCGCTTGCAGCTCGGGAGGCATCAAGACTGACAAGACTCAACAGGAACACGAAGATGCGCTTTGTTTGAGAGCTGCAACAGCTTATCCCAACATCCTTGTTGTCATCTCTTGGAAAAAAAGGTGCCGGCATCGACGCATGATATCACATGCCGAGCCACGTCTGACTCCGTGTCAAGTTCAGCATGCTTGCACAGGCAGAGCAGCGCTAATGCCCAGCGCCTGAAGTTGGATACTAGCCATGGCAGGCAATGGAGTTTCTAGATCAAAATGATGATACAGCCGTCCGAAGCGTAATTCCTCAAACAGTTGAATCGCGCAAGCCTAGTATGCAGACACACGAGCCACACATGACTTCCGTGCCCGAGGAAACGAGCGCCTCTTGCCCACCATCGCACTAACCGCTGCACTCATGGTCAGGAGATCAGCCTCCAAACCTGCAGTGACAAATTAGATCCAACTTCTTATGCTGGAGGGCTGGCCGAAACAGCTGAGAACAAGACGAGCAAGATCACGGCTACGGACTTCGGCAGCTTGGACTGTCTTGAAACTTTGAGAATGGACACATTGGCTTGTGCCTGATCTTACCATCTCTTACCGTACCCTCTCCGACCAGTCCAACCAGTCCAACCAGCCCGAAGACCAGGCCAACCGAATGCCAAGCAGCTCCGGGCTGGCAGTGCTCGCAACAATGTCCCCACGTGGCACCAAGCAAGACCTTCCATACGCACCGATCATGCCGACCGACCATGCTTTTTGACTCTTTGCTGGCTTCGGCGGCCGTCCTGCAGCGGCAGCGCTTGCACAGGAATTCCAGCTGAGGATGCTCCTTATTGTGGCAACTAGATGCCAAGCATGTGCACAGGGACGTGTCGAGCTGCTGAGCCGACAGACAATGATTCCTTGGAAACTGATATTTCGCTCACCCCAGGCCTGCAAACGCAAACCTGCCCGAATCCGCTTTATCCGGATCGCCAAGAAAAGAAGTGAAGACTTCGAGGGTCCTGCTGCCAACCCTCGTGTCATTCATGGTGTTACTTGCTTGACCAGAAATGCGCGACAATGGTAACAGCAAACGCCCTACTACCTTGACGCTGCCCAGGTGTGAACAAGTCTCTGTCGCGGCCCCATGTCGACGCACAGCAAATGCCTTGGGAGCTGAAGCGACAAGCTCAAGCCCTTGAGGCTAGTATTGTTCGGATCACCAGAAGACGCAGGAGTATGGTAAGGGCATCCTGTCGGGCTTTACAAGAAGGCCTACCGCAATGCACTCCCGCAAGCCACTTAGGACAACCATGAGTTTACTTGCTGACGCGGAAAAGCGCGCAGCCGCGCAGTGTTATGCAATGTTATGTACATCCAGCAAAATGTTGCTGATGGTAACCAGCTGTCGATGCCATTTGCCACTCCGCAGTCTGCTCGCATCCGCTGGTGGCAGCACTCAATGCAAACTCCTTGCTCAAACGTGCTAAACAAAACTCCATGTCATTGGTCGAAGAAAACGTGCACTCATCATGACAAGGGCACAAGTTGGCACAAGGAGGCTGAAGATGTTCCAAGCGTCGTTCGGCTGCAAGCTGTGCGCTTTCGCAGATGCCAGGAGCCACAAGCTGGTTGCCCACTCTGCAGCTTTCTCACAGGCACTGAGCGCCGAGCTGCAAGAAATGATGTTCAGCCTGAGGGGGCCCAACTGCGGGAAGGCTCTTCGAATCTTGAATGCATCTCCACACACGTTAGCAGGGAAGCACGCTTAGTTGCTTAGCGTTGCTTAGCTGAATTCCAGTGGGAGCCTGATATAGAAAACTCCATGTGGTTGTCTTGCAACATCCTCGCTCACATCTGGGGCTGCTGCTGAAGGTGCAGGCACTGCATGTCGGACAAAAGAACCTGATCAAGGCTGCACCAGGCACAGGAACATCCCCCGTGAAATCCCGACCACCCAGGCCTACTTGAAGAATCCGACTGAATCAACGAACTCGAATTAGTTGAGTAGCAAGCTCCATAACCCACGGTATCTGATCGCTGGCAAGGATGGTTCCACAGGTCGTGACCTGAAAACTGATGGATGTCTTCACTGTACGGATGACTGAAGCAAAAGGGTTTCACATCCAGTTCACCGTCTGATCAAAAGATACACAAGTCACTGTGGCTCGCAGCTTGTTGTTGACGGCAGCCAGCAGCAATTGGTTGGCAACCTTCCAGCCTACACCTGGAGCAGGAAGCTCACACGCCCATGGCGAAGCATCCAAGCTGCACTCGTGCACTCGTGAAGAATTAAGCGACGTGCCTCCGCGCATGGCCACATTATAGCTAACCATGCTGGGCTGCAGTGACCACAAGACCTGCCGCAGGCACCGATCGTGGTGCTTCTACCACTACCACTACCACTACCACTACCATTACCACTACCACTACCACTACCACTTCGGCGACGGCGACGGCGACTTCGACGGCGACGACGACGGCGACGACCACGAAATGCTACCTACTACCTACTACCTGCTACCCGCTACCTACTAGCTACTACCGTACTACTACCTACTACCTGGTACCTGGTGCCTGGTACCTGCTAGAAATACTACCTACCGAGTTAGTACATACTACATACTGCCTAATACCTTCTGCCTACTACCTACTAACGACTAACGACTACTGACTACTAACTACGAACTACCAACTACGAACTACTAATTTTTAGCTACTAACTAGTACGAACTACTTACTAATTATAAACTGCTAACTACTAACCACAAACTACACGTTCACTTCCCATAGCTCAGTAAATCCAGAGGAGCAGCGCCCGCTCCAAGCAGATGCGTCGCATTCTGCCACCCACCTGAACAGCTCATTCGGAACTTTCAGAGATATTCGACTCTGTTCAACCAGTTTTGCTAGATGCAAAGAAACATCATGAAACATCCAACATGGCCAATCAACACTCGCAGAAATTCGCGATCACTGCTTGCACCTGACGATGGACCACACATGGCGGTGTTCCAGGTGACCACATCCACCCGCAAGCTGTCACGCAACTCCTCACCAAGCACTTCAATGTCTTCAAGCTGCTTTGGTGCTTTGGGGTTCCTTGAGTTTCCTTGGGTGCGGATTCTAGAGTCGCACATGCCAGCAAGCTTTCCACATCAGGCTAAGCTGTTTGACCACTCTGGTCCTTGAGCAGGCGAATGGCTTGTTGCCATTGCTGGCCCTTTCGACAGGCGTTCATGCCCGCACCGTACATGATCACATCTGGGCACCTCAGTTCGTGGCTCGTGCAGCTAGCCTCTCGTTGCTTCTGCGCGGCTCTTTACTGCTTCGCGATGCAGGAGACAGAAAGTACAAAGCCCAAAAGCCCAAAACAAAGCGGATCAGGGTTGGGACCCGATCGTTGAAGTCGTCGCCTCAAGCAGTGATGTGGCGCGCTGCCACTGCGAGGCTGCATCGCAGACGCTCATTGTCGAACTGTAGCCTGTCTGGAGTCTGGATCTGGTGTGTGGGCTTGATGCGTGTGCACATGGAGACCGACACGGCGGACTCAACACAATAACATACAGAGCTCCCGCAGAAAGCTCCCGCAGCGAACTCCCCCGCAGAGTTTTGCAGGAAAGCGGCCAACGAGATCCGCTTGCAGCGATGCAGATGGCATTCCATTGAGAATCGCCAGTGCATCCTTGGCACTGTCTCCAGCTGTGAACCAGAATGTCCTGTAGTAGACCTCACTAAAATGTACTAAACATATCGATGCAGCATTGATGCATGCTGTAGCTTAGAAAAAGAACCTTCCAGGGCTTATCTTGCAGGCGGCTTCCCATCCCGCGTGTCTCCGGCAAGAAGTGATGGAGCGGTTGTACACGATCCTGGGGCATTGCCAAACTTCTGCACGCAGAATCACAAAGGGATCGAATTGCCAGCAGCGTGCTGGCGACGTTGCGTTGTCGACGTGTTCTGCCTGCCTTCGCGAGCACAAATACAAACAACAAGAACAGCAAGTAACATGAAGAAGAAGAAGAAACTGCAATAAACTGCATCTCCGGCTTCAAAAACCACAGTTGCCTTGTAGGCCTTGACACTTAACAGATTGAACACAAACTGAAAATGCCATCATCCCAATGCTGCCTGTCTAAACACGACCTGCACAAGCAGGCTTTTGTCTTGGCGGTCAAAAATAATTACGAACTTCTTCCGGAATCGAAAGGCGCCACGTCCAACCCCATAACCTGGACATCTTGCACAAAGACAGCCAACGCTTCATCACCTTTGCCAGCCGCTTCACGTACCGGACACAAAACACTGGAGCATGAAAACCTCCCTGTACTCTCCCGAACGAGGTTAATGCAACTATGGACAGAGCGTGCAAATGGGGCGCAAACTGAAAAGCAGACAGTCCGACAGTCAGACAGTCAGACAGTCAGACAATCAGACGGCCAGACAGTCAGACGGCCAGACAGTCAGACGGTCAGACAGTCAGGCAGTCAGACTCTCAGACAGTCAGAGAGTCAGCCATTTTCTTTTGGAGGAGACTTGGGTGCTCATGGGTCTCGTACCCAAGTACAGTAGAAAAAGGAATTTCCGCTGAAGTTGGGTAGTCAGACTCTTTAAGACCAGATCGCGTCTGAATGTCAGTCAGACAGTCAGACTCTCTAAGACCAGCTCACGTCTGAATGTCTGAATTTGCTGACCAAGAAGGCAGACAGCCAAACAGTCAGACAGGCAAACTCTTCAAGACCAACTCACGTCCGAGGGTCCGAATGTCTGAGTGTCTGAGTGTCTGAGTGTCTGCTGCACGGAAACGACCCCCGTCAGAATCTTTAAGACCAGCTCGCGTATGAATGTCTGAAATTAGCGGACCAAGAAGGCAGACAGTCAGACACTCAGACAGTCAAACTCTTCAAGACCAACTCACGTCTGAGGGTCCGAATAAGACCAGCTCGCGTCTGAATGTCTGAATTAGCGGACCAAGAAGGCAGACAGTCAGACACTCAGACAGTCAAACTCTTCAAGACCAACTCACGTCCGAGGGTCCGAATGTCTGAGTGTCTGAGCGTCTGAGTGTCTGAGTGTCTGACTGTCTGAGTGTATGAGTGTCTGCTGCGCGAAAATCGAACCCGTATTGCGCCCCCAATCAAAAATGGCTTTCATCACCTTGGGTTCTAACATCTTCTCATCTAGGTCGCAACTCATGCCCGAACCTTGCTCCATGTCTGGGAGAAGCAATCCCGGATGTTCGCCCGCTTTTCCGCTTTGCATGGCCACATCGCTTGTTCTGAATGGAAAGCTGTTTTGGCGAGGCTCTGGGGCGAGTCGTCGATCGTTGTCGCCCATGCACGTCGACGCAGTGGGGGGGTTTGCGGACAACTAGAAATGGGGAAAAGAAAACTTGCAAGCCAAATGACGGGTGAAGCTTTGGTTTCTGTGCGTGGCGGCTCGTGACTTTGACGAAACAGACAGAACACATCACCGATCCAATGCCGTCTTCAAGTGAAAGCCAAAACCAAGCTGAAACCTTGTCATAGGGGAACCTACGTCGAAGTATGCGCTACACTGACCTATTTGAGTTTTTGGGGGAAAACGGAGGGTAGCCCTGACAAAAGAAAATCAGAATTAAGCACGGATGCAGACTGAGGTTGACCCCTCAAATTGTGATTTCTGTTTGGCCAAAGAAGGGCACACGTCTTCCAAATTGCTGAGGCACAATCAAGATCGGCCCGTGAAAGCTTGTGCTCGAAGTCCCCGCCTGGGCGTCTTTCCGGCATGGCGTACCCGGCGTGCCCCCATCCCTGGCAAGGGCGAATGGGGACTGTTTTGCAAGCTGCCAGCCGCAAGCGGTCCACAAAGATCTTGGGCTCTTTGTCTAGTCAGCCACACTCGAGTCAGCCCTCCGGCTACTTCCTGCAGCCACAGCAAGGAACTCTTGCACGGTGTCCGCGCTTCGGGGGCTATATGGAAAAATGGCTTGACATGATTCGGGTGCTTCTCTCCTTACGGAATTGGGAAGGCCGGGTCCTGCCTGTCAGCCGTCTGCATGGCGGAGATGGCCGCATGCGCGCTGCGCCCGTCCTTGTGGGGCAATGCGCTTGCAGACAGACAAACCTGCAAGCTGCCTGAAAAATTGCAGCGACAGCTTCGCTGAGACTCACAGCGGCAACGGCCTCTTCTGAGCAAACCCAAAAAAACCAAAACAAGACAGCTCGCTTCCAAAAGACGTCACTGTCTTAGTACCGCGTTGAAATTTTTGCCCAAGCGGGGGCCTGACAGTACCGTCGTGTGTTAGGGCATGTTGACGGTCTTGCGGGCTCTAGCAATCCGCTCCGAGAATCTCAGGGATCGCAAAAGGCAATACGGACTCCAACTGCACTGGCGAAACTTGGTGCTCGGGTCCTCGAAGCATCCAAACCGACTCCAGACCGCTGGTCGGAGCGAGTGAAGCGACTGAAGCGAGTGAAGGGAGTGAAAGAAGCGAAGCCGAGTGGTCTAGGTGAGTCCCACCCAGGCACGCCATGGCACTCAAAGGGGACTGACCGAGGCAACGGATCTGAAGTTGGGCAAGGCAGCTTGAGTTCCGGTCTTGCAGTTCCTAAAGGCCTAAACTCGGCAAATCACCCAGTGTCACGAATGAGGAAATGACCGAAATGATACATCACGGAGTGTTCGACAGAGTCCCTTGATGGGAGCAGCGGAGCACAGCAGAACGCATGCCTGCAGACTGCCCAAAGCAGCTGACGATGACATGAAGCAACGCAGCTTACCTGAATTTTGCCTGCATTTTCCCTGCACACATGATAGGCGTGAGGCTCCCTCATAGGTGTTGGATGCAGTTGTCCTCTTCTGAAACTGGCACTTGGGCCAGTACCCTATGTCCTGTACGTAACTGTATGTACACTGATTATGTACACTGATTATGTACTTCTGTACACTTGCAAATTCAAGTACATCTGATGGAGGAAGTGTATTGCCCCCAAAACTCAGAAGGCGAGGCCGAGGTCCTCGAGTCTCAGGTGCAAGTTGCTGCGCTGAGCCTCGCGCTTCGCAGCTTCGCATTCGTTCCACACTCCGGGAATGAAAGAAGCAGTGTTCTCCAAGTGTTTCGAAGTGTTTCTCTCTGAGTGTTCTCTGGTGCCACCAGCCTCATCCATGAGAGAAAGCGCCTGCTCCCATTCGAGGGCATCCTTTCCGACACTCCAACGCTCAGTGGCGCAGCACGGTCAATGGCTCAGAGCGTTGCTGCGAGTGTCTGCAAGTGTGCTGTTGACTTCTCAGACTTCTAAGATGTTTCGATGTCGTTTCTTGCATTCGGTGCCAGCGATGGCTGACGAATCGTAGCCTGCGGCACTACAGGGCAAGGACACACAGACAAGCCAACCTTCATGGGCCTACATACAGCCATACGAATACACAAGCATCACACAGACATGCACACAGAGGGTTCACAGATTCAAAACGACATTTCAACAGAGCCGCGTTACGATGGGTTAAGATATCTTTCGCTCAGGACTCAGGACTGGCAGATGAGTCCGAACGGAATCAAGTTTGAATTGTAGCCTTCAGTGGTAGGACGATGCCAAGGTCTGGCCTGGTATGCTTACCCTATCCTAAAGAAGCCCTCACACTTCATATGTGCTGGAGTTTGAGTAGCATAAAGCAAGTATCCCACCTCCAATCCCCGCCTCCCCACTCCCTGCGAGATTTGCACCCTTATTTTTTTTGCCTTGAATGGGTACCCCAGCGCTGGGCAGGCGGCCAAGGGCAGGCCCCGGCCGGTCGCGTAGCGTTAGCATTAGCACCCTGCCACTGTTGCAGGGGGGGTGCAAGCTTCGTTGGCATTTTGGCTCCACTCTGACGTTAGGAGCTGACACTTTCCAAGTAATGGAGAAGAGCGGCTATATGATGGAGGCCATTTGGCCACAAAGTGGGATGACGATGAGGTTGAGGAACAGAAGCTGTTTCACTGTCGTTTCCTGGCTATCCATATCCGCACGAATCCTGCCTGAAACCGTCACCGCGTGCTATCAATGTACATGAAATACCGGGTTGGTAGGTTTCCCCCACACATTCTGCCAACACCCGTCCTCGCAAGCCTTGACCACCACCGAAGCGCAGGCAGCATCCTGCAGCGCACGGATCTTCGCGTCGAATGCCTTCTACACAGCTTTCTTGGACCGGAGATCCGGTTGCCGAGTCCGAAGAGCCTGACGGACGGAGTCGTTGTTAGCAAAGACGGCCACAGCCTGACGAGTCCAACTTTGAGGAGCCCCTAAGATCCTTGAAGCGCGACTCATTTGGGAGGATGCATCGCTGTCTCGAATGTCTCTATTCAGAAAGAAAGATGAGGCATGACGTGGCCTGTTGCCACTCGTCGGCAGCTGCGCATACCCCTGGAGTCTTCTCAGAGAGCTCCACTCCACGGCAAGGAGGGTTTCAAAAGTTATAGTATGTGGTAGGACGAACCACAAGAGCTTAGCACGCGAACAAGAAACATATTGATAGTCGGAAACTTCTACTGGGGCCTGTCCTACTCGGTCCTAAGTACCCTACCTCAGCAAGGCTCAACACTTTCTATAAATAACGACTTTAACGCGTTCACCCAAGACGTTGTAACTGAATTGGTTTGACTTTAAAGCTGTAAGGATCTTAAAACGCGTCGACGGCCCGCTAGGGGTCGGCTAACCTTGCATTGCGAGCTCCGGGCAGCCGAGCGACGGAGGAGGGCGTTGCAGAGGGCAGCAGACGGCATTGGCGCCGCACTGGCTGCTTGGAGGGCACGCTGCCACACTGCAGCCTGGGAAAGAACAAGAGAAAGAACACTGTGACAACGCACTGCGAGGACAAGCGCCGCACAACCTACTAATGAGAAGGGCTACCGCTGCGCAGCAAGCGCCAGTTTGCGAGAAAGCGCAACGCGCTCTCGGGCTGCACAGTCCGCCCGAAAACTCGAGGACGGCGCAGGGGGCGAACTCTGCACCCGACTACGCCGTCTGAGTCGGCTGGCACCCGTTTGGGTCGGTGTGGGCAGGAGCTGAAGATAGGCGGGTTGGGCGGCGAACACTGCTTCGGTCGCCGCTCTGCTTAGCCTCACGCACACAAGTGTGCTACACGACAAGCGCCGCACAACCTAGTAATGAGAAGGGCTACGGTTGCGCACTGCGCAGCACGCGCCGCTTTTCGAGAAAGCGCAACCGTGTGGGCTGGTCGACCAGTGACGGCGTGGGCTCCAGACCCGGCTCGGTCTCTTCGTCGGTATCGACGATGACCGAACGCCCCCGTCTGACGTCGACGTCATCGACTCGGTCGACGCCGTCGCCCTGCCCGCCGCTTGCCGATCCAGGGTTGGCGGGGTCTTGATCCGACGTCGACGTCGTCAGGGGGGAAGCAGCGCCAGTGATCTCGACGTCGGACGACCGCGTCTGGGCGGCGTCGACGATCGTGTCCTGGACGACGGGGTCGGTGTGGGTCGCCAGGTCGCCGAGGGCGGCCGCCGCCGCCACAGCCGCGCCGCTGGTTTGCAAGAGGACCTCCCCTAAGCCACCCGCGAGTGGCGTCGTCGGCGGTGCGCCGGGGGAGATATTGCAGCGATGGACGAGGACAGCGGCGTGGGCCGCCACTATGCGCTCCCTCGTCAACATCGGGAGCGCCGCCATGATGTCCATCGCCGCGACGGGGTCGGACATCGCCGCGTTGATGATGGCGGCGAGCCCCGCCGTGGAGAGCACGGCAGCGCCGGCAGACATCGACGAGGACGAAGCCATGGCGCCGATCGAGGATGTCCAAGAAAGCAGTTGAAAACAGGCGGCTTGAGCGGCGAACACTGCGTCGCCGCTCTGCTTGTCCTAACGCACACAAGTGTGCCCTACACAACCCTCAGAACGCTCTGCTCTTTCTGTTGCTTTCTGTTTGTGAGGGACTGGGATGCTCAGCGCGGCACATTGCTTCCACTTTCGGGCGCGGCGAGCGTCTCCACTAGCATGTCCAATGCTTCCTCCCAGGTCTCCGTCGCTCTTGTCCTGGTGCTACACAGAACGTGCAGGAATGTCATCATGTCTAGTTGTATACGACCATGTTTCAGAATGTTTCTATGTTTTTCTATGGTTCAGTTTCTGAGTAAACCACTCCAAGGAAAAATCGTGGCTCGCATGAGAAAGCGCGGTTGCTGGCAATGAATGATCGCGTATGCAGCGGCTCAAGCCGACACTTGCAAAAAGCACTCTGACTAATGCTCTTAACTTTGTGGCCCCTCCCTCATGGTAGGAGGTGGTAGGACTTGTTGGTTCGGCTCAGGGTAATTTTCGACAGATGCTACAGCCAAGATTCGAAATCACATTCCGGCTCGGATGTAGCCAGTCTTGGGCCTTCTCACGCGCATGAGCTGGAACTGTGCCAACTACGCGGTTCCGAGTGGCCTCATCCAGAACCAAGCCTTGTTGCTCCGCACGCGCAAGCAAGGCGACGCCATACTCCCATGCACCCGCGGCGCGTTTCTTCCCAATTGACCGCAACACCATCTGATACAGGCGCGCATCTGGACACAGCTGCGCGGCTTCCATTCGGAAAAACAGTTGCATCACTTGCTGCCACTGCGAGGCCAGTTGCTGCGTCCGAATGGCTTCACGATATGCGCTCTCACTGAGTGTAACTTTCGATTCAGCCTCCACCACCAGGCTTGGTATCAGATGCTTGGCTCTCTTTCTGCAGGCGTTGATCAACAGTGCGTAGGTTCTGGCGTCCGGCGCCAGGTTTGCCACGATCTGGGCCGATACCTCCAAAGCTTGAGTCCAAACCTGCACTGACACGCAGGGCCTAAACTTTTGAACGTGCGTCTTGACTTGCATGGTTTCCATTTTTTCGCAGGGCCTGACGTCGGGAGCACGCACCCAAGGCATCGTTGTACCTCGGTGGCTGCAAATGAACTACTTCCATCTGATTTTGTCAGGTGATGCGCCCCCTCTAAGTTCCCTTGTCGGTTTCGCATGGTTTCACGGCCCCTCTCGGTTGACGGCGCAACTGAATCAGATGGACGAGGCGCAGATGAATATCAATCGTTACTTGCCTGTCTCTTGCATGCTTCAGTAGACCTGACAGGCAAGACCAGACAAGTCAAGCTGTGGTTGCCCATGCAATGCAAGCCGCTTCTGCTTGCCCTGCCTAGAACTTGTCTCCATTTGCGGCATTTCCGGCATGCTGACATGGCGGCAGCGTACAAGCGTTGGCTCCGCTGGGTCCAAGACCGCTCACTCAAGTCCAGACCATCGATCGTTGCCAGCAGCTGTAAAGCTAATTCCCATCGCGCTCCCCGCCTTCAGCATACATGGCACGATATGGCACGTGCATGCACGTGTTGGAGGGTAGGGTGTCGCTTCGTGTTGCAGCTGGCGATGCAGACGCGGACAGTCATCCGAAAACGATCATCCACACCTCAATGACCATCCATCTCACGCCGAGTGTCGCAAGGGACTCCATCGTGCCCTCGCAGACTTCTCGTTTCAGCGGCACAGACTTTTGCAGGCACTCAGTAAGGAGCCTCGGATGAGCAATCAACAAACCACACCTACACAAAGGCCCCCCACAGCTGCACCCTACGAAGCAGCATCGTCCATGATCAACATGCCCTTAACGGAAACATCTGGAAGCGCTCCTTTACGGCTTGACCCTGCACCCCTGATCCGTCCTGATCCGACCACCAGAAAAATTCTAGGCTTGAAAAAATTGGTCACAAAGTTTCGTTTTAATGCTGGCACCCAAACCTTGTTCAACTCTGTACACTACTAAACCCGCAAGTCACAAACCAATACAAATTGCGTGCTGGTCGAAGTAGAAAACGAAGTAGCCCCCATGCGGCACGCCCTCTTTACAGAGCCCAAATGAAAAGTCGCAGTGGTACGCCTGCATACCATGTTCCGAAAAGATGGCTCTCTTTCGTGCGCAGTCAAACCCATGGCCACCTATGTGACGCTTCGGTACAATGACTTTGCACATGGCAACGGCTCGCAGACTTGGGAGCGAAGCCTGAGCCCCACCAGCCTCACAACCTGAAAAGCGCTTCCGCAGCCACTGCGCGCCAGGCAGCTGGAGGGAGTCTGCCCAACTCATGGCCGAGATGCCTGCCTCGTAGACTGCGGCGGGTGGGCAGAAGCCTCACACGAATCCACGAAATGCTGTCACACTTGTTCGCGGCAAGCTCGCGCTGCTGCAACCATTGCCGGCCTCCGTCCTGCATCTTCCTCAGCCTGAGTGCTTGCTTTGACAGCTACGGGATGCTGTGAAAGGCGGAGGGGGGGAGGGGGGAGGGGGGGAGGAGGGGGAGGGGGGGAGGGGGGGAGGGGGGGAGGGGGGGAGGGGGGAGGGGGGGAGGGGGGGAGGGGGAGGAGGGGCAAACAAACAACTACCGTCCTTTCGGCTGTTCAACGGATGTTGGTGCGCCTGCTGCAGAGACAAGGGGGGGGGGGGGGGGGTGGGCCCTTCACAAAGCCTTAAGAAAATGCCTCCGAAGCCGAAGAGGATGGGCCAAGCAGCAAAGAGAAGGTGGCCTGAGCTTCTCGGCAAGCAGCGCAGGCATAGAAAGCCGAAAGATGCATCCCCAGGTCCTGAGCCATCGATGCGGTGCCAGAGTCAGGGAATGAGCGATGATCTTGCTGGTGAGAGTTGTAAATATTGTAGGGAATGAAATGCAAATGGACTTAACGCATGTCAAGCGTTGATTTGCAAAAATGCTACATCGAGGCAGGGGAGCAGAGGAAACAGGTTCGGCTCTTGCTTGATTTCAAGTCTGAGCACAGCAAGTGAGACAAGTGAAGCACGACAGGCGCCCTACTACAAAGCACCTTTCAACCGCGAACCTGTGAGTGGTGTTTGCCTCAGTAAACGCCTCAAACTGGAATGTTTGCAATGAGTGATACACAGAGTCGCCACGCACGAGCTGCCGCAAAACTGTCATACAAGATATTTCCTCAAAGAGACATGAATCCTCGTACCATTTCCACCTTCCAAACATGCTCTACAATATGACCTGTGCTGCGTACAATGTGCAACGCAGGCCTTGGGACAGACCACAATCTTCGAGCTAGAGCTAACTCCACATTTTGCACCCAACCAGGGAATGCCAAATCAAGGCGAACCATAAAAAAGACCAGCGTCTGGTTGCATGGTGTTGACCTTCATCTCCGCCAGCAAGCTGACTCCGGCGATCCAGGCGGCTCCTGCTATCACAGGCAATCACTTGCAACTTCTTGTAGCTGACTTGTGTCCTAAGTTGTGCCAGCATGTTAACAGGGTGACTGTGGCCCTCGTTTGGAGTGCATCATGCTCCCAAGCCTTGTTGGCAGGCTTGAAGCATGGTGGCATAGATGACGTGATCCAGCTCGAGTTTCTTCGTCGCCGCGGCCGAGAAGAGGGCCAGCGCCTCACAACTGAGCAAATTCATCTTTCTTTTTTCTCTTTCTGGTCAAGAGATGTCAAGAGCCACCGGAAGCCTAAATCAAAAACAGCAGTACCGTGGTGGGCCTGCTCCCATGCCCCGTTGTCGCAACAGCGCATGGCAGCGGTGCAGCCGGCCACATCATCCAGACGCTGCCTTAGCTTCTCACCAAGACGCTTAGGGCCTTTCAAGGCTTCTGCGTTTGCATGCTCTGCACACCACAGACTACATCGGGCATCAAAAGCTGAGATAAGCGAACTCGAAGCCTCACCACCACTCTCCCACACCCGGTATTCCCAAAGCAGCAGGCCAACATCAGCCAACAAGGCTCCACCGCGGCGCTCTGAGGCCTGGCCTAGTGACCTCTCCTTGATCCTCTACTCGTAAGCAGTGCAACTGTTTGGGCTGCACAAGGTCGTCGGAAGAACAGTAGTGAGTAGTTTTCAACCTGCCGAGTTGCGTTTGAAAAAGGTTCATTCTCAGAGAATCTGGCGAACCCTTAAGGGCATTCACCTCATCCACCGCATCCACCGCATCCAGACTGAGGCCCTGAGTCGCGGCCTCCTTCCGCAGCTCCTTCCACAGCTGCAGCTGACCTTCAGCCGCTTCAGCCCCCTTGCATGCCTGGAGCAGAGCCTTGTACCTTGGCTCCGTTTTTTTCCGTGTTTTTTTGTGCCCGTGAAATCTGCGAAAGCTGTGAAAGCCGCGAGAGCTGTGAAAGCTGCGCTCTTCTGTCAGACTCCAAGTGGCAGAATCACATCCGGCTGAAGACTTCCAAGGGCGCTCGCCATGCAAGCCAAAGCCTTCCAGGTATGATTTAGAGTCTGTGTCTGTCTTCCGATGTCTGATGTCTGGTCTTCTGGAGATGGCGAGTACGTGAAATGTCCATGAGGGCTCCACAGGCCTGTTCCCACTCCCTTCCACAGGCGCCGATGGCGGCCGTGTAGGAGATTGCTGTGGGCTCTACACCATTCCTAGCAAAGCGCAAACATGTGCTGTTTTATCTGCCAGTGCACTCAGGTTGTTTGAGTTGCCAAGCCGGGGTTCGTTCGCATGCTGTTCAGAATCGACAGGGCAGGCTGCCATTGCTTCAGATCAGCACAGCATCCAATCACAAGGTTGTAGCAAATCACCCCAGGCACGGATCGCTGCTCAACACCTGCATTGAGCAGGTGGAGTGCTTCTTGCCACCTCCCTGCTTTTCGACAGCAGCTGAGGACCGTCCCATATATGACTTCATCCGGCTGATGACCTTCCAAGCATGCCCTTGAGAAAAGGGAGATGGCGCTCGCCCATGACCCAGATCTCTCGATCGCTCCGAGAATGCCGGCGTACGTGAATTTGTTCTGCTGCACGCGGTCCAAGTCCATGCGGCAGAGCATCGACACTGCCTGGTTCCAAGAAGACAGCGTCCTGTACGCCGCGATCGCTCCGCCGTGTGTCAGTGCGTCTGGCTGCAAGCCGGCCCCATCCACGGCTTTGAACAAGGTCAAAGCCCAGTGCCAGCGTTGCCCCCTCTCACATGCAGCCGCAGCAGTGCCTAGGCCATAAGCACTTGCTCAGAGACGAATCGTCTGTACTTTGCTGAATTAAGCATGACAAGGTTTCGCAAGAGCAAACTTTGACGAATGCCCTTGTTCTGGGATGCCGAATGTCACCACGGTGGGGCGCAAAAGATCAGCTCCGACCTGCTGGAGCAAAGATAGAGCTTCTTTCCATCTCAGTTTACCAAGGATGACATTGCACGTGATGATGCCTTGGCTGCCCAAACGCCGGCTCACTGCCGCCTTGCCTACAGTGACTACACCACGCACGCTTCTGCATTCTGCCGTATGACCAGGTGCCCCAGAAGTCAAAAAGAGTGAGCTGCTGACAACCACAACATCCGTTCACCAGCGCCCGGGACGTATGGTCGCCGCTAATGCCTAACGCCTGCTGAAGCTGTCAAATGCTGACATTAGAGATGGCACGCATAATTTCACAATGAAGCTGCTTTCCAGGACACTGGGCACCACGCGCTGTGATCGCGCCTGCGTCAGCATCTGCTGCTTCGGCTCCATCATCTTGCTGCCGTGCTAAAAGTTCGCGCAATTGCGCAATTTGGATGGGCTAGGCTAGGGCCAAACCCGAAAGCGCGAGCACAGAATCCGCACATGTGTACTTCTGCTGCCCTTTGGCCAGAGCACCGTCAACCACTTCAAGACTGCCCCTCAAGACAAATCAGGCTCTTGTGGTTGGAGGCGTACTGGTTGGATTCCAGACTCTTGTTGCGCACATCTGCAACACACAGGATACTAGCATGAAAAACTTCGTCCATCTCAATCCAGGGTTCAACTTCGACCACATAAGACATCGTTTTGTTGAGGTGGGCATTCAAACGCTTAGGCAGACGTCTCGAGCTCAATTTGTGACTTCGCTCGGCTGTCGCGGGGTGCAGAGCGCTCAGGAGGCGGCTGCCTCAACGTCTGAGGGAGCAAAGATCTAATGAGAGCTGAATAGGGATTCAGCCCAAGGTTTCGATGCACTGAAGCACTGAACACTCCGATGTCAATGCAGGGATATCACAGATCACCAACTACATGCACACCATCGTAAACTTGTATTGATTGACTGTGGCTTCTTGCTTGTCACGTCATAATGCGACAACAGACTGTGCCTCCTGAGGAAAAAAGCATTCGCGACCGCCGGCCGCCGCCAACGGGGACACATATTCCTTCACCTGGCCATGGGAGACCCAGGCAACCAACATGCGACATTCTCGCAACTGTTCAGAATGCTATTCTCCAAACAGTGTCAACCTGTTCCAACGTCAAAGGCTAGGTCGATGTGGCCACGAGGCCGGAGAGCCCGCTGCGAACCATGAGGTTTTTTTTTGGAGACTGCTCGCAATTGGACGCGCTTGCTGTGCTCGAAACTGTCACTGTTCGAAAAATGTCATCGCGTTTGAAGCAACGCCCTGCAACTCTCACTGTGAGTAAGGGGCTTACGTGACGTCATCATCGACATACAAGTGCACCGTTGCGTGCTAATGCGGATGATCCCATGCCCGATTCGCTCGAGACAGCAGCACGTATTTGCACATATTTACACGTATGGCCCGGGACCTTGTCATCATCTTCCTGGCAGTGGGCGAGAAGTCAGTACCAGCAGCACTGCAGAGACACGATGTGGGCACACCACTCCTTCGGGCGGAAACGCTCATAGATGACTGAGGCAACGATACCTGAAAGGACAAAAAAGCTGTCATGACCAAAGTATTCAAGCAGAGGGGTGGCAATGAATGAAGGACCTTGCGCAACAGCGCGCGCAGCTCGGCATCTCAGGAGCAGACTGATGGCCAGCACTGCAAACAGAGTGATGCACACGACCTGGAACAGCTCAAAAAGGAAACTCCAAGCTGGTTCCAAATGTTCCAAGCATGAGCTGCTTGCCTGTGCAGGGATGTGGATCACGCCCCGCAGTACCTTGCGAGATAACATAGACGAGACCTGCCGCTTATGAAGAGCAGGGAGATTCGCAACGTTCTCCTAATGGCTCATCCTGAGGGAAGAGTAAGCTTAGTACCAACTTGGCCCCGATGAAGACTAAGATGACGGACACAGCATAGGGCCTCAAGCCGCAGGGGCACAGTTGCCAGGTTCGGCAGTTTCGGCTCGACATGCAACATGCAACCGCCGCCATATACATGGCCATAAACCTTTGCTTCTATTTAAGGTTGCAGGCAGGAGCGTGAAGAGCTTCACCAGCTCATCCACAGCAAAGAAGGTTGCTCGCAGGCCTCCCCAACAATGCGTCTCCGAAAGCACTTGACTGAAGCGATGGAAGGGCCCGACAAAACGCAAATTGACTTGGGTTTAGGGTATGTTTTGTTTGGACTGCAGAGCAACTGAAGGCATCCAAAGGATAAGGTCAATCAAATGGTGGCTAAAAGGGGCGGCACGCCTAGCATTGCAAAGACACAGGCGCTGTAGGCCTCAGATTGTCTCGAGAAATCGCGCTTCTGTTTCGCAGGCTTCGCAGGTTAGCACAGCTGAGGCTGGGCACCAGGAAGAGGTCCGGGATTTGCGCGACAATGGCCGAAATGGAGTCCACCTTCTGACACTGTGTGATGTGGTGTGACGTGGGTGTGCGCTCTGTTTTGAGTTCTGAGTTCCGGACCGCGAAGACTACGTCCGTCAACTGAAGACAGCGTGTGCAATGCTGCGCTTGGAAAGCTAGATGGAGACTACTCTGAGTTGCTGTAGGTGGCACAAACCTGGATGCCGAGCAAACACCCTAACCATGAAAACTATTGCAACATCCTAACATTCCAATCTCGGAAGCTCAGCAGCCACCTCGAGGCAGAGCACCACCAGCATCAAGCGTGTGGCGTATGTCCTCGACAGCAGGCCCCGCAAGCTTAAGAATATTATAGAATGTTTGTGTTCTGCTACCACCTGTCGTAGAGTCAAGGCGGCAAGTGCTGCAATCCCAAATGCCCACTCCCAGCCATGCAACTTGTTCCTGTCATCTGTGTTAACCGACAGAGCCAATCATCTTCAGTCCTGAAGACCAACTCGCGCCCCTCTGTGGGATCAGACGCCTTCACAGGCTGAACCTACCTCGAAGGCATCGTCTGCTTCATCGCTGGACGTACAGGCCTTGGGATCGTGGTCCTTGGGTAACCTAAGCAAATTGAGCAAGCTGAGGCTCTTCTTCAGCTCTTACTTGGGGACCTCTGGCCACGGAAAGGACGACCTGAGGCCCATGCATCTGCGGGGTCCAGTCGGGCAGGACGGGCTCCTAGCCAACGGAGCTTACATCAAAAAATCACCGCTCCAAAACGAGAATGGCTCGGAATCCAGAATCGCAGCCCCGATCAGACACTGTCAGGCACAAACCGTTCTCCGTCAGCGAGGAACTGAGGAACTGCCGAACATCCCAAGAAAAGCGGCACATCTGTACCACTCGCACCATGCTGGAACCAAAGACTTAAGAGCCCACAGCTCCTCCACTGAAATGACGTTACATGATGTTACATGCAACGGATACTCTAACAGCTTACAGCTTGCAGACAAATGAAGGACACCCGCCGATGATTGGGCACGATCGTCTAGTAGTGAGTTGGAGATGTCAAGATGTCCCAAGTCACGACCGCCACCACAGGGCACGAAAACATGCACGAACACTGGACTCGCAGCCGCCCTGAATAGCATTCGGGGCAAATTCACTGACCCCTCACTCCTCCGTCTTGGCGTCGATCGCCGCTTTTACGATGAAGCGAGGCCTCAATCACTTCTCCAACGAAAAGCATGCCCGCCCTGCCCGCGCTCCTCATGCAAGTCTTGCAAGGATCCGGACTCAGGTGAGTAAGCGTCAATGAGCTTGAGTTTTCTGGCAGCCCCCAGCAACATCAAATCTTTCCGTCCATCTTTGCAAGGCACCCTCCGCTCCCCATCAACAGCTCGTGGCCAATGACATGCCAGGAAGTCTTGATGATCCACAAGAAGACAGGATTCTGGTTGGGAACATCCTTGCGGCATTCGTATGCGCACAGACACTCAACAATCGCCATGCCCAATGCGTCAGCAACCATCAGTCAGTATCCTCATCGTCCTCTTCAACGCCAAGGATCTGCTCAGGAGAGTATGATGCTCATGCCCTTGAACTTTCAAGAGCTTGTGAATCTTGAAAGGGGATCATGAAGCGGCCGCCAGGAGAGCATGCACCACATCTTTCTGACTCACATGGTATGACGCTGGAGCCTGCAGGCACATGATCGAAGCCCGCCTTGTAGCCCGTGTACATCAGAAAGAAGCCCAAGAAGAAGTGGGTAACCCAGAACGCGTGCATCTCAGACAACGTGCCACAAAAGGAAACAAACAGATCAGCTGAACTATTCGGCCAGCGTCTAATTACTAAGGCCTGCGGTCTTGACCGAATCCTACAAAATCCGGGTGCTTTTTAACAGTCAGTCTGAGGTGGGCAGCACATGGATGCGTGATGCCCATGTAGGGTTTCATGTAGGGTTCCCGGCCATGACCTCGCCCACTACGAAGAAGATCATGCGGAACACAATGGCACCTTAAGAACGAAGGCAGCCACAAGGCTGGAATTCGATGCTGCATGGTCCCAAGTTGCTTATCGAAGTGCACTTCGCGTAAGCTACGCATGGGATTGACCAGAATATGCACCAGGCATAGCAAAGAGCTCCGCAGCAAGTGCTGCAACTCTGAAGAATTCAGAAAGCGACGAAAGCACTGCCAATGCCCTTAACCCGAACGTCATGTGACATGCTTCAAGAAAGACGTGCTCTGCAAACTAACCTAGCTGAGACAATGGAACTGTGCGCCGGTGTGTGTGATCCAAATGCGTCCGGACATACCCGAGGAAGTGGTATGAGACACCAACCAGCGGTCACATACACTTGAACGGAGCTTCCAGGCCCAATGGCCCTTTTGAGCAACTTGAGAGCGGGGAACCCCAACTTGACAAAAGATCAACTTGACAAAGGATCTCTTGTACATCACATCTGATACCTGCAATTCTGCTTGGCACATATCTGCATGAGGACCGATTCATTCTGCTTCTCAGAGCCCAACCACAGATGCCCCAGAACAAGGGCTTGTGCCTGAGCTCGAATGTTGGATGGGAGCCCGGCAACAGCCTCTAGATGTGTGAAGCGATGATCAACCTGAGCCAAAGCACTTGTGGCTGTTCGGAGTGTGGAAGATGACGAAGATACTCCTGAGAAGTCATCCCGAGACAGAATGCTGAAAGAGCACAGCAACCAATCGCACTTCTCCTGAAAACAAACAAGTTGTCCACCGAGAGCATCCACTCCTTGGCTCTTTGCTTCTGCAAAACCGGGGCATTGCTTTGCACTTTGCTTTGCACATTGCTTTGCACATTGCTTTGCACATTGCTTCTCAGGAATTCGCCCGACGACACACCAATCAGAAGGTTAAGGCCAAACATGCTCTGACAGCGTTTTGAGGCCTCCGCCAGCATGTACCCGGTGCCTGAAGGAGCTTTGTCTTGATGAGATTGTACGACATCAGGTCGAACAGTGTTCATGGCATGTGTGTGCGTATCAGTAGCGTGCCCCAGTCGAAGGCTGCTTCTGCACCCCGCGACCAGAAGATGTAGCCGTTGAAGCCGCCCGCGCAGAGCAGCCTGTGGCTGCTTGCATGAGGAAGCTCTGTTGAGTGGTAAGTTAGAGTAAGGACACTGCCAAAAGACGGAGTAGGCCAGCGCTTTTGAGAAGCCTCGCCGAATGTCATGTTGATCAACTCATGGAAGCCTGTACTTAGCAAGACTTTCAGACATGCTTCCAAAAATGCCTCACACCACAGCCCAAAGCAGGCTACGGATGTTTCATGTGAAGATGTCGCTGCACATGCGTTGCGCTGATACTCAGAAATACCAGCGGCTGCTGGCATGCATGCACACCAGCAAAATACCAGTATCACAACCCCACCAAATATGAATCCAAGATGCTCATGTTGCCTCCTTAGCGAACATGAAAAATGCGGAGTCCGTTCTTTGCTGCAGATAAATCTACAGGATGTCATGGCTGCTAGGGTGTGACGCCACAGAAAGTCCAAAGGCAACGTTCGAGATGTGGAAGGGCCAGTGGTCCAAAAACTTGCAAGCGGTTGCGCTAAGTCGCCAAGATTTCGAGCGACTTCGGTTTAACGCCACCTACTGCCTTCGGCTCTTCGAGACTTTGGCTGTGTTAATGGACGATGACCAGGATTCTGGTAGCAGAGGAGTGGGCCATATCTTCCAAAGAGCACCAGATTGTCAAACAACACGAGAACCTGAGCGCTTCAAAATTAGGCAGCGGATCAAAGAACACATCAACAAACACTTAAGTCGCAAAAACAAACACACACACACACACACACACACACACACACACACACACACACACACACACACACCCACGCACGCACGCACGCACGCACGCACGCACGCACGCACGCACGCACGCACGCACACACACACACACACACATACACATCTCGAACACGTCATGTTCAGGTTTTCAGATTTCTCAGGTCCCAGCCAAGAACGTTACCGAGAAGACTCCCCAATCCAGAAGGTCCTCCAGAGCCCCCGTGCTCCCGCAGGTGCGCTCGCAGGTGCGCTCGCACATGCTTGAAGCTACCAGAGTTACTCTGCTCACAAGCATCCTCGTGCCGGAACAAGGTCACCGGATCTTCGGGCCTTGGCCTTCAGCTTTCGCGACAAAAGAAACCATATGTCGCGCAACGTATGTCGAAACATGTCACAAAATAGTCCCCAGGCTTGCTCGGGGCTGAAGTAGAGAGAAAGTAAGAGGCCGCCTTCAGAGATGCAGAGATGCAAAAGTAAGTTGCAGACGGCATGAGCGCCTGCATACGAAAGGCTACCTCAGGGCAGTGACCGGATGATGCATAGCCGAGAGCCATCTCGCCTGTGGATTCGGACAATGCTTCCGGTGAGCGATTGAGGCTTGGCCATGGGCCAGCCTAGGGGACTACAAACTGACCCCTAAACTGCCCTAAACTCTAGCAAAGTCCTACCAAAAACACATCAAGCCACGCAAGTCACGTCCATGCACTAAATTCATGAAGACGAAAGAAGCAGACAGGAGACACATGAGACACCCTCAGCATCCCCAAGCCTCTGTAAGCGTTGCGGGCACTTTTTTAGTCGTTGAAGAATTGGAAGATATTGGAAGCTTGTTCTCCGGGAAGCTGGCATCCTCCACGACGTGGAAGGTGTCGCTCTGGCAGTGAGAAGCGTATGCGGCCATGTCATTAGAGGCAGCTGCAAGGACTTCCCGAACATGGCTACTGTCATGGCGACTTTCCTCTGCACACACGAGGAATCACGTCACATTTTCAAAGCTGATGGTGCCTGGTTCAGCAGTTCAAAGGCTGCCTCGAAACGCGGCTCTGACAAACCCTCAACGACCTCGGAAAAAGAAAAGTCGCACAGGAGAAAGAAGGGGGCAACAGAGAGTGTAGTCAAGCGAAAGCGACTCATGTGATTGTTGTCCCCTATCTGAGAGCAAAGCGCTCAGGAACTTCATTTGTCACCACCTGACGTTGGCCGTTGAAGTTGCAGAAAGCCGCAGACTGTCCGGAATGAATCAGAATCCCGAATTCATTCGCGGCCTCCGCTGTTTTCAGCGGGCGCCAGTGGCGCGGGCAAAGCCAAGCTACGCCCTGACAGGGCGGTCACAGCGGTGCGGCACTCACAACAGATCACAACAGACAACATGCAGAGTTCAACAGAGCAGAGGATGATATGTCGGAGTCGGGGCGTCGTTGCTACATGTTGCAATCGTGAAGAATGAAGCGGGACGATGTGGGACCTTTTCAGGTGCAGACGAACCGCCTCATTTGGTGCGTCGTCTCGCACCGCTAGTGGCGCATGCCCACACATTCCCGGGCCCAGATGGACAACGGCACAGGCATCACTGCATGATGGTGAGTCACATGTTGCATGATACTGTGTATTTTGGTAGAGCAAGCGCCAGCAAGACCGAGTATTGCTTGCATGCACACAATATCTGCACAGCATCCACTTCATCCACTTCACTTTTCCTGCGCTGACTGCATGGGCTCTCATGAAAATGGGGGGGCTCGCTGAGCGCAGCACGGTCCTTGTAAAAGAACTTCGATACTCAATACTCTCAAAACCTCAGCACGAGCGTCCTGGATACTTCTGTCAAAACATGTGCTGCGTGAGCTGTGGAAAACACGAGCGGAGGTATTTACATATGTTCGTGGAGCCCAAGATAGCATCAAAGATGTGAAACGTCCTGTGCAACTTTCTGTGATAGATGCACACTTGAAAATTGAAATAAACTGGCATTTTGCCGGGCATCGACGACAGCGGCTGGAGCTAGTCTCACTCCCATGCATGTATGTGTGCACATATATATATGTATATATATATATATATATACTTATTTATTTATTTATATTTATTTAAAAACTTATCACATGTTATATGCAAACCTATACTTATGGACATATATTCATATATATATATATATATACACATATATATATATATATATATGTATATATGTATTGGTTTATATTAATCTATATATATGTATATAATATATATATATATGTATATATATGTGTATATGCATATACATATCTCGCACTTGCGTACGGTACAGTCATGTAGTCCAATCGCGGACATCAGACCAGCTCAAGCGCGCGCGTATACAAAAACTTGGTCGTCAAGCTCGTTCCGCACTATCCTCAGATCCTCATCCAAGTACCTGACAGGGCGCAGCCATCGAAAACCCTCGAACAAAATCGGAGCTCTCTTGTAGACTGTTGCTGTTGCGCAGACTGTAGACCCTGTCACACCAGCTGCCGCCTTCGTCTGAATATGTCTGAATGATGAGTCACACCCCAACCTGTGCCCAGACAACCTGCAGTCGCACGTGATTCGTGCTCGGATGCGGGCGTTCTCACCGAGGAAGGACTGGCCATTCGCGACATGCAACATGAGCCCAAATCTACAAAAACCAACATCTGCAAAACGAATTGTGCATTCATGGCACTTTTGAAAGCCCGGTTCAGGCCACAAAGAGCCCTTAAAGACTTAGAGGCGAAGGCCCCTAAAGCCCTCTTCTGCACATTTGCTTGCACCTTCTCCAAGCTCCGTCGGAAGCCTCCAACCTGGGCCTGCTACCACTCCATCCTCCACAACCGTGAAGACACAACCTCTACTCTAGTGACTCTGGTGACTCTAGTTCAGGAAGTTGTCCTCTGAAGGGAAGACAACTTGGTCAGCGAAGGGCAGAGTGTTGTCCACTGCCTCATCGACAACACAGAAGGAGTGATGATGAATGATGACTGTCTTCGCTTGCGGTACCGCCGATACCTCTTGAGAGTTCCAAGTCGGGCTTGAGGGGTCGGTGATTCATCGGCTTGCACGCCGAGTTCGTGTTCGCCCACGCACGCTCCTTCAAGTAACTCCGATCTTGGTTGCAGGTTTGCATCTGATGCCTCAGCTTCGTGCAAAAGCGTTCAACATTTCTCAAGCCCATTCGGCGCTACTTAGCAGATTCACAAAGTGCAAACGCCCTCAGCCCTCACACTTCAACCCGCATTCGGCAGCAGGCTCGCTGGGCCTGCGTCTTTTCAATTGTGAGCATGAGCTCGGCAGGATCGTCTGCAGGAATGTACCTGTCAAGGGCAAGGGAAGTTGGAGGCTGTGGCAAGTGCAACGTGCCACTGCCTGCACGTGGTGGTCATCACCGTCGTGCCGAGGCCCCATATCTGGACAGGGCTCCAGTCAAGGATTTCACCCTTCGGGACAGTTCGACTCGATGAGGGTCCTCCACGGCCACTCGGTTGACCATTTGGCCGTTGATGAGGGTTTGGGTAGCCTCGCCGATGCTCTTCAGCGGGATGCCTCAGTGACACCCGAACTCCGCCCTCACACTTTGTTGCTGACCATGCAGGGTGGCGGTTGCGGGTAGACTGTGGACCGACATTGCTTCAGGTGTCGCCGCATTCAACGTGGTCTGACGCCGCATTGCGGGGTGACCCTGCACTGTTTCCTCATGTCGCATTGCGACTTGAAGCTGCATTGCGGCCATAAGCCGTGTTGTGACGCTGCTTTAAAGGCCCACGAGGCAACATATTGCAGCACGATGACTCCGCATTAGCCCTTGCCGCCGCACTGTAAAGCCGCATTAGATCCTGATGCCCCAACCCCGCCCCCACCCCCACCCCCGCACCCACCCCCAACCCACCTTGTCCAGTTCCTGACTCGCGTAGAAGTTGATGCTTGCAAAAGCCAGAAAATACAATGGGACTGCAACATGCTGCAACAATGTTCCTGCAAAAACCTCGCACATGCTGCGGGACTGGGATTTCGCGCAGGCAAGAAACTCACAACAAAAAGCATGGAATTCAATCCCCCACGTCCAACTCTCGCAAGATCTCGCAAGTACCATGGGATTGGCATTGCACACAACTTCGCAAATACCCTTGAAATGCTGGTCGCGATTGCCATGCTTGTGTTGTGGTACACAGAATACACACCGTTTCACGTTGTCTCTTCGGCTTCAGGTGGTTTCGGCCCCCCCCACCCACCCTCAGGCGGCCGAAATGGCGACCTTTAGGTTGTGAGTTAAACAGGCTTCCGTAGCTGCGCTGAGCCACCATCTGTGAAGGCGAAGATCGATTCCGACAGCTCCTTTCAGGTTCGTGCGCTCTCCATGTTCCACGTCCCTAGCTCCAAGAGTCCGCATCTTGTAGCTCTGCTGAACGTATGGTTGAACATACTGAATGCACATACAGTAAGGAAGAGAGGCTTTCTGGCAGGCCTCTGTCTCGAAAAGGGCCCGGCTCAGTGGCGAAGGATCCGGTACTCCCTGCAGTGAGTGTGAGCCTTACATCCTTCGCATTTGGGTTATGTGCTACGGCTGTGAAGGCCTCGTAGCGCGAGTGCCCTAAACCGTGGAACAGGGTCGACACTGCCAGGGAAGCCAAACAAAGCACTGTATCCCTCTGGGCCTTCAGCATCTTACGCCAGCCCCAGAAGAAGGGCGAAGATCTCGTGACATCCTTCGATGGTGGCCGATGAATCTTGAAACCGCGATTGTTCAAAAGAGTCCACAATCACGTGATGGAAATATCAGGAATCATGCGAGAATATCGCAAGCTATCTTGGAAACCTCGGTGCAGAAAAGACCCTCACCCCACAACCCTCAATTTTGCTTCTGTTCGATCGCAGCTCTGCATTCTAAAGTGCTATGTAATCCGCGGCCAGTTTTCTGGCCTTGTTCATTCTGACTGGCAAGAAATTTCCTCACAGCGCTTTTACGCTACTCCTCTCGTGACGCCAGTCGTTGATCGGAAGTCCTCGGAGGCGAAGATCAGCCGCCAGGTGCCTTCCAGGAGGCCTCACAACAAAGAATTGCAGACCCACAACGCAATCACTTTGAGAGAAGGTGTGAGCCGTCAACGCCGTCAAAACCAACTTGTGCGAAAGACCCTGGTCTTGTTTGTGACTTCTCAACATCCCTGTAGCCGAATTGCCACCGTCGACCTGCGCTATGATTACCTGTGCTCATTCGGCACTTCGTAGAGTCGTAAAGTTCAACGACTCACAGCAACCTAGGGCTGCGTCGAAGACATTCAACCGATGAACTGAGCTGGAGTCGCACAGCAAATTCATCGGAAACGCCCCATGTGCCGATCGCCTTTGCTGGGCTCTGCCGTCGGGTTCAAGGCCTCCATGGCCTTCACGAGTTGCAGCGCACCTGGTGACGAGCTGGAGCTGGTTGCCCTGGCCTTGTTTTTTCACGCGCCGCGCATGCGTTTTTTAAAAAAAGAGGCCGTGTTCAACCGTAGCCTTGTCGTTCTGCGTCGCTTCCACACTGGCCACGACCTCTCGGGGCTTCTGCTCCGCTGCTCCATGCTCCGAGTATACGACACACAAAAAGCAAACAAAAGCAAAAAAGGCTGCCGATGTGCTGGCCCCCTGATATAAGGCCCCCTGGGCTCTCCGACAGGTCGATGCCGCGGAAGCCAGCAGCCGCAGCCTCACTAGTGGGCTGCGGACAGGGGAAAGGGCCATTGCAAACCTCGAAGGCAAGGCACTTGAAGGGCGAAAAGCCAGGCAATTAGCTGTTCAGCAATTGAAGTCTTCCAATGGTGGGATAAAGCAGCAGATTTTGCAAAGTTGTGCATGCAAAGCGAACACCAACTGTCAGCACGGTGTCGCCGAAAGGACCCAAACCTCACTTCTCGTCTTGCCGCGGCAGTGCCCGCAGCTGCTGCGGCTGCCTGGACCTACCGCAGGCTGCGCTTCCCGGTTGAGGGCGATGAGCACTCCAGAACCACTCCAACCATGATATCATGATGCTCGGAAGTGCTACTGCAGTAGTGAAGGGATTCTGCGACCACGCACTCTCCAAACATCCTCGAAACACTCGCAGAAATCACTGTTTTGTCCCCCCGAAACGTCGCAGAGCTTCGCCAGAAGCCACCTGTCATTTGCATGCAACCACTACTTCGAGGGAAGAAGTTCACATGGTTCCTGCCAAAACCCAGAAAAATCCACCACGGAGCAGAAGCTCAAAGCCACTTAAAGCGACCAGTGTGGGGCCGGAAGCATTGAAGAAGTCTGGCAAACTCGAGTATTCAAGCGTCTCGCAACAGTGCTCGACATGGGCTTCATGGGCTTCATGAGCTTTCACTTCTTTGTCCGCCTCATCCGAACAAGTCGAAGTCCATCTCTTCCTCCTCCTCTTCCTCCTCAACCTGGTGCTCAGTTGCAGTTGCGCAAGCACTTGCAATGCCACGCGTGCTATAGCGTCCACCTTTTCACCACAGCTTTCGAGGGTTTCGAATTGGGTCGTTCCAGGCTTTCGTCCGGCTTCTCCTTCTCCTTCTCCTTTGCTCCTTTGCTCCTTTGCTCCTTCTCCTTCTCCTTTGCTCCTTCTCCTTTGCTTCTTCTCCTTTCTTTCTCCTTTGCTTCTTCTCCTCTCCTTCTCCTTGTCCGTATCCTTCTCCTTTTCCTTCTCCTCTGAGGGTTCAGAGCTGGTCTCATTGTCTCACTCTTTTCTGACGTGCTTGCTCGTCACGGTGTCACTCCTTTGATCTTGAAGTGCTGGGTTCTCCGTTCCTATGTGCCCAGATGAGCTAAGTTCTGCACTCTTAGGCCGTAAGGTAATGGGACTGAATCTTGTCCTCAGCTTTAGGGATGCGGCCTGGAGAAGCTTTCCATCTTCGAGATCCTTGTGAATTGACTTTTGCTAATACACTTCTTCTATCTGATGCTGCTATATCTTTAGGAAATACTTTGAATCGTTAAGAAACTTCATCACGATACATTAATTTCCTCACTTTGTGGTCATTCTATGTATCTTCTCTGTTCATTAGTTTGCGGATTAAAGAATTTCGTATTCTCTCATATTCAATTAATGATTCACTTTATATTTGTCAACATTCTTTCATCTATGTATTGGTATTTTATTTGCTTTTCTTATCTTCTTTTCTTGTGCTCGCCAAAACGCCCTTTAATTGTCTATTCTTCTAGGGGGCTTTGAACACAGAAAGCATAGCATCCCAGCAACTACTATCTACCTGAACAATGTTGTAGCCACAAATGAGCATGGTGCCAGTAAATCGTCAAGCTGGCTCATGCAGGGCTACACTGTTCGTCTCATGAGGGATGCATTGTGGAAGCCCTGCGCCTTGGGCTATGGAGATAGTGGGGGGTGACAATTCAATTCAATGCACATGATTGCAGAGTCTGTCGGGACTGCAGACGGCATCAATAAAAGTGGCATGGATGCAGGCTCAGCTCAAGCAAAATTCAAGCAAGTTCAAGCCAGCCTTCTTCTTCTCTTCCGCCTTGGATTCGCCACCACCAGCTGCTGCACCTGCTGCAACAGCGCCACCACCGCCGCCGCCGCCGCCACCGCCTCCGGCACCACTTCCAAGCCTTAGCAAGGGGCAAAAAACGCCACTACGTCTCACCACTACAAACCATCTCCAGGTACAACTACATACATATGTATACATATACACATATTTAGAAATGGATTATATACGCATATAGATAGAGATGGGTAGATATATAGACATGGCAACCCACCCACCCACCCACGCCCACACCCCAGCCCCCACAACAAGGCCACAACTCTCGCATAAACATGTGAGCAGCTGGATGTAGATACATGCTCGTCCCATGTATCTTCACGTTGTTTTCAGAGCTATCGTCGCAAACAGGCTTGAGATTTGAGTGAGTTTGATGAAGCCAAAAGTGCAAAGCAGTTGTTCGGTTTTTTGAGGGCCGAATCCAACATGAACATGTCGTTTCTCTGACTTCCAAGAAAACATGCATCTTCTGTGTCGGAAAACTCAAACTCGCCATAAGCTTTTCTGTGACTTTCCGAACAACGCAAACAACAGGGCAGCACACAAACGTAACAGCCTTCGCACTGGAAAATCTTTGGATCTTGGGATTTTGGAACTTCTAAAATCTTAATTCAAGGTACATACGAATACTGCCCATACAAGGAGGACTTCTCAGCTCAGGGTATCTTCCTTAGATTCCATTAAGCACTGTACAACGAACGAAGGCCGCAATCTACTCATCCAAGATTTAGTTGTGAATAAGGCCGCGATGAGGAGGGCGAGGCCAGTTTTCCATTTCATTGCAAAGATGTCTCAAGGTGTGGCCTCCACCTGGCGGGGGTGGGGTGAAGCGGCTCAACCAAACCTCAGGCCATGGCTTGATCAGCGACTCCATGCCAACGTTGTTCACCATCTTTGACTCAGCACAGACCATTCGCTTCAGAACAAGGGAGTTCTCAGGAAAGGGCTCTACTGAGTGGACTGGGCTATGGCCCCTTTGCAACATTTTGCAACCTAAACAGGACAGGCCGACAGGCTGTCTTTCAATCTCTGTGGTTTGCCCAGGTGCCATCAGCATCGGCCAGTAGCCTTCCACACTGCAACCAGACGCCTGCCCGCGCAGAGCTCAGCTGCATAAGCATGCTATCTGCTGCCAGCTTCCAATTGGCTGCGAGCCCCTGCCCATCCTTGATCAAGGCGGACATGGACTCTGCTGTAATCTCCTGACGGCGCGCGGAGCCAGTCATTCAGCGTCGGGCAGTTAGATGCAGTCAGGAAACGTAAGAAGCGAGGCGTGCAGGCAGCGACCATCCAATTGCTGGAGAAGTCTCTGCGCCGTCATCATGGAGGATCAGTGCGGCATAGGTGCAGGCGAGCTCGCCCTGGCCAACTCCAAGTTTGCAGGGAAGAAAGCGGAACAGATATCGCAAGATGCTTGAACAAAATGTGCACGGCTATGTCGACCCTGCTGGAAATTTGAAGACTTCTGAAACAGGAATCACAGGCCTTCTGATCCGGGGTCAGATCGCCGATCTGGACGGCAGCCATGGCCCCTTGACTGGGAAACGTCGTGCGCGCTTGTAGAGCTGGATTAGACGATCAGATGCTCTTGCACTGGTGGTTACTTGAAGTCGGCTGTAGCATCTACATTGTCTGGATTGGGCCTCAGCTCCGTCGGATGCTCTGGGCGTCGGAGGGACGTTGACCCGCTGAGCCGGCGCACATTTGAAACCGACCGAGTCACAACAGCGAGAAAGCTTCTGCTGCATCGCCATGCCGTGTTCTGAACTGAGACAGAAGAACGCCTGTCTTCAGAGACTTCGGGAGATGCGCCTCTGAGGCTAGAGGCGCATACAGCGCATCAGCCCTCAGGGACGTGTCAAAGTGTCGCAAGCTCCAAGTTTTTAGAAACACTTGAATTTCATGGGTATCATGTCCTGGACATTCCTGGACACTGTCTCACCGTTCTGACGCGAAGAAACACTTTAAAGCGACTTCTCCGATGACTGCTCTCTGAGGTCCCCACACGGCGCCAGTGGCATGCGTCACAACACTTTGCCTGGCACACACCGAAGCTCTACAAAAAGATGGGATGGAAGATTGAACTGCATCGCGCGCCACAAGAAAAAACACTGAATCTAGCGATTTTCTCACGACGTTACCATAAAGCCGTGTCATCCCATCACTCGTCCTCGTTGAAGCAGGAGTGCGCCCTTGCAAGCCTCACCAAAGACATGCGCCTAGCTGGCTGAGACCGTTCCATGAAGTGAACCTCGAAACCGATGTGAGCTTTCGAAATGCGAAAGACCTACGGCAAAAGCAAGCAAAGACAGGCACGCCAAGCCAAGTTTTTAACTCAGAGATCGCCAAGCTCGCAGCCTAAGCCGACAAAGGCTGCCTTCAACCTCGAAAAAGTGCAGAAGACGCATTGTCTGCCCGATTGTCTCGAACAAGGGCACAGTGCGGTGCACAGTGCAGTGCAAAGTGCAGTTCAGGGGGCTCAATTACTGAGGCTGTGACCAGCTGGCACAGACAACAGCAGCCTAAACATTCGGGTGCAGGCCCAGCCGACGCTTCAACACTTGGGAGATTCAAACAACTTCTCGTTGGCATCCTACATTCACCCCACTTTCATCCATTCTTGGCCATCATCACTGCAGCAGCTCTTCTTGGCAAGAAGGCCTGCCCCCCTTGCTGGCGTTTCGAAATCATGAGACTGAAGGGTATGTATAGTATGAATACCAGCTGCTCAATTGTAATGGCAGAACTTCCTTCACTTCTCGGACGAAACCGGAAGCAATGGTTGACAATGATTGTCGGACTGCGTCTGGTGAGGAGCGTGCAGCCAACCAGACCAGTAGGCGTTGCCGCGCCATGACCTGACCAACAAAAGCTGTGGGCAATGACAAAACTTGACACAGTTCTCTTGCGCAGGTGCGTCGTGAACATGTGTGGCACCTTCCTCCTTCTCCATTGAAGCGCGTTTAGTACAAGGTACATTGGACACATGACACCGTGACACCGGAATTCGAGAGATCAGCTTCCTTCCGTCTTTCCTGCGCGCATGGCCCTTCCCAGGTAGACAGGCCCACTCGGAGGCGTGCGTTACCGAGTCTGTTGATGTGAGACCTGAAGGTAATAAAGGAATGCCGTGCCCCAACATCAGAGCCCTCCGCTTCTTCTGCTTCTTCTTCTTCTTCTTCTTCTTCTTCTTCTTCTCCTCCTTGTTCTTCTTCTTCGGGTCTCTATCTCTCTCTTCCAGCGCTCTCTTTTAGCGCTCTCTTTCAGAGGGGAACGCTGAAGTCTTAGGGGCCACAAAGCACCGGCCCTGCTGGCAGACAAGGACCCGATGCTGTGCTTTGCACAACATCCAAGACAGCTTCAAAGGTGCACAAAAGTGGCCACGGCTGAACTGCTCCACTTTGCTCGGACATGTTTCCGTGCTATTCTAAATCACGGGAAAGCCCGTCATGCCTTGGATGTAGACGCAGACATGGCAGTCCACAGACGAACAGACACGTGAGCTAAGTGTCTTGGAGTCTTGGCATTCTGCAATCACATGTGTGAAGAATGTGAAGTTCGTGAAGAGGTATCGGTGCAGGAGAGAGGTGGCATGCCGCTGCGTGCTTTAGAATGGGCCCATCTCCGGTCAAAGTTTGATAGCTCATGAGCCGAATCACATGCAGCCGACCGAAACCACTGGCGCCTTGCGCATTGTGGGCCAGCAGAAAGCACGGCCTGAATTGAAGTTCCCTTTCTCGAGCTGAGCCCTGCAACGCTCAATAAATCTCAAGAACACGTGCCTTTTGCTCCGCTCGTCCTCCTCTGCTCACATTTGCGAGGTTCTGGGAGGTTCTGCGTAACTCCAAGAGGCCCTAAAGGTCAGTCCACTTTCCGAGGACGCCTACAACGACTAACACATAAAACCTGCAGGCTGGCTTCTGTGGATTTTCAGAAATCACGCCGCCCTGCAAGTCAGGAAAAAAAATGCCAGAATCATCTGCTTTCCGGCCAGCTGACATAAGCATTACATAAGCTACAGCCTCTAAGCACTTGCTGCAACTACTGAACACTTCACCAACGTACAGCAGCTGTGACTGCACGCTACCAGCACCCTTGTCCTTTGAACAACTGACATTTGTCAGGGACACAAGCCTGTACAGCATTCAACTGTGCATACCAACCAGCCTTTGTGTTCACATCTCGAGCGTCGAGTACACTGTGGCATGCTTGTAGCTGGACAGTCTGGTACACATACATCCACACACGGCGACAGCATCTTGGTGCAAGGGCTTAGGCTAGGCCCTGGGCAAGACTATTGACTGGACGTGTGGCTGTGGCGTTGCTGGGGGCTTCGGTGACGAATTCAATTTTAAAAGAAGCATATCCTGCAGCGGAAGTGCAGCCGGAACTGGAACTCTCAGGTGCACCAGCCGCCGCGGATCGCAGCACTGGATCCGCTGGCGAGCTAGCAGCAAGACTGAAAGATGTCCTGGCAAACAATGTGCGCGCGATGGGTATGCCAAAAGACTGCTACAATTCCAGCATCAACCGTGGCCCCACCCATACGATACTGCAGTCCTGTCTCAGATTCGTCCGGACGTCTTTGTTTAGACAAGTTGTCAGCACTCTACTCAGATCGCACCTTCATAGGCTTGCACTTGTCGCTACAGGCTTGCGCTCAAATTCTTGCAGCTGCAGCCTATGTTGTGGAAGCTGAACGGGGACAGGGGTGAGATGTGTTCTTCTTTCGTGATCGCTGCGCCCATGCCAGAATCACGAAAGCTTGGCGGAACAAAAGCCATGCAGAAATATCGGCCTTCACGTGCACAAAGCTCGTGTCGCTGTCACAGTACTCCATGCAGTGTTGCTTGCCGGTGGAGGTGGTGTCCTGGGCCACGAAACTACTGCCTTTGAAAGATCCTTGTTCTGATCTTGTTCTGGCAACTGCATTCCAGGTCGATGCCAGTTGAGCCCTGAGTGGAGCACACCTCACACATTTGCATCCGAGTTTCGAGGACTCTGTGGCACAGGCGCTGGCAGAAATGAACCCTGCGACCTTGTCAGAGACAAGGCGGGTTGGGGCCTTGCTTTCATGCACATCTCCTATCCTCTCACGACGAAATGAAGAAACACGACAGACAGGCCGGAGCGACTTCGGGGAGAGACTTTTTGGAATTCGTCTCGACTCCCCTGTGGGCATCAGCGGTTCCAGAGGAACCCCAGAACTTCCCCCACCTGATAACTGATAAATCTCCTCCACAAGGAACCCAACGACCTTTTAGGAGGTTTTTGAATGTTTTGGAATGCTTTATGCCACTTGGACGATCCCTTGCCTCAGAAACCCTCCACCTAGGAAACCCCGTTCTAGGCACGGACCTGCTCACCTCTTGCCGGACCGATAATCGCAAACCTTTGGAGGAACTTCCAGGACCCTCCCGACAGGGCCGCTGCAGCTTCTCGACAAGCAACAAAGGAAAAATCGGGACAGGTAGCTTTGCAGGATGTCGTGTGCAAGGCGCAAAAACGTCTCTATGTGAAGTCTCAGAAGTCTCTACATCAAGTTGGGAATGTCGTCCTGAGCACTCTGCTATCATTGGGTCTCTCGGCTGCTTGACCCCCCAACTACACGGGCAGAGGCGGTCAACGCGCAGCGTTTACGATTACAACAAGGCATCGGAGGCTCATCAACAGATGAAGGATGCGAAAGCACCCAACATGTATTCAGATACCAGCGCACAGATTCTTGACTCTTGACTCATCATGCCATCCACCAACCAACAGCAAAGCAACCTCATTTATGCAAAAAAGGTGCTGCAGTGTGCGTCACTATGGTTTGCTGCCAATACAACCTGATGTCCAAAAGGGCAAAGAAGCTGCGTCACCCAAGGATTGGTGGTGGGGTTTAGGCCGGCACAGTGCAAAGTAGGTCTTAGATGTATGCGACTGCACGATTTTCCTGCCCATTGCACGCTGCACGACGTGATGGGCACAGCATGCGAGCCCTGACAACGATCGGGGAGTTTGCAGTTTCGTGACGCTGTCGCCAGTGCGCCGCTGCAGCAACCCGACCTCCTCGCCTTCGGAGCCTTCCAAGCTTCATGTGAAATTCGCGGACTCATGGGCACACAGGACATCACTTTGACACTTGAGTGCATCCTTGGACGTCACAGTCTGAGATGCCGAGAAACGCTGCAACAATGCGGTATCTTCACAGATGTGGTCCTCGCAGAACTCGGCCTTCTCCTGTTCAGGCCATTTCTGTAAACTTCTGTAAACTTTCGCTGTGCAGTCTCAACAAGCACGTGCGCTGCAACCTTCGGTCCATACCTTGCTAGGGCATAAAGGAAAGGAAAGGAACTTCGGCGCAGTCAAACAGTCAAAGGGTCCGCACAGATCCATGCCCAGCTCTGAGCAAAGTCTTCTCAGACAACATTCCAGGACCCTGTTGCAGTTCCTCTTTGTTCCTCTATGTTCCTCTCAATGTTCCTTTTTCATTTCGGCTTTGCACACAAGGCTTGGGGACTGCAGGACGGCAGCGCAGCAATCCAAAACCAAGGCACTTGCATCACACCCTCGACGTTCCAGGAGCAGCTGTCCGCATCGGGCGTCAGTTCGTGGCAGAGTTCACGGCCCAGCCTTGCAGGGCCATGGAGCGCAGTAGAGAATCCCAGTAGCTCGTCCCAACTAACGAGCTGAGCTCTTCATTCCTAAACTGAATACGCATCAAACAACCTTGTCTACTTTGTGTCGAGGCAGACCTGTCTGCCACGCAGCGCTCTGCGGATTCGTTTGGGGCTCGACGCGGATCCTGATCTCCTCGAACATGAAAGCTGTTGAAACATGATGCAAAAGCACTGAGTGCACCATGAAAATGCTGCGCACTCGCTGAAGACTCAGGTTGATTCTGTGCTCCCTCAATACCCTGAAAGGGGGCCACAGTGGCTGCTGGCTTGCTGTTTGTGCGCAAGAATGGCACAAATACCTCTCCGGATCGACCGTCGGTCGGCCGATCCCCCGTCCATTCGAGAAGGCGAATGAAAGCATATTGGTTTTTCCTACACAAAGGTGTCAGTCGGGGTTCCAGTCCCACAGAGATGCCACAAGAGGGACAAACTGAGGGTTCCCTTTTCTCCTCCCTACCGGTGGGACACTTTTGGTGAGCAGTATTTTTGCCGCTGCCTGTGGGCAAACACCGAACACCTTGTGCAGCTGGGGCTTCTGTTGCACCCCACAGTATCCACAACCAGTGCAGGAGGTTCAGGAATTTGTGCATTGGGGAGCACAAAGCAGGCACCCCACCTCGAATCCGCTCCCCAACATTGCCTGACCACTTGCGCGCCCCTCGTTGGCCACTTTTTTGGCTGAAATGGGTACCCTCCCTACCCAACACGTGTGTGGAAGGGGCGCCGTGGTTGCAGACTCCACATGTTGGGGGGCAGGCCGAGGGGGGTCGCGCAGCGTTAAAATTACCCTAGCGTTAACATCACCCTAGGCCTTTGTGTAGTTGGCTTTAAAATCGCACTCTTCGGCATTGGCCCCGAGACCCTTGGGACAGCTTAGGTTGCCCGTGGCGTCCAGCGTTCTTGGCGAGTGCCACCCGGTTTTTGGGCTCTGCATTGCACACGTCCTGAGTGCAAGCTATTGCACAGACATCAAGCGCCTTGAAGGGGGACGCAGCATCCACAGCAACACGCATTGAAGCTATGCAGGCAGAATGTCTGATACGCATGATCCAAGGATGAAGTCGATGCGACACTCGTCATCATTCTTGCAGCCCTGAGAGCAAGGACGCATTCATCTAGCTGACTCACGAGCCGCATTTCACTCTTGCACCACCACGTGGAGACAAGCTCTTTCCCATCCAGGCCTGACGGTCCCATTCGGCGCGGTGCAAGAAAGGAGCCTTCGCCTCCGACTGCTTGGAATGTAACTGTAAGATGAGCTATCTTACTTTTAGGTTTGTGAACATGGTTTGGATACCTATGCCGGCCTACGCCGGGGCCTGCCCACCTTGAGCGCCTACGTGGAGCTGGTTTTAATGGTTTCAATCTATGCGAGCCTCCCTTCACGACCGTAGGTGTTGGGACAAATTTCAATCCCTGTGTAAGCGAAGGTCCAGGGGTTCAAGGTTGAATTTGCAGGAGATTTGCTCCTTCTATTTTGCTGACGATGCACATTGCAAGGTGGCATTTGGAAGGGAGAAAGGTCTTAAACCAGGGCCCACGAGGGACCGTACGGGTTTGCGCGGGCTTGACGGCCGTAAGGCCCTGCGGGGCTTGCGGCCCTTGCGGGCCTCACGGGCTCTACGGGCCTTGCAGGCCTTAGGGGCCTTAAGAAATCTACGGACTCTACGGGCTCTACGGGCCTTACGGGCCTTGCGGGCTTTGCGGGTTCCCAGGGCTCCTGGCCTGTACGGCCCTCGCGGGCTCTACAGGCCCTACAGGCCCTACGGCCAGTGTACGGGCCATATGGCCCGGGCCTGGTTAAGGACGTTGGTCGAGAGAAAGGTCTTAAACAAGACAGTTCCAGGTAGCACGAGTACTACAAGAAGACGGAAAGCGTTTCCATGCACAAACGGCAGCCCAAACCTCGCGGGGCTTATGCGGAGCCTACACACAGCCTACGCGGGATCGCACTTGGTGTCGCGCGGTTCCTTTTGTAGGACTACACTGTGGTACAATGTGGCAACCTGGCAGCTCCGAGCCCATAATTAGCGCACATCGCCAGAGACCCAACGTTTACTCAACCTGCCACCTCAGAGTTCACGGTTTTCTAGACGTCAGTTACACGATGTTCTTTGTGACCACAACCTACGCGGATACACGTGGGCTCTAGATATCTTGGCCTAAGCGCGCCTACGCGCCCCATAGAAAACAGCTACGCGCAGTGAAGGAGGGAGAAGGTTTCACAGGGCACGTATCGCGATCGCCATACTTTCAGTTGTTGAGAAATCTCAACAAGATTCAATGTCTGAAAGCGAATGCGCGAAAAATGGCGTCTCCTTCAATCCAAATAAAGGAACTCTAAAGAATGCAGCAGGGAATGCCTTGCAAAGCTTGACTGCATCTTCGACATGGAAGGCATTGCCGGCTGCATCTACCTGTCAAGCGTCGGACAAGTCTGAGCATCGCATTGTCTCTGCGCAAAGTGTTGAGAGAAAAAAACCTGTACATAAAATCCGCCAAGGCCTCGCGCCCGTAGGTGTATGGGGAGTATAAAGCAGGTACCCCACCTCAAATCTGCACAGATGCTCACCACCCCCCACCCCCCACCCGCAGCTTCCCCCCATCCACCACCCCCAACCCACCACACGCGCGCACACACACACACACACACTGCCCCCACCTGACCCCCACCGACCCCACGCCCGTACTTCCTAACAAACACTTCAACCCCAGCTTGTTTTTTTGGTTTTGCCCACTTTCACATTTGCGGTGCCTGGTACGGGAATGAATGGGCACATCAGTGCCCTTGCCAACTGCAGCTTCACACCCGCTGGGGAGGTCCAGGCCGCGGGGTCGCGGAGAGTCAAAGTGTCAAAACTACAGCGACAAGAAGCAAGAGACGCACCTTGTCGTCACAAACGTAGCGCCTGTCCGGCCTGAAATTCTGAAAGTGCGCACGGATGCCGGTTTTGTGGACTCCGGAACTGCTGCAAAAACCTCGAAAAACATCGTCTCTAATTGTGATGTCTAGTGATTTAACTACACCCTTAACTACACACACTACATCCTCTTGTGTGACGTTGCTCTCGTTTGCTTCTGCCCCTGTCAATGGTTGACGGTCTTTCTCACGAAGCTCCCGTAACAGCTATGTTCAGCTTAGCACCGCGTAATTAAGGAAGTGCACGTGTTCTCACTGTGCGCAGAGAAGTGGCCCACCGCACTCAAAGCAGTTGGGGAGAGAAGTCCGCTACCTACAATACGTGTTAGACATGTGTAGATAATGCTGTAAGAAAGAATGATGCACAGTGCGCACGGCAAACTGAAGGGGGCAGAAGGGGGGACTGAGCAGGGAACTACAACGGAGCTACAACCTGGCTACCCGTCTGAGCTGGAACTCGGTCCCGGACCCAGGGGCCGAGCGGTCCGGCTTCATGCAAACGCAGTTGAGGTCGTAGTATTCGGTAGAGTCACAATCGGCCCTTTGTTTGCATCACACGGACTGCTTGCAAAAAAATGCTGACATGGATCCTGGAGGAGGTGTCCGTCTCTAACTGCATGCCATCGTGTTGTGTCTTTGCGCAAGTTTGCAAGTTTCCGACCCAGACCCTCTGAAACTTCAAGGTGCTTCGACGGGCCGTCAGTGAAGCTGCAAGGAGCGAAGTCTTGGTTGTCCCTGCAAGACAGGGCCAACTCATCATCTGACTTAAAGCATGTTGCCACGGACTCGGAGGCGAGCCGATAACTCGCATCGGCCCCGGTCATGGGCGTCAGAGCAAGCGCAGCCATGATTCCATGTTCCAACACCTCAACAACACCCCCCCCCCCCCCCCCCCCCCCCGCCCCCACCCCCACCCCCACCCCGGATCTCTCACTCCTCGGCCTGAGCCACTCAGGAAAGCCTATTGTTCGACCTTCCTGGAAGAACAGTGAAAAGAGCCTTCCAAGCCGAATCCCCCCAACCCCGGGAGACTTAAGCCCCTAACCTCCTGCCTCACATCAACACATTGACTTTTGCGATCATGGCAGAAGTCCGCGCAGCTCATGGACTTTTCCAGGATGGCGTAGACGACGGAGTTCTGGCCATTGGCCTGATCCATCGTATAAGCTTGGGACAATGCGAATCGCGGGTCAGGGCAGTGGTGCGGATTGACTGTACAGTGTGTGTGGTCCAAAGAATCATGAGATAACATCGGCTTGTTTCTGTAAACAAAAAATGCGATAAGTTGTCTGACTTCTCGGGTGTAGGGCAGTGCTCAGAAGGTTGGGATGACAGGGCCAACACGTCAGCTCCCCCTTGTGGCGCGCATCCGGGAGAGAAAAAAAAGAGGTGCATTCCTGTCTTATGGTTTATGGTTGTAAGTCAGCGCCCGGCTGTAACCGCCAAATAACAAGGATGCTATAGCGGTAGCGGCGAGGATCTGGAATGATCATCATCAACTGTTGCTCAAGAGCGAAGGGGACAAACACTCAGAACCCAAGACCCGATGTCGTGCGGTTAGGGGTAGGGCTGGGGCAGGGGCAAGGTTGAACTTGAAGGAGTTGAGGAGTTGGTTGGCATTGATGTTTGTACTATGGTTCGGTTGGCATAGGGCATAGGCGTGAGATTAGCAGTTGGAAGGGGCCGAGGGTAGAATGAGGTTGAATGACAGAGTGGGTGGAAGAGGGGTGAGCGCACGGGGGGTCTCCCCGTGAATCAAAGAGAAAGAGAAAAAGAGAGACAGAGAGAGAAAGAGAGACAGAGAGAGAAAGAGAGACAGAGAGAGAGACAGAGACAGAGACAGAGAGAGCGAGAGAGCGAGAGAGCGAGAGAGCGAGAGAGCGAGAGAGCGAGAGAGCGAGAGAGCGAGAGAGCGAGAGAGCGAGAGAGCGAGAGAGCGAGAGAGCGAGAGCGAGAGAGAGAAGCAAAAGAGAGGGAGAGAGAGGCTAAAGGGAGAGAGAGTAAGAGGAGCCCAGAAGGGCACTCCGGGACCTTTACAGTCACTCGCTCTCCCCCCCCCCGGCCCCGTGCAGTCCGCGCACCCCGACTTTGCGGCGCTCCATGGATCGGTGGCCCAGGCTCGCCCTCTCCCTTCCTCTCCCTCTCCCTTCCTCTCCCTCTCCCTTCCTCTCCCTTCCTCTCCCTCCTTCTTTCTTTTTTCTTTCTCTCTCTCTCTCTCTCTCTCTTTTGCTTTCTCTCTGTGGGGCATGGGGAGACCCCCGCGCGAATGCGAGCCCCGGTCCTGCTCTTGGTCTCTATCTTCTTCTTCTTCTTATTCTTCTTCTTCTTCTTCTTCTTCTTCTTCTTCTTCTTCTTCTTCTTCTTCTTCTTCTTATTCTTCTTCTTCTTCTTCTTCTTCTTCTTCTTCTTCTTCTTCTGCTTCTGCTTCTGCTTCTGCTTCTGCTTCTGCTTCTTCTTCTTCTTCTTCTTCTTCTTTTTCTTATTCTTCTTCTTCTTTTTCTTCTTCTTCTTCTTCTTCCTCTTCTTCTTCTTATTCTTCCTCTTCTTCCTCTTCTTCTTCTTCTTCTTCTTTTTCTTTTTCTTCTCCTTCTCCTTCTCCTCCTCGCTTAAGAGGGCCCCCTCTCTCTTTCTCTTTCTCTCTGTCTGTGGGCGAAAACTAAGCATCCGATTCGCAGGCGTGCTTTGGATAAACCATAGACGATCAGACCCACTGCGGGTGCCCCACGTTGAGCCGCGAGTGGGCTCGATGTCCCAGGCCAACTCATCTCCATGCTTGGCGTGAGATTTTCATGTAGCGTCTGGAAAGAAGCTGGAAGCTGACCTTCTTTCTGTTCCCAGCCTGAGCACATAGTAGTCTCAGGTCACAAAACTTCTTCGAGCCACCTCTTTCCAGCATCCCATACCATCCCATACCATCCCATACCACTGGGCCCGCATCACGACGCGAAGCCATGGCTTAGGCGGAGAAGGCATTCCTACCTTGACAAGCAGCATATAGCAGCATTCCAAAAACATGCCATCGGGTGCTCAGATGTGCTGAGCGCCCTGGTGTAACTAACTACCCCCGTGAAGGTATGATCCCACCTTTCGCCTTGCGGCCAGGTGGAAAGAGACTCAGCGCTAGCAAGTTGTCACCATTGATTTGAGGCCGCGATGTTTCGGGCTTAGGACCCAGGTCTTTTGCCACATTTAGGGCTTACTGCAGCAAGTTACACACACACACACACACACACACCGGCAACATGGTTTGTCCACTTGCCTTGGATGATGCGATCCATCTACATTCCACACTACGTGTCACTGCCGCACCTGACCCTGGGCGTATCTTGATCTTGCGGGTTTCTTCCAGCCTCTAACGGCAGACCTCTCTTAGGTTCCCAGACTGGAAGCCCTTCTGCCCTGAAAGCCGACGTAATCTTTTTCCCTCCCAAAGCCACGGATGCGGCCAGAAACCCGCAACTCTGAAGTCTTTCAACCAGACTTTTAGGCTTCCAGGGCCGCATCAAGGGTTGATCGGCGTGGTAGTGTCACCGTGACATTCCGAGAAGGGCGAAGTAAAATCAAATGACCGACTACACAACACACCGGACAGAAACACGACGCACACTTGACCGAAAAGCAAAGTGTACGGTCGGCCTCCATACTGCAAAACAAGCTCAACCGTGCTGTGTTCGCGCGAAGGGCCATGGTCAAGGCAATACGAATTGAGGGTTTAGGCTCATCTGCGGGTATCCGACGAAGATGAACGGGGGACAACGTGCTTCGAAAAAAACAAACGGTCGGGATGTTGGCCACAGTTCTAGTAGCAATGAAGCATACATCTATCGTCTACCGATGATCTGCTGTTTCGCTCATGTTGTTGCCTGAAGCTTGTCGATAGTGTCGCCCTCGTGGAGGGAGACGCACTCGCGCTCGTTCTCCTGTCTTGCTAGTCTGCAAGTCCATGGGTCCATGACTTGCCAGTCCAGTGCAACAGCTCTTGGCAACTAGGGTTCCCAATACTCTTCCAATACCCGCTGGTGCCGTGCAATCTTCTAGACGTCGCACAAATCACACAGGAACATCAACACACTCCGATTCCTTCTCGAAGGGCCGCAGGAACTCCCCACCAGGACCTCAAAAACGCGAGCAAAATTGGCTCATTGGCTCATTGGCTTATTGGCACTTTCTTCTCCTCCTTCTGCTTCTTCTACGCTCCCCCGCCCGCTCGGCTCTTCCTCTCAGCCCAAGTTCACCATCTTGCTACGTCGAAGCCAAATGCAGCCGAGAAGGGCTCGCATCGAACTGGCCGAAGTATGGAGACGGGCAGTTTAGCGGGTGCAGCCCACCTCAAAGCAGCTACCCTAAGCTGCAAGCTTTATGCCCTGAAAACAGACAAGAAACACAAAAGCCAACTGCTTCATTTGCTTCACTTTTGCTGCTTCAAAAGGGGGTCCTGGCCTAGTGCACTGCACATGCCGCACATAAAGCGCCACTGCTCGATGGAGAAGATGAAGTCGCCCTCCCCGCGCACCACGTGCCTTGAGAAACCCTCAAGCTTGACATTGGTGTCGCTTAGAGGGAAGTGGTCATTCACTCTTCGAACTGCAGCCAGGGCTGCTCCTTCCATTGCTTAGCGGCACCACAGATGCCCTTGTCGTTGATGGCGTCCTGCGGGCAATGACGCCACAAGTACTTGTAGGAGGACCTTCCAGAATGATCCCCCAGAACACCAGCACGCTGGTATTGAAAATGTGTTTGCGTCAAACTTGAAAAAAAACAAACCGAACGCTTTGATCGCATCCTGGGGCACTCTGACCTTGAAGCCATTGGAATAATCTGAGCACCGGCACCGGATTGAATGATGAGTTCACTCTTGAGTTGACACAATTTCTGCTTCGAGTCACGGAGGTCACCGTGAAGGTTCACTGCGTTGACATTGATGCGGATGCACGAGTCATCGCTCATAATGTTGACGCCATCCCTGCGCCCAACACACACACAGACTCACAGAGGCACCGAATGCTGAAGTTCAGGCCGAGAATGGGAGTTCATTGTCTGTACTCTCTGAACTACCAGCAGCATGGTGGCCCCTACGATGTGAGACGCTTAACATGGTAATGTTTCAAGGCGGCGCCTCGGATTGCTCATCTGCAGCAGATCCCCATCGCCTGTGGTTCCCGTGACACTTACCTTGCCAGTTGTGGACACCTGCGGTCGCACGAGACTTCATCCCAAATGCTTCCTGCGTACCAGACAAAAAAACACGTCAAAACACATGAAAACACATGAAAACAATGCCTGGAGAGGCAACTGCGGCCACACTTTCAAACCCCTGTGCCGATAGCTATTGCTATTGCCGCACCATGCCGCACCTGTGTTCCGTTCACAAAAACTTGTGCACCATTGTTCAGCTCGATGCCGACGAACAAGACGGCAGCATGCTTCCAGTCCCTGTGCTGGCATTGGAATGCGTCCATCTTGAAGCCGCCGCCGCATGCATCAATGTGCGCATAACGGTAGACACCCAGTCCATGGAAGTCAAATCTTCCATTGACGCTCCAGCTGTCACTGACGTGCGGATCACCCCAGCAATTACAGCTCTCAAAATGCTTGTCGTTCCAGTCAGCTATCGATGAGCATTTGGAGCAGTCACCATCTGCCCTCGCCAGATGCGCCAGATTCGCCAGGCTTACAAGAATGGCCATGGCTTGCCAGGCTTGCCAAATCATGGAGGAGGTGCGGTGCGCCATTCTTTTTCTACTGTGCCACCCACTTAGTGGCTGTCACAGCGGCTGCTGGCAGAACAGCCTGTGACCTCGAGCCCAGCGCCAAAAGGACCCATCAAATGGCAGCTTTTTGACGCAGATCTACCAGTTGATTTGCACGGACATTGCAGCACTACTGCAGCAAATTGCAAAAGCACACTGCTCACTACAGTGATCTACAGATTGGACTAGATGCTTCACGGCACGAAACCCTGGACTTGTTCAGCTGCAAGGCGGGTCTTGCGAGGCACATCGAGGCACTAAGGTGGCTCCAGCCGGCTCATGTCCGCCCCAGTCTCTGAGGCTTCGGAATCGCCAGGCCGGATCGCCTGGTTTGTCCGGGATTCTCCGCTTTAAACGTTATACCGTACGAATCGTGGCAAACTCAAAGGCTCTCGGGCTTCTCCTCTCACCGGGTCTCATCAACCTGAGGGCCCGAAAAAAACCCGCGCGGAACAAAAAAACCTGCACCTCAGGCGGATCGCCAACTTGTTCGCATCGTTTCCTGGGATCTTGAACCTTCAACAATAACACATCATCACCAACAAAAGGCTGTTCTCACGACGGCCTTGGAAGAGCGTTCGAGGAGCAAGACCATCTCACAGTGCACCGTGTGTGGGAACATGTCCTCGCGCTTATCCCAAGTTGCAGGGCGTGATCTGAGGCAACGGGTTACTGGTTACTTCCGGGCGTCCCACGACTGCCACTGCTCGCAAGGGAACGAAAGGATCCTGCATCATGTCTGCAAGTGGCAACGACATCTTCGCAACACGCAGCCACTGCTGTGAAACACATTGAAACACGCATCGGTCAACGTTGCACAGAGCTCCTCATCGCTTTCGGAAGGCATCGTCAGTTTAACAACATCCTGGTGCTGGTTGCCATCGGCGTTTCAAGTAGTTGAGGATGCTGCAGTTCAGATGCACATTCCCAGTATGACATCTGTTATCTCCTCTCATCTACTATTTCGATTT